GTGCGTGCGTGCGTGCGTGCGTGTTTGGGGGGGTGGGGGGTGGGGTGGGGTGTGTGGGGGTGGGGGTGGGGTGGGGGGGGGGGGGGGGGGGGGGGGGTGTTCATGCATTTTCGACCTCATGCCGTACTTATTGTGAGACGTGTAATAACAAGAGTGAGTGAGTTTAGATTTAACGTCGCATCTGCAATATTTCAGCCATATTGTGACGATGTAGTAACAAGAAAGCGTCCCGGTAAGGTTTATTTCTTTCTCACATGCGTATGGTTCACACAAATATGTCAGAATGGAATAGAACTATGTATACAGTGAGCAAACGAGTTTTGTTTAACGTCAGTTTGAACAGTGACGTTATTTCAGGATACATGTGAGTGAGTGAGTGAGTGAGTGAGTGAGTGAGTGAGTGAGTGAGTGAGTGAGTGAGTGAGTGAGTGAGTGAGTGAGTGAGTGAGTGAGTGAGTGAGTGAGTGAGTGAGTGAGTGAGTGAGTGAGTGAGTGAGTGAGTGAGTGAGTGAGTGAGTGAGTGAGTGAGTGAGTGAGTGAGTGAGTGAGTGAGTGAGTGAGTGAGTGAGTGAGTGAGTGAGTGAGTGAGTGAGTGAGTGAGTGAGTGAGTGAGTGAGTGAGTGAGTGAGTGAGTGAGTGAGTGAGTGAGTGAGTGAGTGAGTGAGTGAGTGAGTGAGTGAGTGAGTGAGTGAGTGAGTGAGTGAGTGAGTGAGTGAGTGAGTGAGTGAGTGAGTGAGTGAGTGAGTGAGTGAGTGAGTGAGTGAGTGAGTGAGTGAGTGAGTGAGTGAGTGAGTGAGTGAGTGAGTGAGTGAGTGAGTGAGTGAGTGAGTGAGTGAGTGAGTGAGTGAGTGAGTGAGTGAGTGAGTGAGTGAGTGAGTGAGTGAGTGAGTGAGTGAGTGAGTGAGTGAGTGAGTGAGTGAGTGAGTGAGTGAGTGAGTGAGTGAGTGAGTGAGTGAGTGAGTGAGTGAGTGAGTGAGTGAGTGAGTGAGTGAGTGAGTGGGCTTCACACAATGTACCCATGTCGGGAATCGAACCCGGGTCTTCGGCCTCAGGATACATGTCATTGATGTGGTCCTTACAAACGAATGTGAATCCTTCAAGTATATATATCGTGGTACTATATTACCTTTAAACGCAGAAAGACGAAAATGCTTGTAAAGCAGTATCCTGTACATTATGACCCCTCTATTTAAGAAATAAACCATTTCACGGCATCATCCGTTGTCTATTAGATGATTGTTAGGCGCCGAATTATTACGGTTAAAGGGTTCTTCCATTTACTTCAATTGCTTTCGGTAATATCAGTTTTGTTTTTTCAAATAAGAGGTTGTATAAAAAAACATAGATGTATCAATCCGGGAATGAGTTATGACGTTTTATGGAATATGTATTTGAGAATTTCAAATCAACGTTATCCATTGAAAACATAACAGCATCTAAATTAAAACATTCATTGCGACTTCTATTGTACCTTTTATTATATCACTCGACTTAGTGGTATCAACTATACTTATATACTATTTATGTTTATTGTTTCTATATATATACTGAACAGCATTGAAAACGCACCAGCAATAAATCTTGAAATATTACAAAAACAACTTGAGCAATGACCGATTTTGATTAGGACAGACATAGACGGATTATTAAGAAGGACGACAAAGGAAACAGGAATACCACAATTACGTCATCAGTGTAAGGGAGACACTAAATGAAAACGGGACTCATCAGAGAACAGCACACCATGCCACTGCCGCAATCTCCAATGACGATGCCTTCTGGCCCAACGCAGACGTTCATTTCGATGTCGATCAGTGAGTATTGGTCCAACATATGGACGTCGAGCACGTAGCCCTGCTGAGCGGAGACGTCGACGTACGGTGTCAGCACTGATCAATTCCGTCGGCCTTGTACGGTTGCTGCAGTCCCGGTAGCCGGAAGTGTACGATCACGAAGATGCCGACGAACAATATGGCGATCCTGACGTGGTGTAGTTACACAACGTTGACCCGGACGTGGTCGATCTCTGGTGGTTCTTGTCTGCTGGTATCTGCTCAGTAGCCTGAGGACTGTTAAATGATGGCATTGAAACCGTTGTGCAACGACTCTACTTGACGTACCAAGGCACGTTCACGTTCCTTTGCTGTTAATCTTGGCATTTCTAGTGTCAGTACCCTTTACGTCTGCAGCAACAAGTGATGTGGCTTTTAAAAGTCTGTCTTTTATAGCCCTATTCTGCATGTTTCCCGTGAAACAAAACACGTTTTCCATGATGTGCACGCAATTTGTTGCGTTTTGGCGATTTCGCTCACAAAAATTTAGGAATATGTTCTGACGAGCTGTTCTTCTTCATGCTTCGTCCAGAACGTCGTATATTACTCATTAACTTAAATATTTTCATATGACTTAAGCCCGGATAAAAATACATCCATTTTCATGGTGGTGCGTTTTCAATGCTGTTCAGTATATTAGACAACATGTATGTTTTACAAAAAAAAAGATATAAAAAATGAATTCAATTTATGGTTATATGTCCAACTTTAAGTGATTCAAGAGTTCTATATAAACCCAAAAGGTGTTTACGAGATTGCACTCCATTCTTTTATGACCTCTAGAAATGATATCGACATTTTACACTTGTCACTTTAAATTTATTTAAGGCATGCAACAATCTTAAGAAATAACACTTGAAAAATGTTGTGTATCCAAACTGCATGTGACGTTTATTTGTCTGAACTTCTTCTTATGTGCGTGAAAACGCATAGTTACAAATAGTCGATGGTATTAAATAGATACTGGTCATAAACATGTTAAGTTCATTATCCATACCTGGACCTGTTATGATGAAAATCATATTATGAAAAAACGTCTAAGTCAGGGAACAAGCAGTCCCGATTATTCCATTTGGAGTAAAAGTCAAAATAGCGGTGAAAATAATTAAACGCATCACTGGAAATCAGTGATGACACCAGGTGTTCGCGAAAAGGTGAAGCATGTCCTGCCCCACAGTTATCCGCCGGAACAGTTCCATTTGGAGTAAAAGTCAAAACAGCGGTGAAAATAATTAAACGCATCACTGGAAATCAGTGATGACACCAGGTGTTCGCGAAAAGGTGAAGCATGTCCTGCCCCACAGTTATCCGCCGGAACAGTTCCATTTGGAGTAAAAGTCAAAACAGCGGTGAAAATAATTAAACGCATCACTGGAAATCAGTGATGACACCAGGTGTTCGCGAAAAGGTGAAGCATGTCCTGCCCCACAGTTATCCGCCGGAACAGTTCCATTTGGAGTAAAAGTCAAAACAGCGGTGAAAATAATTAAACGCATCACTGGAAATCAGTGATGACACCAGGTGTTCGCGAAAAGGTGAAGCATGTCCTGCCCCACAGTTATCCGCCGGAACAGTTCCATTTGGAGTAAAAGTCAAAACAGCGGTGAAAATAATTAAACGCATCACTGGAAATCAGTGATGACACCAGGTGTTCGCGAAAAGGTGAAGCATGTCCTGCCCCACAGTTATCCGCCGGAACAGTTCCATTTGGAGTAAAAGTCAAAACAGCGGTGAAAATAATTAAACGCATCACTGGAAATCAGTGATGACACCAGGTGTTCGCGAAAAGGTGAAGCATGTCCTGCCCCACAGTTATCCGCCGGAACAGTTCCATTTGGAGTAAAAGTCAAAACAGCGGTGAAAATAATTAAACGCATCACTGGAAATCAGTGATGACACCAGGTGTTCGCGAAAAGGTGAAGCATGTCCTGCCCCACAGTTATCCGCCGGAACAGTTCCATTTGGAGTAAAAGTCAAAACAGCGGTGAAAATAATTAAACGCATCACTGGAAATCAGTGATGACACCAGGTGTTCGCGAAAAGGTGAAGCATGTCCTGCCCCACAGTTATCCGCCGGAACAGTTCAATTTGGAGTAAAAGTCAAAACAGCGGTGAAAATAATTAAACGCATCACTGGAAATCAGTGATGACACCAGGTGTTCGCGAAAAGGTGAAGCATGTCCTGCCCCACAGTTATCCGCCGGAACAGTTCCATTTGGAGTAAAAGTCAAAACAGCGGTGAAAATAATTAAACGCATCACTGGAAATCAGTGATGACACCAGGTGTTCGCGAAAAGGTGAAGCATGTCCTGTCCCACCGGCGGCATACGTCACTGAGGCAATTAGCGTAAAAAAGTATGTTCGTTGCCTGACGCCGCACTTCTGCCATGCAACGGCGGCCTGTTAAAAAATTAACTTTCCTGACAAAAATAGTGACAACAGAGAAAGTGGCATTTTGCAGTGTCAGGATCGTTTATAATCTGTTTCAAGAAGAATTCACGGGACATAAGATTGGTTGGTTGGTTGTTTTACGCCGCACTAACCAACATTCAACCTATATGACGGCGGTCTGTAAATAATTGAGTCTGGACCAGACAATCCAGTGATTGACATCATAAGCATCGATCAACGCAATTGGGATCGATGACATGCTTCAACCAAGTCAGTGAGCCTGACCACCCGATCCCGTTTGTAGCCTCTTAGGACAAGCATAGTCGCCTTTTAGGGCAAGCATGGGTTGCTGAAGACCTATTCCACCCCGGGTCAGATAGGCAAGTCATCGAGCCTGACCATCCGATTCACCTTAGTGAGTGAGTATGGTTTACCGCCGCTTTTAGCAATATTCCAGCAATATCACAGCGGGGGACACCAGAAATGTACCCATGTCGGGAATCGAACCCGGGTCTTCGGCGTGACGAACGAACGCAATAACCACTAGGCTACCCGACCGTCCCCGATTCACCTTAGCCGGCTCTTACGATGAGCATTGTCTGAATTGATCCGATGGTCAGGCTCGGAGCTTTATCCATTGCGTGTCACCATACGCCGGCTTGTCTTGCCAAGACTCGAAAAATTAGAGTTCTGCGGGAGTGCGGGGTCCTCTTGGGAAAAGCATAGTCGCCTGTTGAAGACCTATACCGGATCGGGGAAATATGAACATATACTTACAATGCACGACTTATTCGACACAGAAGTAAGCGTTGAATCCTTTTTCGTAAGGACAGATGAAAGAGACGTCAGCTTTCCTGAGTCAGTGGACGAGTGTTTCAACTTCCCTATTATATAATGACAATGGATGGTCACGTGTGGACCTTGTCAGTGACACTATCTCGCTCTGAATATTCATGTTACAGGGTTGCATGTGCTCCCTTACTGTAGAGTTATGTCTCAAAACTATGTTGAATATTTTCATATACAGATTGAAATAATTCGTTTGAATAATATAAGGAAAAGCCATTAATATATATGATATAAACTAATTCAAGTTTGAACAAATAACATGCAGATTGTACTTGATAATATAATTGAATACAATTATGGCTCTATCCTGGTTTGAGTTGAGATGACAGGCGCCGTCCCATCAGTTAGTGTAGAGACGTGCATTGTTTCCTTGTTAGTTACTATCACAACGGTACACATATTGTTGTGTCCTAGCTGCAGCTAGGTCTCATGCTGGTCAGTATCAACAGAACAGAACGGAGCGGAACGGAACGGAACGGAACGGAACAGAACAGAACAGAACAGAACAGAACAGAACAGAACAGAACATTTATTTTGGTAAGCAGTTGGTAAGTATACAAGTCTATATTTAACAGAGCCTGGCATCAAATTATGAAATGTGTCTGCAACTAAAGGAGAGTTGCACAGTTCACGCACAAGATCATCTTTCTTTACATTCCAAGGGTATCGATACATTAGTTGAGTAAAATTCTACAAAGCGGGGGCGCCCATTTTCGTCTACAGTTCGTCAGGTCTACAGTATTATCAAAACAAAGTTATACACCAGTGATTAGAGGGGTAGTAAGCTCACCCCCACAGAACCATTGTAGTGAGTGAGTGAGTAAGTATGGTTTTACGCCGCTTTTAGCAATATTCCAGCAATATCACGGCGGGGGACACCAGAAATGGGTTCACACATTCTACCCATGTCGGGAATCGAACCCGGGTCTTCGGCGTGACGAGCGAACGCTTTAACCACTTGGCTACCCGACCGCCCCCAGAACCATAGTAGACCAGCATGTGTAGGATAAGAACAAGAAGAATGAGAGAGAGTTGAATGTTATAATTATTATACACAAAGACCAAATATAACATTTGAACTCCAATCCCAGGGTAAGTTCAAATAGCTAATTATTTCCGCGTCACATCAGAAGTCTGTTTTTGGCTTGTATTCCGGGTCTGGATGACCTGCTATTTCGGGAAGTGACATTTACTTTCACTTAATTTTCAAAGTCACAAGAGAGTGAGACTAACACCGACGCGACTTCAATCGTGCTTCTAAATTCGATGACAAGGGTCAGTAGACACAAGATAAAAATATAATCGCTTTTAAATTCAGTGTATGTACCTGAGTGAGTTAGTGAGTGAGTTGGGTTTAACGCCGCTTTTAACAGTATTGGTTCTTTTCTGAGATTGCAAAAGCAAGCAAATCCGTTGAGGTTTTGATTCCACTTGTCTCCAAAACATTTTTTAATGCAAAGAAAATCCTTGTCTTGATCGTGTTAAGGATTACGATAAATCTCTGAGATGGGGACCCGGTGTTACATTTGCTGGATCAAGCGCTGGGAACGACACCAAAACTTTCATGGGGGAACCAGTACAGCTGGCTGGGACAGAATGGCTTATTTCAATTCTGTTTTTGTTTTTTATGTTGCCCACCTAGTAATAACAACATCACGCATTGACTAAATCCACTTTGCTAGACCTTCTCTGTTGTGAAGTCACCTGTGATTATATTACCAACATACTTGGTTTGTGCGTTTGTGCGTTTGTGCGTGCGTGCGTGCGTGCGTGCGTGCGTGTGTGTGTCTGCTTGTACTAGTCCGGACTGATACCGATTTATAGTGCTAGCTCACTGAGATACCATGACAGTCCGCTCTCCGGGCGGGTGCTCTACCACAAGACAAAGGGGGCGGTTGGTTTTAGCAGAACATACATACAATGCAAATAACACTTCGGAGTTATTAAACCAAAATATTGCTTTATCGATAAGAGGTATGGGGTTGTTTTGAAATGTTGAAATTGAAACTGTACACTTTTTGTTTGTGCGTTTGTGCGTTTGTGCGTGCGTGCGTTCGTGCGTTCGTGCGTGCGTGCGTGCGAGCGTGTGTGCGTGTGTGTGTGTGTCTGCTTGTACTAGTCCGGACTGATACCGATTTATAGTGCTAGCTCACTGAGATACCATGACGCGTCCGGGGCCCGAACCCCGGACAGTCCGCTCTCCGGGCGGGTGCTCTACCACAAGACAAAGGGGGCGGTTGGTTTTAGCAGGACATACATACAATGCAAATAACATTTCGGAGTTATTAAACCAAAATATTGCTTTATCGATAAGAGGTATGGGGTTGTTTTGAAATGTTGAAATTGAAACTGTACACTTCTTGGCGTGTAAGTGGTGTCTCTAGTCCTAACCATATTGTGTGAGTGAGTGAGTGACTTCTGTTTAACGCCGCTTTTACCAGCATTCCAGTTATATCGCGGCGTGTCAGCTTAATGTGGGAGGAAAGCCCGAAGTGATGCAGGTCCCAGACGTTTACCACGTCGGTGAAACCCACGAGCACGGGTATGGTGCTGACAAACCTGGAAACATAATCGGGGCGAACCGGGATTCGAACCTACAATCATAGTTTTCTGGCGTGCCCCCCCCCCCCCCCCCCCCCCCCCCCCACAAAAAAGAGAGAACTGCACACTGAGATGGCAATCAGAGGCAAATCCAATTTGTTTGTTTGTTTGATGTTGAACGCCGCACTCACCAATATGCCAGCTATATGACGGCGGTCTAAAACTAATCTGGACAAGACAATCCAGTGATTGACATCATGAGCATCAATTCACGCAATTGGGATCCGATGACATGCATCAACCAAGTTAGCAAGCCTGACCACCCGATTCCTTTAGTCACCCCTTACGACAAGCATGGGTTGCTGAAGACCTATTCTACTCCGGATCTTCACGGATCGCAAATCCAGTACTGAAACATGGAATCATTTTGGTCATTATCAGAGTATTGTAAGTGTGAAAAACGGGAATTACGTAATTCTTTTGAAGCATTCATTCGTCTAGGGTGATTGTTTATAACGTTTGTAAGCAACCGAATTTCATTGCTTGAATGTTTTGCGAAGCTTATAATGCAACCCAGTCAGAGCGAGAGAACGAGATGTATATATGAATGAGACAACGGGGATGGGAGCATGAGTGAATATGTTGTTCAATATTTACGTCCAAGTCATTTGGGCAAACCCAGCGAGTATAAAAATAGATCCAGCTCACGACAGCAAGAGAGTCTTCGCATTAGGTATGTATTATACCCCTTGTCTCTAAACCACATGCCTTATAGCATTCCAAATATTTTGTTAAAAGTTATGAACCTGTAAACACATATTCCGTAGTTTGCCTCTGACGGAGCATGTGAAAGCCGGTGTAAAATTAGCATCGGACATTTAGTGCGTGGCTGCTTGTGCTAGACTTTGTTTGTTGTTGAACGCCGCACCCATCATTATTCCAGCTATATGACGGCAATCTGTAAATAATCGAGTCCTGAACAGAAAATCCAGTGATTGACATCATGAGCATCGATCCATGCAATTGTGATCGATGACATGTATCAACCAAGTCAGCGAGCCTGACCACCCGATCTGGTAAGTCGCCTCTTACGACAAGCATGGGTTGCAGAAGACTTTTTCTACCCCGGAATCTTCACGGGTCTGGTGCTAGTCATATACGATACAAGATAGTATTTTAGAATTTCTTTACTAAATTTACTCATTATTTAAAATATAAGCGACAAAACCGTTCCATTAACAAAAGAAGTGTCTGCTCAAAGCAGAATCCATTGTCAATATGTACCATGCCATGATTTGAGTTGCCATTGTGGCATATGTATTATCACGATCAGACCAACAAACACATGAGTGAATTTGTTGTTCAATGTTAACGTGATTGGGGAAAACCCATTGAGAATGAAAATAGACCCAAGTCAAGACACTATTGGAGTTTTTGCACTAGGTATGTATTATGCCCCTTGTTTCTTGGCCACTTATACAGTATTCGAATTAGCACGGAAAGGTTTGAATCGTAGCTGTGTATTAATTTTGTAAACAGTGAATGTCGGATAAGTGAGGTGGGGTCAAATGGGGTTTAAGGTCACCATAGTCAGATAATTGCGCTTGCATCGGGTGTGATTTTGCATGTACTCTTCAGGACCAACGTCGGTTTTAAAGTACTGAGATACCATGCCGGAGTGAGGTTAGGTAAGATGAAATGGGATTTAACGTAGCGTCCAAGATTATTGCACATATATAGCAACGTGCATGCACGTGTGTGTGCGTGTGTGAATGTATGAGCGTGTGTGTGTGTGTGTGTGTGCGTGTGCGTTCGTGCGTGTGCGTGCGTGCATGTGTGTGTGTGTGAGGGTTATGTTTGTACTAGTACGGACGAATGCCGGTTTTGTAGAACTATCTAACTGAAATACCACGCTGGAATTTTACCATTCCGGACTCCGAGCCTGCCAGTGCTTATTGTATCCCCTTAATGCCAAGCTCCAGGCAGGGTAACAACAAGTACCATTTTAAAGAGTACTTTTGTATGACGCGACCGGGGATAGAACCAACGAGCGTTGCTCACGCGGTCAACCCCTGGTTTTCCTTATCCACATTCTACTCATTAGCAATATGTATACGTATGTCAACTTCTCAAAAAAAGCCATTACACGCTGTTGTATATCAGGCCAGTATCGTGTAATATATCAGGTGGAAATGTTTCTGTTAGCGTACAATATAATTCTTGTTAGGCTGTTTTACAACCACCTCTTATTACACTATCTTCAATGTGGAGGTTTAGTACCCATATTACACTATCTTCAATGTGGAGGTTTAGTACCCATATTACACTATCTTCAATGTGGAGGTTTAGTACCTCTTATTTCACTATCTTCAATGTGGAGGTTTAGTACCTCTTATTACACTATCTTCAATGTGGAGGTTTAGTACCTCTTATGGGGGCACGGGTGGCCCAGTCGTCTAAGGCGCAGCGATTCGCTGTGCAGAGTTGCGTCCCTTGGGCACGCAAGAAATCTATGTATGTTGATTCGAATCCCGGTTCGCCCCGATTATGTTTCTAGGTTTGTCAGCACCATACCCGTGCTCGTGGGTTTCACCGAAGTGGTAAACGTCTGAGACCTGCATCACCTCGGGCTTTCCTCCAACATTAAGCTGACACGCCGCGATATAACTGGAATAATGTTAAAAGCGGCGTTAAACCCAACTCACTCACTCACTAGTACCTCTTATTACGCTATCTTCAATGTGGAGGTTTAACATATCAGTACCGTTTTCACTTACCTTAAAACAGTTTGCCTTTTATTAATTTAGTTAAAATGTTAAATCCTTAGTTTTAGAATTGTTGAAGATTGGTGTAATTTTAATTATTTACACTTTCTGGGTTTATGGCATCTTTAGAAAGAACTTTTATTACTTTAAATCTGAAGAAATATAGACATTTACTTGAAATTGGTCATTTTTACATTTTACACTTTGTATTTACAGTATGAGGACATCTATGATATCCCTTATCCTTTTTATATAATGCTGGTGGTCATCTGTGGTGTCCTTTACATTTTGTGAATACAGCATGTTGTCATCTATGATATCCTTCACAACTTGTATATACAGCATGTGGCAATCTATGGTATTCTTTACACTGTATATACAGCATGTGGCCATCTATGGCATCCTTTTCACTTTGTATGTATAACATGTGGCCATGTATGTCATCCCCTTCACTGTATATACAACATGTGGTAATCTATGGCATCCTTTACACTTTCTATGCATAACATGTGGCCATCTATGGCATCCTTTACACTGTAAATATAACATGTGGCCATCTATGGTAATCTTTACACTGTATATACAGCATGTGGCCATCTATGGTATTCTTTACACTGTATATACAGCATGTTGTAATTCCATATTATCACTTACACTGTATATACAACATGTGATAATCCTTGATATCCTTTACACTTTGTATGTATAACATGTGGCCATCTATGGCATCCTTTACACTGTATATACAGCATGTTGTAATTCCATATTATCACTTACACTATATATACAACATTTGATAATCCTTGATATCCTTAACACTTTGTATATGTAACATGTGGCCATCTGTGGTATTCTTTACACTGTATATACAGCATTGGGAAATCCTTGATATCCTTTACACTTTCTATGCATAACATGTGGTCATCTATGGCATCCTTTTCACTTTGTATGCATACCATGTGGTCATTTATGGCATCCCTTTCACTATATATACAGCATGTGGCCATCTATGGCATCCTTTACACTGTATATACAGCATGTTGTAATTCCATATTATCACTTACACTGTACATACAACATGTGATAATCCTTGATATCCTTTACACTTTGTATGCATAACATATGGCCATCTATGGCATCCTTTACACTGTAAATATAACATGTGGCCATCTGTGGTATTCTTTACACTGTATATACAGCATGTGGCCATCTATGACATCCTTTACACTGTAAATATAACATGTGGCCATCTGTGGTATTCTTTACACTGTATATACAGCATGTGGCCATCTATGGCATCCTTTACACTGTAAATATAACATGTGGCCATCTGTGGTATTCTTTACACTGTATATACAGCATGTGGCCATCTATGACATCCTTTACACTTTGTATGTATAACATGTGACTATCTATGGCATCCTTTATACTGTATATACAGCATGTTGTAATTCCATATTATCACTTACACTATATATACAACATGTGATAATCCTTGATATCCTTTACACTTTGTATGTATAACATGTGGCCATCTGTGGTATTCTTTACACTGTATATACAGCATTGGGAAATCCTTGATATCCTTAACACTATGTATGTATAACATGTGACTATCTATGGTATTCTTTACACTGTAAATATAACATGTGGCCATCTATGGTATTCTTTACACTGTATATACAGCATGTTGTAATTCCATATTATCACTTACACTATATATACAACATGTGATAATCCTTGATATCCTTTACACTTTGTATGTATAACATGTGGCCATCTATGGTATCCTTTACACTGTAAATATAACATGTGGCCATCTATGGTATTCTTTACACTGTATATACAGCATGGGGAAATCCTTCATATCCTTAACACTATGTATGTATAACATGTGACTATCTATGGTATTCTTTACACTGTATATACAGCTTGTGGCCATCTATGGCATCCTTTACACTGTATATACAGCATGTTGTAATTCCATATTATCACTTACACTATATATTCAACATGTGATAATCCTTGATATCCTTTACACTCTGTATGTATAACATGTGGCCATCTATGGTATTCTTTACACTGTTTATACAGCATGGGGTAATCCTTGAAATCCTTTACACTTTGTATGTATAACATGTGGCAATCTATGGTATTCTTTTCACTGTATATACAGCATTTGGCTGTTTGCACACATTATTACGTTATTGCTTCCTTTCTGAAAGCAAGGACCCTTTAATTATGAGTCGTATCTAAACTGATCCCAATCGAGTAACATAATGGACTACTATCCCCCTTGTCACACTGCAACTCGCAAAGTAATATGTAACATTGGGATAATCTTTTAAATACATCCATTTTAAAAATTTCAATTTTAAGAGGAAAGTTAATTTAAAATTAAACTGACCTCACTTAAAGAGTTATTTTGTTAACCGATGGTTTTTGTGTTGCAGTATGCCGATGTCTTCCTTTCTCCAGTAACAGAAGGATGGGCGGTTTGTATGGCACAATAGTTTTCTTCGTGTGTTTGACAGGTAGGATTTCTAGTCCACATCTCAATATAATGAAGTCTTTGTTATTTAACGCCGCACTCATATTTCAGCTGTATTGTGGCGGCCCGTAAATCCCCGAGTCTTGACCTGATAATCCAGTGATTGATTTGAGAGATGATCCATGTCAGCGAGTCGGTCCACCCGATCCATTTAGTCGTCCGTCCGTTGTAATCTGTGATTATTAAGATCACTTCTTAACTACAAGGCTTTTGAACGTAAATAATACCGTTGTGATCCAAGCAATGGTGTCTCTTGTAGTGATCACAGAATTTTTTAACATGTCCACGAAGGTAGCCCGTTAAAATGTCGGTTGTGTCAGTGTTCAGAATGTAACGTTGTGGATTTAGTATGCAGTAAGTGGTACGTACGTGTGGAATGGAATAACATATAATACATGGCGGCCTATTCACGAAGCCGTCTTAGCTATGACACGCCTTAGCGTCGTACGACTACAATTACGACTGCAATAAGAGCTGAACAAGAGAGATTGGTCTATGGATATACAACTTCTTTATTACAATGAACGACCGCCTCCGTGGTCTAGTGGTAGAGCGTCCGCCCGGAGAGAAGAAGGTCCGGGGTTCGTTTGCCGCGTCATAACCAAAGACGTTAAAAGATGGTACTTGTTGTTACCCTGTCTGGCGCTCGGCATTGAAGGGCTAAAACAAGAACTGGCCGGCTTGGAGTCAGTATACTGTGTCTAATTTGGGTATTAATGTTAAACTGTGGCATGGTTTCTCAGTGTGCTAGCACTCTAAATCGACATCAGTCCGGACTAGTACAAGCAGCCACACACACACACACACACACACACACACACACACACACACACACACACACACACACACACACACACACACACACACACACGTCGCTATATAACTGCAATAATCTTGGACGCGACGTTAAACCCCATTTAACCTGACGTGAAAGCTTGATAACGGTGTTAGTATGAACATTGTAATGAAGAAGTTGTATGTCCACAGAACTATAACTAGATCTCTTGTTCATCATTCCAACTTCTAAATGCCAAGTTCTCTTCCATAAGAGCTATTCTTGAAGCTGTCTTAAACGACACAAGAGTATGCTGGGGCAGTGAGCTCTTTTGTGACGTAGGTAAAACATGCAGGAGGTTTCCCTCTGACGTCATCGATTATTTAGGGAATTCCCCGACTGCAATTCATGTATATATTTATATACCTAAATATGTACGTGTGAGTTTTGAAGATAAACACTGATTTTCATGAATAAATGCTCGTGTTGATTTGTTTTGGCCTGAGGGCGGTCTTGATCATATGTTGTCATGTATAGCTGATCAATATTGGACCCGTGAAGATTCGGGGTAGAATAGGTCTTCAGCAGCCCATGCTTGCCGTAAAAGGCGGCTAGGCTTGTCGGAAGAGGCGACTAACCAGATCGGGTGGTCAGGCTCGCTGACTTGGTTGATGCATATCATCAATCCCAATTGGGCGGATCGATGCTCATGATATCAATCACTAGATTGTCTGGTCCAGACTCGATTATTTACAGACCTCCGTCATATAGCTGGAATATTGCTGAGTGCGGCGTTAATCAACAAAGCAAACAAAGAAAGATCAATGTAGAATACTATCGTAGAGCTGTTGTCCGTTGTAGATAAATCTACGAAGCATGGAAGTTTAATATACAGAATTCGTAAGGACGATTTGACAAAAATTACAAAAATGTGACAAAAATATATGATAGTTAGCGAGTTGAAGATCACTGGCGCCGATTTCATCCTTGAAACTAACACTAAAGAAGTAAACATAGGATTTTATAAATATCCTGAATGGTTTTTGTGTGTGGATATGTTCAGAATTTCCTTGACATTTTGTAAGCTTTTGTCTGTAAACTGTCATTCTGCAGGATCTCACATCTTGCATAACGGAAACATATCTTCCAGGACAAAGCATACTGCATGTTATCAGTACGGCCACATGTCGAAAACAGACAGATTGCTCCACACGCTCTGGGCAAACATCCTTGAAGATATAACGATAGTGAATTTAAAATAATACTGTTGCAATCTCGTTAAATTTAGATCTGTATTCCCATGGGTTGCCTCTCTGATTCAAACCTGAGCATCATGGTAGACAACGACGGAAAATATAGCAAGGCAGCAAACATGACTTGTAAACATTTAATACAATCTGAACAGATAGATATTTTACGTATTTTTCAAATCTGAAAAAAACACTGTGGATTCTGTCTGCAACAGTGGGTGCACGAGGAACGATGTAATACATTGTGCACCTCGGCGTCGTGTTTCTCAGTGCATGGTTGTATCATATGCACAGCAAAGCAAAGTTTTATTGTCAACGTTCCCCTTTAGGCTTTGTTGTCTTTCTGTGTGCACTGATGTTATGTGTCCACTGATGTTCTGTGTGCACTGATGTTCTGTGTGCACTGATGTTCTGTGTGCACTGATGTTCTGTGTGCACTGATGTTCTGTTGCACTGATGTTCTGTGTGCACTGATGTTCTGTGTGCACTGATGTTCTGTTGCACTGATGTTCTGTGTGCACTGATGTTCTGTGTGCACTGATGTTCTGTTGCACTGATGTTCTGTTGCACTGATGTTCTGTTGCACTGATGTTCTGTGTGCACTGATGTTCTGTTGCACTGATGTTCTGTGTGCACTGATGTTCTGTGTGCACTGATGTTCTGTGTGCACTGATGTTTTGTGTGCACTGATGTTCTGTTGCACTGATGTTCTGTTGCACTGATGTTCTGTGTGCACTGATGTTCTGTTGCACTGATGTTCTGTGTGCACTGATGTTCTGTTGCACTGATGTTCTGTGTGCACTGATGTTCTGTGTGCACTGATGTTCTGTTGCACTGATGTTCTGTTGCACTGATGTTCTGTTGCACTGATGTTCTGTGTGCACTGATGTTCTGTTGCACTGATGTTCTGTTGCACTGATGTTCTGTGTGCACTGATGTTCTGTTGCACTGATGTTCTGTGTGCACTGATGTTCTGTGTGCACTGACGTTCTGTTGCACTGATGTTCTGTGTGCACTGATGTTCTGTTGCACTGATGTTCTGTGTGCACTGATGTTCTTTGGTACAAACTGTTCTTTCTTGCATATGGAGATTCGGGTAGCCTAGTGGTTAAAGCGTTTGATCGTCACGCCGAAGACCCGGGTTCGAATCCCGACATGGGTACAATGTGTGAAGACCATTTCTGGTGTCCCCCGCCGTGATATTGCTGGAATATTGCTAACAGCGGCGTAAAACCATACTCACTCGCCCACTCTTTTATATGACTTCTTTTCTTTGAATGATGTTCATGGGTTTTTGCTTTGCATTTTGACCTTTATTAGAACATTAAATAGTTTATATGTAATACTTAATTATTATTGACTGGTGACCTTTATGGTAACTGATTTATTTTTTTACCGAAATAAAGGAAAAAGGTAGATTGATTGTTATGCTATCATCTGTTATGGACTCGCTGTTACGCTTAAGTCATAATCGGTAAATGCGATGTTTGTGGCGTGTTTTCTAGGATCTGTTGTTTGTATTTTTAAAGTGGTAGTGGAAACCACTGGGTTTTTGTGGTCAGAAATGATACATAACTCCCATACCCTTGGGTAGCTGTCGTCAACAGGCCCTCTATTGTCCCCCATCTTCCCTATAGGACCCTGTCTAATCTGTGTCGTAAAGTTAAGATGAATCAGCGCTGAGATAACTTCGAGAATTGGCTTAGCTAAGATCTTTTTGGCTGCGACAACTTTACGAGAATCTCTGCGCTGGAACAGCTTTGTGAATCGACCGCCTGGTTTGTTTGTTTGCTGCCCTCAGCAACATTCCAGCTATATGACGGCGGTCTGTAAATAATCGATTCTGGACCAGGCAATCCAGTCACTGACATCATGGGCATCGATCAACACAATTGGGATACGATGACATGCATCAACCAAGTCAGAGAGCCTGACCACCTAATCCCGTGAGTCGCCTCTTAGGACAAGCATAGTCGATTTTTAAGCCAATTATGGTTTCCTGAAGACCTATTCTCTACCCGAATCTTCACGGGTGCGATCGCCTGGTATTATCATTAATTGATAGTGATTTATTAAGAGGATGCGTATGATACAGTCGAATTCGTACAAGGGAATTTTGGTAGAGATTTCTTATGATGTTTGACATTGTATTGCAATTTTTAGTTTGTGTTGCCCCTGCTATGACCTTTGACCTTCACCCTCACCCAGCCAATCATGAACTTGATCTACCTTATTTTTGGCGTAACCACTTGGCTTATGCATTTACAGGATCCAGGTTATGGCGTGTGCTGACTGAATGCCGATCCGATTTTAACATGGTCATCATGGCAAAAACTATTCCAAAAAGTATTATTTTCTCATTATGGAGAGAATTGCAATGACAAATAAGAAGCAATCGGTCAGTTTTTGCAATTCTCACAATTCTCCAAAAGAAAACATTTATCTTAACATTTCATTTGTTTGCAGGATTTGTGCTGACCAGAAACAAATCATGTCTCTCTTACAACGAGGCCACCAAGAAGTGTGAATGTTGCTACAGTGGGCTGACAGGACAGGACTGTAAGACCGAATGTCCCAACTGTGGCAGTAGCTATGTAAACAACAGATGTAAGAGATTTTGCCAGAATGCACCATCTTATGGTACGCTGTGTGACAAACAATGTCCAACTCCTTGCCTTCGTAATGGAGGTTGTGATGAAAGTTGTGCGACTCAATTGGACTCTACAAAAGGTATGCTAATTCAGATTTTTCATTTAGACAAGAAAAATCTATTTTTTCTATTTACACTGTTAACAGATAATTAAGTGATCATATACGTGGAATGTGAACTCAGCTATTCTCGTTCAATCGTTACATTCTATTTCTTAACCCTCATTCATTTATGAAAACAGGAACCTTATTTCTCATACGTATACTTTATTTTAAGCAAAATAATTTAATGGATACCTGATAATTGCCAGTCAGTGAAGAAGCTCTCTTGTCATGAAGTATTCATTTTTACTGCCTACCTTAATCCCTATTAACACAAGAATGGTAATTAATTTAAAGTATTTAAAAACATAAAACAGATATACATGGCAAGCAAGAGCCATGTCCATCGGGTTGCTTTCACGAAAGAATCTGAGACAAGAACTGTGATAATTCTGGAGCATCAAGATCACTCCCAGCAGGGCCTGTTGCATCCTCATATTGTAGGTTACATTGTCAATACAAATATTGACAGTTTCCAACAAGGGATCTTCCATCCTCAATGGGGAGGTTACATTGTCAATACTACATATTGACAGCTTCCACCAGGGGTTGCTCCGTCCACACAGGGTAGATTACATTGTCATTATTACATGTTGACAGCTTCCATCATGGGCCGTTCCGTCCTCACAGGGTAGATTACATTATCAATACTACATATTGACAACTTCCAACAAGGGATTTTCCATCCTCACTGGGTAGGTTACATTGTCAATACTACATATTAACAGCTCCCAACATGGCCGGATGCATCCTCACAAAGGAGGTTACATTGTGAATACTACATATTGACATCTTCCAAAAAGGGGTCTTCCATCCTCACTGGGTAGGTTACATTGTTAATACCACATATTGACAGCTTCCACCAGGTTCTGCTATTGAAATTAATGGGACCGTGAATTAAATGCGGAAAGTGCGAGTGGTCTTTGCTCGCATGAATTGAACTTCGCATTTATGTCTTCAAAATGACTATCAACAATAAGACGGCCTCACTGCACACTTTGGATAACGGAAATACCAACTTGAATATAAACACAAACAACCATCTATTCCACATTACGGTTTATTGAGCAGCAGTTGCAACAAGTAAATAACGCTGTCATTCAAAGAATAGAAATTACACAATTGGCATCCGGTGAGTTACCACTGCTGGGGTCAAAAGTTCTACCCACTCGTGTCAAACTAGGTATCACTGACCACTACAGCAGTCCAGACAGATTCCCTCCATGCAGCACTGCATCTATCTATCATCTTGTATGAGCTTCAATGTTTCCTGATTCAGACAAGAGACCATCAACTGAACGCATTCCCCTGAACTCCCAGACAGTACATGGTAAGGTTTAAACCAGTTTATGTATTTGTATTTGTTTCACGCCTCTCACAGCAATATTCCAGCTATATAACGACGGTCTGTTAATAATCGAGACATTCCAGTGATTGACACCATGAACATCGATTTAAGCGATACGATGATGTGCATCAACCGAGTCAGCTAGCCTGACCACCCGATCCCTGTAGTCGCCTCTTACGACAAGCATAGATCTTCACCGGGGTTATGCCTGTGTATGAAGAAGGCAACACAATGTTGAACTTTTATTTCAATGGATGCTTTTTATGAAATGCTTTTTAAAGATATGTTGTTCTGCTCCGTCCTTTCTGTGTACTATTGACACAGACATTTAAAGAGAAAGGCAACTGATCAAATTCTACGTTTTGAATAACCACCGATAAATGCTTAGAAATTGTTACTGATGATCAAATTTACATTTACAGAGTTTGGTGTATAAAATAGTATCATAATCAGTTGTCTGTCTGTTGCAGGGCCAGCTTCCCTTCGTCCTATTGAAGGGGCTCTCATCACGTTGGCAGTGTGTGCTGCTGTTTTTATTGTTGCCCACATCATCACTGGAATGAAGAAAGTCTGCACAAAAAGGTAATTTCAATATTTCAAAGTCTACACACTCTGCGTCACTTCTTTATCAGATCGGTTAAAAGGACCGATGATTGTATATTCGTAACTGATCATGTACAAAATATAGACTTGCACAGTTTTTGGTTGAGTAAATAAATTAAGGGTGACAAAACACTTTCAATAATCATAAGAAATCTTTGTTCCAAGCTGAGTCCACCGAAAGAATCCGACTATATCATAACCATGTGTTTATGAATCAGTATGAAATAGTAATGATACTAGGTGTATACTGCAACACCGCTGGCACCCGTCACAAACACATGAAAAGGCAAGTCAATTGTTCACTCGTGAACTTTGTTATCACAACTACGTGTCAGAAGGACAATTAACCAAATATAAAAATTTATGGAGTTAATAATATTGACAATGCAAGCAAGGGGAGGTAACAATCTTTCCGCAAATGATCGACACATCGTAAAATCAGAACGGCGCGATTCTTGTCCGTTTTCAATTTGCAATGTGTTCGGAACGACCATGATTTAAAAAAGAGCACTTTCACCCAGAGATCTAAATTTCACCATTCAAACAACGATCAGATGTAATAGATTATCAATTCTTATTTATGTAATCAATTTTCTGCATGCATAATTTAGACACGTACATAAGCTATATATTTCATAATGACGCCATAATGGATTTTCTTCTGTGTTGGTATTTTCAATCATCAGCTATATGTTTTAGCAAGAGTTGATGACTTTTCTCTCATCCATCCCACTGCTTAATATGTTTTAACAAAGTAATCTATATTCATGTATCCATTTAGCATACTTGTATTCCTCATAACCTTGCAATATCATTTTTTAGCAACAGTTTTAAAGGTAATACTTTCGGCATGTACAACCCATAGCTCTAAGCATATATTTCGTATGAACAATCACCAAATGTTTTGTTGCCAGGTTGAAAGCTCTTTACGACAAGTGTAAAAGTGGTAAGTTCAATAGTATTCTTAACATCCCATTAAATGCCATAGGTAACGATGACTGTCATGGTCTACTGGTGAGGTAGTTTGGTATGTTTGTTTCTGTTAAGTCGTAAGCAACCACCATCGAAGAATATATCTTACTGTTACCATTCACATAACACACTGGTATAGAGTTGTACAAGAATGTATTTATGTTCACAATAGGCCACATCTGGACATACATTGTTTCACTGTGGTGTACTGGACAATGACATGCATATTGTGTTTGAAATACAATGATAAACTGTAAATCTTGAAATTAACGCGAACTTGAAAGCGAGTGGTCTTTGCTCGCATGAATTAAACCTCGCATTTATGTCTTCAAAATGACTATCAACAATTAGACAGCTTCACTGCCCACTTTGGATAACGGAAATACCAACTTGAATATAAACACAAACAACCATCTATTCCACATTACGGTTTATTGAGCAGCAGTTGCAACAAGTATATAACAATGTCATTCAAAGAGTAGGATTTACACAATGGGCATCCGGTGAGTTACCACTGCTGGGGTCAAGAGTTCTTCCCACTTTTGTCAAACTAGGCGTTAATGAGTACAACCGCAGTTCAGACAGATCCCTCCATGCAGCACTGCATCTATCTATCATCTTGTATGAGCTTCAATGTTTCCTGATTCAGACAAGAGACCATCAGCTGAACGTATGCCCCTGAACCCCCCGACAGTACATGGTAAGGTTTAAACCCGTTTATGTATTTGTATTTGTTTTACGCCTCTCACAGCAATATTCCAGCTATATAACGACGGTCTGTTAATAATCGAGACATTCCAGTGATTGACATCATGAACATCGATTTACGCGATACGATGACATACTTCAACCGAGTCAGCTAGCCTGACCACCCGATCCCTTTAGTCGCCTCTTACGACAAGCATAGATTGCTGAAGACATAATCTAACCAGGATATGACTGTTTGTTTTACGGTTAAATGATTGGCGTGAACATGTGGGTTATCTCCCATATGCCGGTATGACACATGTGGGTATACTGCATAGTTAACAAAGATCTCCGTTAATGACCTGTTTATACGTCAGCATATTCACTGGGACTTAGAGTCATATTCTTTATTCACACACGTAACTTGGAAGATGGTTGAAGATAAATATAAATAGAGAATCTCACCCGAGTGTCTTTTGATATCAAATATATCAACACGAGTTGATAAAAGTGGAAAAATTCCGAGGCTTGCCGAGGATTTTTGCCACTTTTATCAACGAGTGTTGATATATTTGATATCAAAAGACACTCGGGTGAGATTTTATTTATCATCCAACATCATTCGTCCAACTTTTTCAATTTGTAGACAGTAATTAGCAGTGTTTTCAGTGTAAAAAGTACTGCTAACAGCTTCAGTAGCAGAGCCATTAGTGATGTCATTTGATTGTGACGTCATGGTAACCGGTGACGTCACAATGGTCTGCAAAACATTGTGATGTAATTTCACTGCAGCGATATCTACAGTGTAGATATCGCTTGATCTAATCCAAGCGATATCTCCTGTGGAAGCCAGTTTTGGATGATAAAATACAGTAAACTACGGTTATACCGAACTCAAAGGGACCTCTAACTTTAGTTTGTTATAACCGTAGTTCGTTATAAGCATATATACAGCATAACTATAGCAAATAGTCGAGACAAAAAAACAGTTTGTTATATCCGCCAGTTCGTTACAAGCGTGTTCGTTATAAACGTACTATACTGTATATATGATTTTTCAGTGCCTCACCTGGAAGGTAAATAATGAAGTTTGCGCTATATAACGTTTATTTCTATAACATACTTAAGCATGTACATATCATGTTTATCTACGTGATAACACGTACGTGTGTAATATGTGAAGACGTTTGATGCACTGTTACTATTTCAAGGTGAAGTCAGTGATTCCACAACACAGACTGAAGTAGATGGTGCTCCATCACCACCAACAGATTTCCTTCACAGTGAAAGCACTATGAATGTAAGCAGTGATCCTTACTACTAAATACTTTTTACCTTGATTGTTTCATGTCTAACTATGTTATGTCAGCACACACACACACACACACACACACACACACACACACACACACACACACACACACACACACACACACACACACACACATACCCACCCACTCAGACCCACCCACCCACCTACCCACCAACCCACCTACCTACCTACCTACCTACCTACCTACCTACCTACCTACCTACCTACCTACCTACCTACCTACCTACCTACCTACCTACCTACCTACCCACCTACCTACATATAGACACTCGCATGGTTTATTATCTATATTAATATGTCATACATTATACAGTTCAATCACTTCAAGCTTGATATTCTCTTGATTTTCAGAAGAAGGACTCATCTCGGTTAGTTCCAGAACAGCCTCAAAGAGAAGAGTCCCGTTGTTACCAGATCAGTGAGCCAGTGGCCGAGTCAGAACAAGACTTTGACGTGCACACAGGATGAGCAATACAGTTGGGAAGCTATCATGGTACAGCTGGTGCCATCAGTAACATTGTTTAGGGATTTTTTCTATTTCCAATTAGTTCTAAGAAGTCCAACGCTAACTCTATCTATCATTGTATCATCAGTGCATCATTGATATAGGGTAGAATATATGTTTTTCTATGAGGTCACCTCTGTTGATAAAGCCAGCCGTATCGTATCGAGAGACGGTAAAAAAGGGGTACTTATGTGGCGCTCAGCAATAAGGGGATACAACAAGGACTGGTCGGCTCGGAGTCAGTATGCTGTGTCTCAGTAGGGTATTCATGATAAAGTGTTTGATGTCACCTCATAAGTGAGTATGGTTTTACGCACACACACAAAATGGACTTAGCATTGGGTCACTGCCCAAAGATAGACTAAGTATTGAATCACCATGCCAACATGGCCTTAGGTCACTGCTCTACAATGAAATAAGTATTGCGTCACCACCCTAAGATGGACTAAGTATTGAATCACCATGTCAACACAGTATTAAGTCACTGCTCTACAATGAACTAAGTAATGCGTCACCACCCTAAGATGGACTAAGTATTCAATCACCATGTCAACACAGTATTAAGTCACTGCTCTACAATGAACTAAGTACTGCGTCACCACCCTAAGATGGATTTAGTATTGAATCACCATGTCAACACAGTATTAAGTCACTGCTCTACAATGAACTAAGTAATGCGTCACCACCCTAAGATGGACTAAGTATTCAATCACCATGCCAACATGGTCTTAAGTCACTGCTCTACAATGAACTAAGTATTGCGTCACCACAGATAGACTAAGTATTTATCTGTATTCGCCACACCGGAAGATGGACCAAATATTTGTTTATCACCCAAAGACCGTTCAATTATCCAAAATTCCCATATTCAATTACCCAGGAGTTTCATTTTCAGTTACCCATAAGTTCCATATTCAATTACCTATAAGTTCCGTATTCAATTACCCATAAGTTCCATATTCAATTACCCATAAGTTCCGTATTCAATTACCCATAAGTTCCATATTCAATTACCCATAAGTTCCGTATTCAATTACCCATAAGTTCCATATTCAATTACCCATAAGTTCCGTATTCAATTACCCATAAGTTCCATATTAAATTACCCATAAGTGCCTTATTCAATTACCCATAAGTCCCATATTAAATTACCCATAAGTTCCATATTCAATTACCCATAAGTTCCGTATTCAATTACCAATAAGTTCCGTATTCAATTACCAGTAAGTTCCATATTAAATTACCCATAAGTTCCGTATTCAATTACCCATAAGTTCCATATTAAATTACCCATAAGTGCCATATTCAATTACCCATAAGTCCCATATTAAATTACCCATAAGTTCCATATTCAATTACCCATAAGTTCCGTATTCAATTACCCATAAGTTCCGTATTCAATTACCCATAAGTTCCATAGGAGACATGGGCCTTAAAATGGGTGTTGCTAAAGCTACGTATTTCTTGGGTGATGTCATGTCATCTTGAATTTAGTCTCTGCAACATAGGGAGGCAACTGTGTTAACAGTAGACTTGAAAACCGCTTTAGACTGTCGGCGAGGTCAGATGTGTGTCATCTGTCGCTCTCGCTTTTTTGGGGGGTCAGATATCGTCAAATTTCGTTCTTTTGGTTTTAACGAGATAAAATATCATCAAGGTAAATTTAAATTACTGCCATATAATATTAGCTTACTTTGTTGCCATATTTGCACCCCACACATCCACACCACACAGACATACACGCAGACACAATACACACACCACAGCCACACGCACAGACATACACACACCACACATACACAGCCCACGCACGCACACGCCCACACACAGACACACCACACATACAGATACACACACCACATACACAAAGGGGCACATACACACACCACACATACACACACGGACACACCACACATTCACACATACATATACACACATCACATACACACAGGGGCATATACGCACACCACACATACACACAAGGACACACCACACATTCACACATACAGATACACACATCACATACACACAGGGGCATATACACACACCACACATACACACACTGACATACCACACGCTCACACATACAGATACACACATCACATACACACAGGGGCATATACACACACCACACATATACACACGGACACACCACACATTCACACATACAGATACACACATCACATAAACACAGGGGCATATACACACCACACATACACACACGGACACACCACACGTTCACTCATACAGATACACACATCACATACACAAAGGGGCATATACACACACCACACATACACACACGGACATACCACACGCTAACACATACAGATACACACATCACATACACACAGGGGCATATACACACACCACATACACACACGGACACACCACACGCTCACACATACATATACACACACCACATACACACAGATGCATATACACACACTACACATACACACACGGACATACCATACGTTCACACATACAGACACACCACACGTACACACATACATATACACACATCACACATACACACCGCACTCGCGCACATATTCCAGCAGTATCACGGCGGGGGACACCAGAAATGGGCTTCACACATTGTACCCATGTCGGGATTCGAACCCGGGTCTCCGGCGTGATGAGCGAATGCTTTAACCACGAAGCTACCACACCGCCCAGTTCCTGTTCAGATAGAGTGTGTCAATGTATTTTATGCAAATACTTATCAATCATATGCATATTGTCGTATGCAGATGATGATAGTGGTATGTATTAATCTTTCCTAATATGGCACGGCAGGAGTACTGCTGCGAGGCGTCAGGCAACAAATACTTACGTTTTTAAGCAAATTGTGTGAGGTGCGGGTTCTACCGGTAGGGCAGGACATTCTTACCCTTTTCGCGAACACCTGGTATCAATACTGATTTTCAGTGATCCATTCATATAATTGTCACCGCTATTTTGCCCAATGGAACCTGTTTGGGCGGATACTTGAGAAGCCATTGGTTATTCTCTGGCGTTGACGTTTTAGATTTAGAAATCATTGTCAATCGTTTTACGTCATGTTCGATAATATGTTGTTTATTTTTATTTCCATGTACATATATAATTGATTGTAAATATTTATTGACTCTGAACTGGACAAATAAACTGTTGTTTGTTCTCGTAGGTATTGTTTTAATTTGTGAGCTGGTCGTATACAGTGATACCTGTTTAGCGAGTTCAATTCAAATGACGATTTGTAAGGGGTGGCACAACACGTGGCTGTTGAACGTGGAGATGAGCTGTATGTAGACCTCTCTCGTCTGACCCGCAACTAGTACTCCAGTATCCTGATGAAGTTGGCAGCAATTTGATTCGCTGTTTGACCTCGATCTGGAAGAGCCTGGTTAGGGATCAATCGCCCCATTCGTCACCACTCGCCCCCTAACCTGCAAGACGACTCGTCCCCCTATCGATGAATGTTATGTGCTTCGTCAAAGAATCCCTCAGAAATAATTTTTGATTTTACATGTCTTGCATCTAAAAATATACCCAAGACACAGTTAAATGTGTTCAGTCATACTGTATAATTCCGCATGTCCCGATGTGCTTTAAATTGCATCTGAAATATATGTAACACATGGGAAAATAATATGTGAACCATTACGCAACGAGTAGACAATTGTTTTAGGTATGCCCGTTTGCGCTAAGGCGGAACCCGGTCACAAAAATGGCCATGAGAGGGGCACGAGTCGCTATTCGGCTTGTCCCGGAATAACACGAGTTGGTCGCGAATGCAATCGCCCCTGTACTGTCTGTTGTCGTTGACCTGGGACGTCCGGAACGGGGTCGATCGTCAACAGTTTGGGTTTGTTGGTACCTGTTCCATAGTCTGCTAAACAGACTGTGAAACATGGAACCTATTGGCCACTGCACGCTGACTTCTGCCAGTTTCTATCATGCCAATAGCCCGTAGACTCTCCGCGCGTTGGACGGGAATAATGGTCCACCGAAATAAATCGACCTTCCCTGAAAGTGTCAAAGTCAGGAATGTCATCCTACGGATGTGTGTGGCGCTACTGCGTGCGACACGTACACACATTGGTTGTGTTTTGCTGTTATTTTTTTCAAAGACCATATACCAATGGTTGGCTGGTTGGTTGGTTTGTGGTTTTACGCCGCACTCAGCAATATTCTAGCAATATGACGGCGGTCTGTAAGTACTGGACCAGACAATCCAGAGATAACATGAGCAACGATCCACGCAATTGGGATGCATCATGCATCAACCAAGTCAAAGAGCCTGACCACCTGATCCCGTTAGTCCCCTTTTACGACAAGCATAGTCGCCTTTGCGCAAGCATGGGTTGCTGAAGACCTATTCTACCCCTGATGTTCACGCATTGGGGATATGATGACATCCTTCAACCAAGTCAGCGAGCCTGACCACCCGATCCCGTTAGTCGCCTTTTACGACAAGCATAGTCGCCTTTTATGGCAAGCACTTGTTGCTGAAGACCTGTTCTACCCCAGATCTTCATGGGCCGAGTTTATTATTAAATGAGAGCAGACGATGTCTTGTGGCCTGGGTTTAGCCCTAGTGGTATAAGGGAGGCAACTATGTTAAGACTATTGTTGCAGGCTACATGCGACTTGTTCGTTTGTGTGTGAAGGATCAGGTTTTCTGACAGATTTTCTTGTGAAAATATAAAATGATGTTCCTTAAATTAGTTCAATTCAAGTTCAAGGAAAATAACCTAAATTATAATCTGAATGCCCCGATTAAATCCGAATGCCACTATAATATTCTTCCAAAATTATTGGTTTTCTGCGGAGACGATACTATAACAGGTTCCACAATAAAGGAATTAAAAAAAATAATGAAAACTTTCAAATTGTTGCCATGGCAAAATCCATATTAACAAATGATATTAAGATATCGCCATCTTCAATTCGTTTTAGTTATCTTGGCGTTATGACCCTTTTAAAGAAAACTATCAAATATTTTAGAATTATTCTACGTTTTACTGAACATCAGAATGATGATTCAGATTCCTAGGATTCCTGTTGATAAGAATATTTTTTAAAACAAATCACATTTGGATTTTTCCCATTAAAAAAACACACTAAACTTTAAATTTAAAGCCATAAACAAATAGATCCCGATACTACTTAACACAATCATAGTACATGTTCCATAATACAATGATGTCAAGAGAGTTCTTATTCTTATTGAATGTACAATCAATGTTTTAATGATGTCAGCGATGGGGGGAGGGGGGGAGAGGGGGTAAAGCAATTGTTCAATTAGCAGTGCCTTATTAATTACTGCCAAGAGCTGCTACTCTTTATTAAAAACGTGTGTAGTTTTCCTCCAAACTGTAAAGGATGTTGACTTTTGGCACTAATTTAAAAAGATGTTGATTTCATAGGTGTAGATTTACATAAAATATGAACATCTTCATATTATGTTCATATTAGCATTATATGTAACTATGCAAGTGGTGTGTATTTTCTTCAGAAATGTTCAAGAAACTACGAATGCAGCTGATTATAATGTGTATAAAAGCGACAAAAACCTTTCCACATTCATAAGAAATAAAAAGATCGATTGTACGGTACCGACTATATCAGGAGCCTATGTTTATGATTCACTATCAAATAATGAATCACTATCAAATAATGAGTGAGTGAGTTGGGTTTAACGCCGCTTTTAACAGTATTCCAGTTATATCGCGGCGTGTCAGCTTAATGTGGGAGGAAAGCCCGAAGTGATGCAGGTCTCAGACGTTTACCACTTCGGTGAAACCCACGAGCACGGGTATGGTGCTGACAAACCTAGAAACATAATCGGGGCCAACCGGGATTCGAACCCACACTCATAGGTTTCTGGCGTGTCCAAGGGACGCAACTCTGTAAGCGAATCGCGTTGCCTTAGACGACTGGGTCGCCCGTGCCCCCAGCATTATATTTAACTATGCAAGCGGTGTGTATTTTCTTCAGAAATGTTCAAGAAACTACGAATGCAGCTGATTATAATGTGTATAAAAACGACAAAAACCTTTCCATATTCATAAGAAATAAAAAAATATATTGTACGGTACCGACTATATCAGGAGCCTATGTTTATGATTCACTTTCAAATAATGAATCACTATCAAATAATGAGTGAGTGAGTTGGGTTTAACGCCGCTTTTAACAGTATTCCAGTTATATCGCGGCGTGTCAGCTTAATGTGGGAGGAAAGCCCTCCGCCTCCGTGGTCTAGTGGTAGAGCGTCCGCCCGGAGAGCGGAAGGTCCGGGGTTCGATCCCAGACAGCGTCATACCAAAAGACGTTAAGAGATGGTACTTTTTGTTACCCTGTCTGGCGCTTGGCAATAAGGGGCTAAAACAAGGACTGGTCGGCTCGGAGTCAGTATACTGTGTCGTAGTGGGGTATTCATGTTAAACTGTGGCATGGTATCTCAGTGTGCTAGCACTATAAATCGTCATCAGTCCGGACTAGTACAAGCAGCCACACACACGTGCATGCACGTCGCTATATAAGTGCAATCTTGGACGCGACGTTAAACCCAATTTCACCTCACCTAATAAATTCTGTATGTCTATCTGTACTAAACTTGCAGGCCTACCCCTTCAGCCGGTTATGAGAAGAAGTGGGAAGTTACCGAACGGACGCACCCCTACTCGAGTATACGCTGCCTGTTCTGGTAAACTAAACGTTTTCACCTCTATTTACGTTCTCTTAATGTGATTATCAATTCATTATTGCAATATTGTCCATGCTGGTTACAATTAATCCACTCACTACTCCCCCTTACATCGTTGTTGTGACTTTAATTTATTTTAACTCACTCAAATTGGTTTTTTATCATTCAAAAATACGTCACGTTAAAAAGGAAAAATGCCGGGTCAAAAGTTTTGAAAAGAGCATTAAGGGCACCCATAAATCGACGCGTGACATGCTCTTGTTCGTCACGGAGAAGACCTGAAATTGGTACAATGTCTGAAAAGTGATAAACCTCAATATCCTAGTATGTTTGTTTATTTGTTGTTTAACGCCACTCTCCGCAATATTCCAGCTATATCACGGCGGTCTGTAAATAATAAAGGCTGGGCCAGACAGTTCAGTGATTGACATCACGAACGATCCCTTAAGTCGTGTCTTATGACAAGCATGGGTTGCTGAAGACCAATTCCAACCCGGATCTTCACGGGGCCACTGACCTAATACGCATTCCACATCAGAGGCAGCCTCATGACGTCGGACATCCGGGTATGGCCGGTAGTGTTGCTGTTTCAATTACCTTGTTGTAAGTGTATTTATAAACCTAAACATGTCGATGTACAAGGAGTATCAATGAATAAGGATTCTTTAAAAAGAATGTTTGAAGATAGCAAGCAAATGTGGTTTACATGTTTATTTATCGATATGTCAGAACAAGGCGGAATCGAACTGTGACTAATTAATGCAAGAACAATTTAACTGATACTGTACATTACCCCTTCTAAAGGGAAATTAATTAACTTAGAACATGTTAATACTTATCTTGAATGTAATTGTCACAACTGAGGGTCGGTCTGGTCGGTCGGCCTAGTGAACAAAGCGTTCGCTCGTCACGCCGAAGACCTGGGTTCGATTCCCGACATGGGTACTATATGTGAAGCCCATTTCTGGTGTCCCCCGCCGTGATATTGCTGGATTATAGCTAAACGCGGCGTAAAACCTGACTCACTCATAACTGAGATCACAGGTTCAAACACGCACGGCATGCCCAAGTTGTTTTTAATTCCAATTTTCAGCGGAAAAGTACTAAAACTATATACATATGTACATGCATCCAGATGGGCCAAGTAAACTTATGGTTGATTAGATTGAGACAACGCCCTACGCCTTCGGGGCTTGATGACCACCCAATTCCCATGTGTATCTCATGTCGTTGCCAGTGCATGTACTGTGCTAACAGACGTCGACGCTGACCAGAAGCTGAGTCACAAGAGTAGACTATTGTTGTAGATCAATTAACCAACATGTTCACAGCATGTGAACCATACAGGAAACATTCTGTGATGTCATTAATATTGGCCCAACAGACTTAAGTGTATTCTTACACCATGAGTGTGAGTGAACGAGACGGGTATCACTGCTGTCTTGCAATGTCAACGTCACTAAGTGAAGAAGACCAGAATCAGTGCATGTATAAAATGCGTACGTGTACAACAAGAATGCATCTCTTGCTTGTAAATAAAATAAATGTATAACCGTATGTCTGTACTCTCCCTGAATTGGAGGAAATAATAATCATCAGGTCTTTGAAAGGCATTTAGAAGTGATTAACGTTTCGGAGTATATGCTTATATGATGAAGGAGTAAGCATATACTCCGAAAGTTTGTGTTCCTCATAATAAAGAAGTTGACATCCATATATTCTCTTCCTTAATATAATCATAATAAAATAATTATTGTTGATGCACATTCCCATTGCACTGAGAATAAACATTAACTATTGAAACCAAGCTCATTTCCAGGGAGTTTGGTTCATCAGATCTTCTTAAGTTTAAATAATCCTCCGTGATCCGACGTGTTCCAGGTATGATAGCTTGACTCAAAGTAACCACCTCCACTTTGGCTGATATCGTACTGAGGTCGACCTTCTGTTCCATTTGGGCACCCCTTTGTATGACAGTCCTGTTGTCAGTTTCACCAGGAACATTTCCACTGACAGCTGCAGGAACCTCCGGATAGTCACCTTCACCGGAGAGATTTTGCCTTGGTGTTATATACCCTGAAGATCCTTGCTGACATACTGTAACCTCCTGGGTGTCAGTGTCTGTGGACAATGTGTAGTCATCATCGACATCAGTTGAACCTGCATGGGGAGGTGCTGGCAATTTTGGCCCTGATAAGAACAATGGCTTCATTTCGATATGGTCAATATGCAGGTCTTCATCTATTATTTCGTCGTAAATGTCTCCAGATTTATGTACCGTTTCTTCCGTGGAATGCATCACGTCTGAGTAGCCACATGTAGGTAATGAGGCAGCTCTGTCTCGGTGGATCTTTCTATTTGTAAAGACAAAATGAGAAATACAATAAATACTCTTGCTGCAACATATTCAGTCTCTTAGCAGCAAAATGCATTGAACATTTATGACAAGGAATGTTATTGATAAAAAACTTATTTTTATCACTTACACAAGGTTTCAGTGATACGTTTTGCCCGTTCATCATGTAAATGACACGGTGGGAGAACAGGACACCTGATGAAGGGGCAAGAAGTAGTCCTGAAACCTTGTGTATGTATAGTAACAATACTCCTTGTAATAAATTTATCCCCCTTCTAAATCAGTGCCTTAAAAGACTCTCGCAATGAACACCGAATGCTGAGGATTGAATGCTGAACACTGAATGATTAAGCATAATTTAATTTGATGAACATAGAACTTTCAAAACACAACTTTTATTTATCGTCATGTTACTGACATATAATATTTTCTCTAAGCTTTTTCGTAAAATGTTTCTTTGTATTCCTTGATAAAGTGCAACACAAATCATGAATAAAGTTTGCCAGATAACAATTTCCCTCAGGCCATGTGATCTCTTAAATTATACTGTTTGAAAAAGCAAACATCAACTTCATCTTACATTATGATATTTATTTATTTGACTCTATGATTGGCTTAAGTTAATGCCACTCTGAAACACATTAAACCCGAAAAAGGTATGGATAATATATGTCACAAACCTGCATCTCCAAAATAGGAAACCACACAGGGCTATTAACAAGGCAAGAGCACTTGCCAGGAATGGAAGAAAATATCCTGAAAACATCACATACATCAATGCATTATTTTCTGTACATTGGTACATATAAAGACACGTGATACAAATTCTTTGACAAATGCCGATTATTGTAAACTGAATGGAAATATGTTTCATCAGCTTGGTGAATAAAAACCCGTTGTTTCATAGGATTGGATGCTGGATTTCAATGAGTATGTATTTTTTCGCAATCTCTAATTTAAAAAGCAACAGCGCACCATTCGTTTTGGCCAGACGGATACTGCACTAATGCGATATTAAGCTGGATAAATATGTATTTGAACAAACTTCTATGTCGTCAACATCATACTAAACAGACGAGGTTAGTTACAGTGGCAGAAATTATTATTATGACGTAATGACATTCCAGAGTGACGTCATGCATGACCCACATCTGTAAATGTTCACGTAAGGATCAATCTCATTAAAATCTGATCTTAGTTCTCGCTCCCGCTAAACAAAGATCTGAGGACATCCCATTACGGGTCACGTCTGACCGACCAATGGAATGACTAACAAGAAGTCGATATTAGCCATTCAGAAGGCAGCTTAATCGAGCTTTACGGTACGAGTTTCAAACTGGCGACTACGCTTCGAAACATATTTTGACATAAACAAATGAAAAACTGAACAAAAGAACAGCCCGGAATGGCTAATAGATGGTCTAGATTGTATGAATACAGGCATAAAGCCCATAACTGCCGTTTGGAGTACCCTGTGTTTTATTATTCGAGGTTGCATGATCAAAAATCACATTCCAGCTGTCACTTTCATGATCTGATAAGCGATGTCCTGATTGGTCAGATGAAAGGTCGGTCTGACATGACCCGCAATGGGATGTCCTCAGATCTGTCGAACTCTGAAAACACATAATGTTTATCTCCTAAAGTATTTATTACATGAGACTGACCGTTATTCTTTATCAGCTCAGAGATGTAGCCAAAGACGTCTTTGTGTGAAACCTTTGTCTCAGTTGTGATGTCGCACCTGTCTCCTGTAATACCGTCTTTACACTCCAATGTACAGTTACCATCAGGTAGACAACGCACGGAGGGACACGTGTGACACACCAGGGTGCAGTTACTACCACGCTGAGACACCATACACTCATCACAGTCCCTGGTCGTGTTACACTGAAGACAGTTCTCAGGACACGTGTGTTGACAGTGACGTCCATAATACCCTTTCCTGCATCCTTGAGAGCATTCTCCATCTTCTCTGCCACATTTTAGGCAACTTACATCTGATTCGTTACAGTATCTGCAATTCTGTGGACATGTTTGATTGCACGTCGGGCCATAGAAACCATAAGTGCAACCTATAGAACACATCCCATCCTCATCTGAGCAAGTCTTGCATGTTGTGTTTGAATCAAGACACTGCTTACAGTTCTGTGGACAAGGATGATAACATTCAATACCATAGAACCCGTCATTACATATTTTGCACTCTCTGCTTGTACTGTTACACCCCTCACAGTCATCTGGACACATGGCGTCACAGGATCCCCCAAAGTATCCGTCCTTACAACCATAGATGCAATGTCCTGTATGATGTTCACAGTGACTGTCCATTTCTTCATCCTTGCAGTGTTGAGAACACGGATGGCTGCAGCGTGTTCCCCAGAAGCCAGGCTTACACCCATCATGACATGTCCCATTGATGGAACAGTTGCCCTTATGACACTGCCCACAGAGATCCTCACATCTGATTCCATAACGACCAGATTCATACTTCGAGCACTCACGTGTATTTCTGGAGGAACAAGCAATGCACCTGTCGAGACAGTGCTGCCGACAGCAGTCGCCGGACCATCCATCAATACACCCGAGCTCACACGTAGGTTTGCCGGTTGTATCAACATGATTTAACTTGATACAATTTGTGGGATCCGTACAGGCTGGAAGTGGGAACAGAAAGACTGAATACACAGGATATAAATCCATTTCTTTATGTAATCTTCAAACACTTCAACCAAATAGCACTTACAATCCATCTACAGCTTTAATTTCAAAATATAGAAACTTAAAAGGGTTTTCCAGCATAACATTCCCAGCAGCGAAAACAAATACGAGGGCTGAAATATACATATTGTTAAACAATATCGTAGAAAGCTAAGTTATCTGAAAACGCTGATTCGAACTGGTATCTTGCGGAACTGTTTTGTTTTCGACACATACGTGTCCGTCTTTATCAATAATATATTCTTCGTAATAGTTGCCGGTAATTTCAATGTTATTTTTCTATTTTTGGCAGGTTTCTATTCCAAAAGAGGAAGTTGAAAGTTATGATGTTCTAAGTTATGATGTTCTGTGTGAAAAACAGGATAACAGGAAGAAAATAGTTGTATCGACATCAAAAAGACTTAAACGACGCGATACATGCAATCTTTGTGGCCCATTTATGGTAAATGTCATCTTTATAAGAGTGAGTGAGTGGGTATGGTTTTACGCCGCTTTTAGCAATATTCCAGCAATATCACGGCGGGGGACACCAGAAATGGGCTTCACACATTGTACCCATGTCTGGATTCGAACCCGGGTCTTCGGCGTGACGAGCGAACGCTTTAACCACTAGGCTACCCGACCGCCCCGTCTTTATAAGATTTAGTTCATGCTCAGTTATGGTACCAAGATCCCTCTATTCCTTACCAATTCTAAATTTTGCCATTTTCCTCTACTTAGCATAATATGAAATATACTTGTAAATAGAAATTATGACAGAATGGAAAGTGTTTAAAGTAGTGACCTGTCTCTTAGTGACATATACTTGATCACGGGCCGATAAATATGCAAATGAAGCCACTAAGAACTACTCTTAATCTCCACACATCAATGCTATGAAGGGACAGAGGTTGCCCAGTCGTCTTAGGCGCCGCGATTCGCTGTGCAGAGTTGCGTCCCTTCGGCACGCCAGAAAGCTATGATTGTGGGTTCGAATCCTGGTTCGCCACGATTATGTTTCTAGGTTTGTCAGCACCATACCCGTGCTCGTGGGTTCCCAATGTGTGTGGGTTTTGTTTGCAGGCAAACTATCTGCACTTTATCATTAATGGGGCGGTTCGCATTCTTTATTGATGCAGTTTCTTTAGTTACTCCTTGAGGTGAAATTACTTCAAGAATGACACAATTTGAAATTATATTCTTGTGTTTCCGTAACGTCGTCGTAATTATCAAATATTAGAAATAAAAGGATCGCATTTATAAGACAATGTTTATCCCTAATATATATATTCCTTATGTCCGGCACACTCGGCAAATAATCTCTATATAGTCAGACATAAGGGCATCAAACAATTTGAAACTATATTATTGCTGCGTTTAAAGTAAGTAAAATTGTGAACGGAAGAGTGATACCTACCATGGGTAAGTACGATGATGTGAGCGGTGACAGCAATGACTGCAGATTGTGTGGCCATTGTTGTATCAGCAAACTATACCTGTGAAATATTATACACTACGTTAGACACTTCGATAATGTATAATACGATTGTCATGTGAAATCCCACGGGAAGTGAATTAATTTAAAACGTAAACGCCATAGAATAACAGATGCCATATGAAGTAAAATGCAATTTAGTGATGAAAACTATGTGAATGGAACACTGAAAATCAGTAAACACACAAGTTGTTCACGAAATGGGTATACATCTAAGCATGGTCTTCACAACTGGTGGGGGGTCGGGGTAGCCTTGTGGTTAAAGTGTTCGCTCGTCACACTGAAGACCCGGGTTCGATTCGCCACATGGGTACAATGTGTGGAGCCCATTTCTGGTGTCCCCCGCCGTGATATTGCTGGAATATTGCTTAAAGCGGCGTAAAAAATTCTCACTCACTCACAAAATGTTCAGTAAGTTCCTCATAAAAGGTCAAATAGCATGATATGGCATTGTCAACTGTCATATTTGTCAGAATCTCGAATTACTTAACCAGGTTCTTGAATGAAAAGCTCTGTTGTAAGCATCATGTGTCTTTCCATGAAATTTGAATAAAGTATATCTGCTCTTAAGTAAGTACCTTAGCAACTGACAAATGTAGAATAAATACACTGGAGCTGATGACATATTGCTGGAAATGAAGGGTTAATACACAGCTGAAAATCGAAACCATCCATCTTGGCATACAGCATCTTACAGAGGACGTCACGAACACATCCAGATAACACACTGGGTATGGTTCATAGCAATTTTTCAATTACAAGTTAAATCAGAAATGAGAAGTATAAATTTTGTTTCACACAATCAACAAGTGACTGTGAGTTACACAGAATGTAAGCTGCAGCCATCCCCAGTAACGTGTACACTACTGCTTTGTTCAGTCAATGTTTACCGCAAGGCAGGCAATAGATGATCAAACACTACTGCTTTGTTCAGTCAATGTTTACCCCAAGGCAGGCAATAGATGATCAAACACTACTGCTTTGTTCAGTCAATGTTTACCCCTAGGCAGGCAATAGATGATCAAACACTACTGCTTTGTTCAGTCAATGTTTACCGCAAGGCAGGCAATAGATGATCAAACACTACTGCTTTGTTCAGTCAATGTTTACCGCAATGCAGGCAATAGATGATCAAACACTACTGCTTTGTTCAGTCAATGTTTACCCCAAGGCAGGCAATAGATGATCAAACACTACTGCTTTGTTCAGTCAATGTTTACCCCTAGGCAGGCAATAGATGATCAAACACTACTGCTTTGTTCAGTCAATGTTTACCCCAAGGCAGGCAATAGATGATCAAACACTACTGCTTTGTTCAGTCAATGTTTACCCCTAGGCAGGCAATAGATGATCAAACACTACTGCTTTGTTCAGTCAATGTTTACCGCAAGGCAGGCAATAGATGATCAAACACTACTGCTTTGTTCAGTCAATGTTTACCGCAAGGCAGGCAATAGATGATCAAACACTACTGCTTTGTTCAGTCAATGTTTACCGCAAGGCAGGCAATAGATGATCAAAATGTGTCAACATACTTGAGGTGGCTTGTGATTGTAGAACGATAAAGTCAGCGTACCACTTCGTCAATGATAATACTGGCAAATAATCAAGATGTGCCAATCATATGAACACATGCATCTTTTGCTACAGGAAACTGGTCTTTATCTGCAAGAGATTACCCGACAATCTTACAATATTATGAACTGGAGTCGATTAGAGAAAGGTTCCTATTGTCTTGATGTATCGTAAACGAACACGGAAGTTGTACATGTTGTGGGAAAAAATGTCTTGGTAACCAAAATATGTCCTTGTCATGAAAACTGTCACACCACACATTGTTTCATAATCTTCTTTCACATACAGGATGCGGACGAATCTAAAATTATTAATGAAAGCGACAAATTCCTTTCCATAATCATAAAGATTAAAGCAACAAAACCCTTTCCATATCCAATAGAATGTACGATTCCGAATACAAACAGCCTTTGGTGTTTACATTTCACAAATTTTGAGATACAATCGAGCAAGCTCTTTCTACCAAGATTTCAAAGCGTGTCATACGACTCTTCTTCAGAAGTTGTTTGATCAAGGTTACAACATTTGAGGTGGCAGTAAAATTTTCAAAAAGCTTTCAAAATGTGGAGGACATTTCCAAATTTGACGCATCATTGACCAAATTTATGTGAGATGCAATTCTCTATGTCGACTTATGCCATATGTTCTTGTGTTTGTTTAGGTGATCAATTGACTTGCCTTTGCATGTGTTTGTGATGGGTTCCACCGGTTTTAACCATTTCAGAGATACCTGGTATCATTACAGGTTGATAGTGATTCATAAACACATGCTATAGTCAAAGTCATACAACAGACTGTTTTAGCAGAGATTCCATATGATTATGGAAATAATTTTGTCGCTCTATTTAGATTTACGCCATAATGATGATTAAAAGTCTGTGGCAATTGTAAATGGCGATGTATAAGGACTTATCTGAGTTGAGATAATTTCAATTTTAACTTTTGAGTTATTTTCCCTTATATCTCACAAATGATATTCATGAATATATTTGAGCAGTAAAGTATCACACACTCTTCGATCACACACTTTGTGTTACTTTTTAGTTATGAAATGACTATGACAACTTTGACAGCGTACAAAGAAACTGCAAGGGACAATGACGATGAAATATGTGTGCGGTGTTGCTACTCAGCAGTTATAGTTGGTTGGTTGGTTTGTTGTTTTACGCCGCACTCAGCAATATTCCAGCTATATGACGGCGGTCTGTAAATAATCGAGTCTGGACCAGACAATCCAGTGATTGATATCATGATCATCGATCCACCCAATTGGGATCGATGACATGCATCCACCAAGTCAGCGAGCCTGACCACCCGATCCCGTTAGTCGCCTTTTACGACAAGCATAGTCGCTGAAGACCTATTCTACCCCGGATCTTCACGGGTCCTCAGCAGTTATAGACTAAGACCTTAATCAAGCTGACACGATGTGATTAAACTGAAATATTACCAATTCCCTCACTAACCATGATGGTTTGATACAAATCTCTATTCACTTAATACAAATAGGTAGAGGACCGTACATGATCCACATGTACTTCGACTGTGTATCAATTCACATTAAAGCGAGTTTAAGTATTGTATAGTCCTATTTTGATGTTAGAGGGGCACGGGTGGCTCAGTCGCCTAAGGCGCCGCGATTCGCTGTGCAGAGTTGCGTCCCTTGGACACGCCAGAAACCTATGAGTGTGGGTTCGAATCCCGGTTCGCCCCGATTATGTTTCTAGGTTTGTCAGCACCATACCCGTGCTCGTGGGTTTCACCGAAGTGGTAAACGTCTGAGACCTGCATCACTTCGGGCTTTCCTCCCACATTAGGCTGACAAGCCGCGATATAACTGGAATGATGTTAAAAGCGGCGTTAAACCCAACTCACTCACTCACTATTTTATCATAATATATGAAACAAAGTTGTTGTGTGCATATGGCACTTTAACGAACACATAAACAGAATTAAAGAATATGAAATTAAAATTAGAATTCTCAGGAAGTATTCAATACTACGATAATATTTGCATTATGTATCAAAATTTGGCTACTGAAGTGACCGAGAGAGTGAATTTTGCATAACCCTACCATAAGTAATATTGCACACAGACATAAACTCAGCCAGATCATACTTTAACTATAAGCGACAAAACCCTTTCATTATCAAAGGAAACATCTGCCAAAACAGATTCCTTTGTACGTTTCCGACTAAATCATATCATAAATAGTGACGATACCAGGCGAAAAAGTTACGTACCCTGCCATACTGGTGCCATCCGTCACAAACACATACAAAATCGATTGTAAAACTGAATAAAACCCCGGAAATCACCCGATGCTCATTTGTCGGTTCTTGTTCTACCTGTTCTACCCGAGTATGACTCTGACGGGCTCCATACAAAGCACATGTGACTTACCAATGTGTAGCGGCAAATGTGAGAAACTAAAGTACGTTTGACACGGAAGTGACCGCATTGTGTTCTGCTGAACAGGTTTCACCTTCCCTCTTCCTTGCCATGCATTGTAACGAACACATGTAAGTAAGGATACATGTACCTTGTGTCCCGCGCCTATCAGAGAAGGTGGAAATAATTCTTTGTGTATTTACAAAATTGTCAAAATGAACCTCAGCAATCACTGATGAGCAGATTGAAAGACAGGTATGACAGGAGGCATCCTTGGCGTAATCCACACTCGACATCAAACCATGGAGCAGATCAATCCTCACACAACACTTGCCAACACTTCTCAATTATTATAGCAAAATACATCTAGACTTGATGTAAATGTCGCAATTGTACCAAGTTCATTCATGTTACATGTTTACAAACATATGCATTTGATCAAATTTGTAGACATACCACCAGACATTCACCGAAGTAGTAAACGTCTGAGACCTGCATCACTTCAGGCTTTCCTCCCACATTAAGCTGACACGCCGTGCTATAACTGGAATACTGTTAAAAGCGGCGTGAAACCCAACTCACTCACTCACTACATACTACTGTCAAATGGCTAGACTATTGCTGAGTGTGTAGTTTAACAACAAACAATTGTACACATGTGTAAACGGTGCGTGTAAATCAGATATTATATTATATATGCCCTAGAAATTAGTGTCCTGACTATTATACATCAATCCTGTGTAAGAGAAGAAAAAGGTTTGTTGAATTTATTGTTACATTTTGGGTAAGGATAGAACAGAACACTATGTCTAAGTTCAATACGTAGATTCATCTCCTGGCTTGGCTCGCCATCACAAACTCTGTACAAAGGACGGTGTTTCCTCCGAATAGTTGTTGATACACCAGCAGTTCAGAGTGTCAAATCACGGGCATTTTCTGCTAAAAGTATGATTGCATCAGCTACACTAAAACATTGATTATCATTGTTAACGCCCACAGATAATTCTTTGATAGGAACAATCAAATCATTGATGAGCAGATTGAATGACAGGTATGACAGGAGGCATCCTTGGCGTAATCCACACTTGACATCAAACCATGAAGCAGATTAATCCTCACACAACACTTGCCAACACTTCTCAATTATTATAGCATTATGCACGTTGCCTTTTATACAAGTCAGTTGTAATTTAGCCCAGAAGACCCTGGTTCGATTCCCCACATGGGCACAATGTGAAAAGCCCATTTCTGGTGTCCCCCGCCGAGATATTGCTGAAAAATTGCTAAAAGTAGCGTAAAACCATACTCACTCACTCACTCACTCACTCACTCACTCACTGCTACAAGCGTCTGTTTTCCGAGACGCTGCTACACGTCCAGTTTTGGAAAGTTATTTTCGAAATCCATTTTGCTCAATTTATTTATTTACTTACTTACTTACTTACTTACTTACTTACTTACTTACTTACTTACTTACTTACTTACTTACTTACTTACTTACTTACTTACTTACTTACTTATTTATTTATTTATGTTAGAGTGTGTGTGTGCGTGAGTATGTGTGCGTATATGTGTGTGTGTTATTGTTCTCTTAACTTCTGGCATACATATTGTAAATTGTTTAACTGATAACCTTACGTTGTAAACCAAATAATAAGGCTTTATTATATCTTATGTTTTCTTAATCTATCAAACCAACTTTAATTTCGTCACATTTACAGTTTAGCCCCGACATCTTACTGCATACAATAAGTGTATCTACATCAGCAATGAATTATTAAAACTTATTAAAATGTATCATATGCATTTAGAAAAGTTAAATATCTAAGATATTTAACTAAAATATGTGGTAAGCTTCTTAGTCTGAATGCTGTGAAGATACATATAAGTATTATTATGACTCAAAATTGTCATTTCAGCAGTTTTGCCCTATATACATTGATATGCTTCTTTAAGATTATAATATATACCTGAACCCCTGACTGCACATGCTAAGGTACCTCCTCCATATTGTATACCGGACGTCAACAAAACTAAACACTTTACCGTGATTCATTCACAATTTACAATGTAAACTTGTACCCGTTCACAATTGCGAAAAGACAACCACCCATCGTAACACACAGCCTGTGTTGGGACAGAACAGTCACTGGTAACCAGCATATGTCCACAGGTTCAAATGGAAGGGAGGCAACTCCTCCAACCTAATATTCTATACCTGTGAGATGTTAACATTATCAATACACTTAATTCATTCATGTTGTTATTTACAATATCCCTGTGATTACGAACCACACGTTTTACTATTTTGTTGATGACTTCAACTATAGTTATTCCAACACAGTACCACATAATTTATAACTATTGACAGTGATTATTCGTACATGTAAAACCTATGCTTGTGTCTACATAATCTACAAACTACAGTTCTATTCCTGTATCGGTGACCTTAAGTGTAATGTATTCCTGCTGTGCCCATTAGGCGCTTGCAGTCTGGTTAGAGTTTCATTTGAATAATTCACTGAAAATGTTTGAGGGTATTTCCAACAAAGCATATCCTTTATCCTTCTCATTTGTGAAATGAAATTTGTTTGAATATATATCTTTAAACTGGATGGTATGTCATGCCTATTCACTTCAAATGATTTTTTCTTCTGTAAGAAAACGTGACATCAAGAATATTTATAGTATGCATTGAATATGTTCCCTCGAAAAGACTTTTTGGTCAATACTAGTTACATTTTTTTACTTCGCTATACCTGTTGTAAGTTTAAACGTGCATTAGAATAGTTAGTTTCATTCATCTTGGTGCATAAGTTGGATTTAATTAAAGTATTTTTAGCTACAAAAGCTGATATAGTTTAATGATGCTTCAACTTCATGGTTTGGTTTCAAGTGTTGATTACGCCAAGGATGCCTCCTATCACCCCTATTGTTCAATCTGTTTATCAACGATTTGATTGTTAACGTAGATAATCAATTATTGGTATTTTAGCTAATGCTGATGACATTTTACCAGTGCTTTGAATTAACTGCTTGACTCTCTCTTAACTGCTGGTGTATCAACATTAAAATGTGTGTTATTGTATCCAAATCTAAAGGTTTGGATTTTCGAATGGATGTGGTGGACAATTACAGTCCACAATCCTAGTCTAAAAGACACCTGACAGAGCACCTTGCCGACTACCTCACAGTTCATAACAGAGCTATGCAATGTTATTGGATTTAGAACATATACCCAACGATCGGGATAGAGCCCATCCCCTTGGTCAGTGGAAAGTGTTGTTACAAACAATTATCCGTTTTACCACAACATAGACTCTCACATTTTATTTAATTTGGACAAACAAGTGTCCTGTTATTAACAAGAGAAACTGGAATCCAAGAGGGCACTCAAAGATACATATTACACACACACACACACACACACACACACACACACACACACACACACACACACACACACACACACACACGATAATGCACAGAAAGGGACTATAGTTTTCCCTATTTTCTTAATGATGTGGAGAATATCTGTTTTATCCTGTCCAGGCAAGACATCTTGTTCTTAACTGCCAAAACACCAAATGAATTTTAGATAATGGAAAATGTTTTATGTATGTTTTATGTCATGTATTTTAATGCTTTTGCTGCATTATTCTATTTATGAATGTTTTAATAATAATGTCGTATTTATTTACTGTATAGATGGTGTCTCATAACCCTAAACGTATCACTTATACATTTTGTTATGTTCTTATGTCTAAAATATGTATGTATTATATGATAAAGCTGGATGTGTATGACGGAAGGAGTTCCGTGACATAACAGGCCACATGATAAAGGCATCGTATGCGAGAAGCGGCTGAGCGTGTCACTCCATAGTATCTGTGACCTGTTTTAAACATAATCCCCTAACAACAACAACACATAACGACATATTTCTACGAATAGAAGTATACGTATTGGAATGTAGATTTTAGACATATTTTACAATGAAGGGGTGAGGGAGTATTGTAACTGCAGCTAGTTAAATGTTAATTTTGAAATATATCCTAATTGAAACGAATAGTTCTCAATGAATGTGGTTGATATTGTTTAAGGAAGTCAAACGTTTTTTTGTTGGTATTCATATATGCCTTACATATAATACTTTCTTGTCAAACACTTTTTTATAGAAATTTTTGTTCAGAAAAATCTCTATATGGTCAGAAACATTGCTGTTATATTATGTAAGGCCGATAGGGATATGGTATGTGTTGTGTTTCCTACAGCCAAGGTATCTAAACCGTTTCCAAATTCTAACTTTGACTATAGTATGTGATTCTATTAAAAACGTCTCCTGAATATGAGTTCGTCACTATTTGAAATATATTTATTAAACCCCTTTTCAACATTTGTATTTGCTAGAAAACACATAGACAACTGTTGATAAAACTTATGTTTATGTTGTTTTGATATATTCTAATATGTGCAACGTTTTATGGTGTTTATCTCCCAAAGGTTGTTTAGCTTTGTATGAAGCTTCAGGATATGGACCTCAAAGATTTCACAATGTCTGATCCAAGGTATAATTATTTCTACACAGCTACCAGGCATTAATCTACCAAGATAGCTTTTATTTTGTTAAATTTATAGTTTCGCCAGGACATCTGATACCAAACAAAAGTGTAACGACATCAGAAATGATTGACTACATGCTATTAAAATGTCACTTTGTCTAAACATACTCTAAAATGTGTATAAAGACAGCTGAATATCTAAGATATAAAAATAAAAATCTGCCGTAAACTTCTTCTGAATGCTGTGAAGATAAATTTGTACTTTTTAGTGACTCAGGATTGTCATTTCAGCAGTAAGACGGTATAAATGTAAATGCTTATAGATGACAATATATTCCATCTCAACTGAATGTAATTTGTACGTGGATATACTAAATCCACTTCATGGAAGTGTTTAAGTTGTAAAGATGCTGTTGAAGATGAGTGTCATGTTTTGTTATACCCCTAGACTATTAGAGAAATGTAGGGAACGGTGCAATACTTATTTTAATGATGTGGAGAAAATGTGTTTTATTGTTTCCTGCCAAGAAATATTGTTCTCCATTGCCAAAAACTGAAAATGTATTTTAGATAATGGCTAATGTATCGTGTCAAATAGATGTATTTTAATGCGTTTGGTGTATCATTCTCTTTATCAATGTTTTAATAATAATAATGTATTCATTTAATTATTTAAGCGGGTGGCTCATACAATTTGCTATCTTCTTGTGTGTAAAATATGTATGTTTTATTTAATGTGGTGAGTCTTTAATGCATCACCTATCTCTCTGTGTATGACTGACTGACTGACTGAGTATGGTTTTACGCCGCTTTTAGCAATATTCCAGCAATATCACGGCGGGGGACACCAGAAATGGGCTTCACACATTGTACCCATGTCGGGAATCGAACCCGGGTCTTCGGCGTGACGAGCGAACGCTTTAACCACTGGGCTACCCGACCGCCCCTTCTCTGTGTATGAGAGAAGGCGGTTCGTGACATCACATCCCATATAATAAAACACCAGGTGTAACAAGCAGGTATGGTTGTCACGCTCTACTACATGTAACCTGTTTCAAACGTATTCCTCCAACATCAACAAGACATATCGAACTATGGAATGTTCCAGTACACGGAAGTATCAGCTAAAGAACGCGAGGCCCGCAGTCAAGAAGTTATATGTACTCTACTAAAACGTGATGATTATAATTCAAATCGAAAAGGTCACTAGTATTTCAGACATTAATGCAACGTTATTTTTTCTGTCACAACAATATATCCTTTTCCACGAACCCTGTAACAGAGGAGATTTTGCTCCGTGATGCGACTTCCGTTTCCGTCATTTTGAGGCAATGAAAGTTGATGTTCGTTCGAACATTGTTGAAAACGAAATTGTGACTATATATTTGATTTTAACTGGCAAGTGTTGACTGCTGCGTAAACGGGACTGAAGTCCAAGGTGAGTTTGACTTATATTCCTTTCAAGTTACGTCCTCTCAATCCACTGTTAGCAGTTAGCCGTGATCACTATATTTCATCATCCGTTCACCCATTAATATGAGTGTTTCTGTATTTCAAGGCTACGGACACTCCCATTAGATATGTGTGCTAATGTGCGCTGCAGGAAACACAGCAAACTTCTACATCTCCGATTGTCCACAAAATGTTTTTGAAATCTCTTCCTTAAACAATTACCTCCAAATACGTGTTTGTTCAATCGTCGATTTGAACTTTGAAAAGATTCTAAATCCAAAAACAAAACCGGCGGTGTCAATTTTGATTTTCCAAAACATCTCGAATGCCACTTCAAAATTCACTTTCTACGAATAGAAGTATACGTATTTGGAGGTGCGAATGAAGAAGAGATTGGTATGAAGATTTTAGAAAAATGTTATGATGAATCGATGAGGAGATATGGTAACTACAACTAGTTAGACGTGTATCATTGTATATCGTAATAGAGATAAATATTTGTATGCTTTGCAGTACGGGCAATGTGTCAGAATGGTTTAAGGATGTCAACCATTTGAAGTTTGTATTCATGTATCCCTAAAACACTGGTCTGCGTTGTAAAACACTTTTATTTATAGAAACTTTTGTTTTGAAAAGTGATGGTCAGAAACATGGCTGTTATACATCTCACTGATGGGGATATGATCTGTGTTATGTGTCCTACACCAGACCAGATATCTAAAAAGTTTCCAAATGGTATTGTCTTCATTCTTGAATAAACCAATAATTCCTACAGATTTTTTTTGTAACTGTGAGGATTCTACACACAAAAATCCTGAGAGAAATATATCTTAAACCATCTTTTAACATTTGATTTTAACATTAACATTTAACACATATACTGATGTTGATAAAACTGATGTTTTTACTTTTCGTACCCTATTATGTTATGTCTCCTCCAATTTGATATTAATAGATAGTTAAAACATCTGCCCGTAATCCCTGTCTCGAAATTAAAGAAAAATCATAACCCTTGGCTAGAAGTATTAAAAGTCATTTTTGTAGGGTTAGGATAATAGGTACCCAGGAAAGCAATTGAAGCTAAGCAGCAGTTGCTTTCCATTAGATATATTCTGATATGTTCAACTCGTCTTTAGTCCCAAATATTGAGTATAATAAGATTTCACAGTGTCTTAGTTAAGTTATGAAAGTAATTCTACACCGCTACCAGACATTAATCTATCAAACTTCTATCCAATTTACAGTTTATATCCCAAAACTAATAGCAAATAATAAATGAATTATAAAAAGTAATTGAAATTTCACTTTAACAAAACATATTCAATCATATGCATTTTGCATAGTTAAATATCTAAGATGTGAAGATATTTTAAAGTTTTATGATGACTAAAAATTATTATTTCAACAGTAAGGCCGTATAAAGTCATCTGCCTAATATTTCAATATATACTTGAACTCCAGTCTCAAGTGGATGTATTTTGTATCCACAAGATAAAGTAAGATTCTTGAATGTGTATCAACTTGAATCAAGTGCAGCATTGCAAGTTAAAGGAAGGGAGGAAACGTCTCCTGTTGTATATTGTATACCGCGACATTAACATAACAATACACTTTACTTTAACTCATTCATAATTTACAATGTAAACGGGTTACCGCTGACAGTTGCGAAAAGACAGCCACCCAGGTTAACACACAGTTGCAGTTACACAACAGCGACAGTTAAAAAGCGAATTTTCAATGATTCCAGCGGAAGGGATGCGACTCCTCCAAACTAATTTTGTATACCGCCTGTGGGATGTTAGCATTATCAATACACTTAATTGGTTCATACAATTATTTACAATATCCTTGTGTCTGTGAACCACATGTTATATCATGTATATTATTTTGGTGATGACTTCAGCTAAAGTCATTCCAAGAATTTAGGCATCCCCCATCATGGGGACTAACTGTGCTCCACATCTTGCTGATCTGTTTCTTGATGCATATGAATCTGAATTTCAGCTCGAATTGGCAGTCAACACAAGGTAATTTGGCCAAGAAGTTTAACTTAAGCTTCAGGTATATCGATGATCTGATATCGTTCAATCCCAATAATATAGACAATTCCCTTCCACTGATTTACCCATCTGAACTAGAAATATAGGAGACCAGTTAGACCGAAGCATCTTAGTTAGACCGATTTCATATTTAGATCTATGAAGAAGGATTCAGAGTGACAAAACACAAGACTGTGTGACAAAGAATGAATTCAACTTTCCAATAGACAACTTGCCCTTCATGTCGAGCAATTTTCCAGCAGCTCCAGCCTTTGGTATCCACATTTCACAACTTTTGAGGTTCAATCGAACTTGCCTCTTCTACCAAAATTTCAAAGAGAGCCATACTAGTCTTGCTCCGAAGTTGTTTGTTCAAGGTTACAACAATCAAGGCCTCAGTAAAGCTTTCAAAATGTTTTATAGTTGACGCGTGGAGGTCATATCAGTGACAAGACTGATGTCCGATGCACATATATTTTGACTTGTACCATATAGTCCCGTGTTTTTTAAGGGAACATTTGACTTGCCTTTAAATGTGTTTGTGATTGGTGCCACCGGTGGGGCAGGTCACGCTCATTTTTTTGCGAACTCTTGGTATCATCACTAGTTGATAATGATTTATAAGTACATGCCCATAATATTGTCGGAATCGTACATCGTACAAGTTGATGTTAATACATTTCATTTTACCACAAAAGCTGATATATGGGTAGAGCAGTTAATATAATTTTCCGACACCATTTTAAAAATTATTCCTCCTCACTCTAGTTCGTAATGATAAGTCACTATTCCATGCAAGTAAAAAAAATACACTATGTAACCTCAGGGATTTTATATAAATTTTAAATATTTCCTGAGTCAAGTATGTTAAATATATATATTTAAATAATCTCAGTGCAGCCAATACAAATTAGTTCACACCAGCTGCGATATTATTTTTACGGGCAGCAGCATGTACGGGTCAGCTGCCGATTATCAAATACAGAACATCAACGTCAGAGAATAATCAGCTTGATTATTTACCGAAACAGTCTCTATTGGATGCAAAAGGCAAGACGTAAAATGAGTGTTGACACCAGGTGTTAATGAATTAGGAACCAAGATAGCGAATGGCCGGCTTGACAATTAAGCCTGACATTGTGGACGAGGTGTGGGACAATACAAGCTGACCATACAGACATCGCAAAACGATCCGTGGCAGTCTGACAGTAATTTGCCATGGGTTTAAATGTAGTATACTTTATATTTGTAAGGTCTTGACCTTGGGAGCGTGGATAGGCAGGTTGGCTGACTAACGCCTCTGAGATGCGGCCTGGCAATTACTGTTCTAAACTACCGGGCAAAATAAACTTATCACTTGTAAATTAGGTTTTATCTGAATTAAAGACGGAGCGATAAGTTAGAACGTTATCAGAAAATATTCACCAAAACACACCCTGTGCACACATGAAAGTCACTTTTTGCAGGATTTAGTGAATTTCATGCAGTTTTGAAAAATTGGAATAACAAGATTTTGGGGAACTGTTAAACATATTCGTGCATGCTTATTACATAAATACCGGTGTGGGGCAGAGCAAAGATACAGCATCAAAAAGAACATCAGAGAAATGAGGAGACTCACACAAGAGGAACGTGACAGAGCTATTGGTATGGCCGATATGGGGGCATCTCAATGGCAGATTGAAAAACAAACCTTTAACTGCAGTCAAACCAGTATCAGCAACTTGTTGAGGCGTTATCAGCAAACAGGCCAGCCACAAGACCGTCCAAGATCGGGAAGACCAAGAATCACAAAGCCAGGTCAAGACCGCTGCACCCCGAACAACCCACCTGCGGAACCGATATGTGACTGCGACGTCAACTGCGGTCAGCAGACGAACAGTCTTTCGACGACTCCGCATTAGTGGTAACAGAGCTTACCGACCCTTCAATGGAATGGCCTTGACCCTTCTACACCGTCAACGCAGATTACAATGGGCAAGAACTGTACGTCGGTGGCAGCGACGTGATTGGGAAAGATTGCTGTTCACAGATGAAAGACGCGTTAACTTGTTCCGAAAAGATGGACGAGTCCGTGTTTATCGACCTAGGGGAGAGTGACAAGCACCTAACTGCATCCAAGATCTGCACCTTTGTGGTGGCGGCGGCGGTGTGGTGTGGGGCGGTTTTTGCGGTCAGCGGACAGCAAGGCTTGTCATCATCCGTGGGAATCTGACTGGCCAAAGATACTGAAATCAGGTGTTGTGACCTTTTGTAGTGCTATTCTTACGTGGAGAGCCAAGGGGTACCTTTTTGGAGCAGGACAATGCACAACCCCATACCGTCACACTTGTTCAGCAATATCTGCACAACGTTAACGTCAACATATTGCCTTGTTCTCCAGACATGAATCCCACAGAGCATCTCTGGGATTATCGTGATCGACGGCTGAGGGCATGCGTACCTCCCCGAGCAAACTGACAGCAGCTTGAACAGGATTTATTGGATGAGTGGCGCAGAATTCTTGCTGACGTCATCCGGCGATTGACGACATCCACGTGACACGTTGGTATTGGGGGTGGTCACACACGCTACTAAGGACATGTATTGTCACATGATTTGACTTTGTGAGCACCTTTTGAGTGGACTGTTTGACTCTTATTGTTTTTTGTTTAATTTTGACCCCATGTCTCTTTCGATCGGCCTTATGGCAAGTGCACTATAGATATAGCATTGCAATTTTGTACAGACTTCGAAAAATCATCATACAATTAACATCTTCCTTTCTTTTTATAAAGCTACTGATAAGTGTATTTTGCCCAGCGGTTTATTATCATTACATATGAAAGTGTGGAACCACAGATGGTAGACAAACAGCTATCCAAACCTATATAACCCCGGGAAACAAGTACTTAGTTTCCGAAAAATAAAATAAAAAATAATTTGGAGATGGATACATCATTTTATAATATAATGGGTAGGTTTCTCGGCAGGATAAAGCCAACGGATAAAAATGATATCCGTTTGGGTCATATGCGGATAGAGATGCAAATATCAAAGGTCAAGTTGGGACTACTTTCAGTGTTAATAAACAAACATGGCATCGCCCTTGTCATTCAGCGATCGAGTCAGCATTAACCATCGGGAATCTTAATAGACTACGGGGATAATTGCTATAGTTATCAAAAGAACAGTCTAAATATACTGAAAATCAGTGTCTAACTGTGACGTAGCTAAGGCATTTGGCACCTTGTCGACAAATTAAAATAGTTAGATTTGGCCAAAATATGTTTGAATTGTTACCTTGTTTCGCTGTGTGTACATCTGATTGCACTTCTTAACGTTATGACAGGACAGGCCGACTGTCAACAACGTCTGAACGTGGCCGTGACGTCTCATAGACTAGTGTTAGAGTAGCTTCCATTTGACAAAGGGCAGTTACTCTAGCGGACAGACCGATGGATTGCCGCGAAAGGCAATTAAAAACGATTGTTGTTTTGCGTATATGTTGCTTCGCCACTGTATAAGAAACAGATTTCAGTTGGAACTATATTGGCTACTGTCACTGTCCGACTGACACATCACTTACCCTGTGACGTAATAAATATTAATGCGCGCATTCCAGGAAAACTCGCAATGTTTCGGTAATGTTTGATAGAGGGAAAGCGATTTTAAAGCACAGAATTAAAGAATGACATTATATGAAAAAGAGGTTATCACGGTTGTGTGTTTGGGGATGGTAAATATCCGGTATTAGGAATAAACACTATGTGTTTAGCTCGCCAAAGCTCGCTAAATACAATGTTTATTCCTAATGCAGGATATTTACCATCCCCAAACACACTCGCGTGATAACCTATATGTACTCAATAGGTATATCATGCTCAATAACATATCTCTTATGATCTGTTCCAGATGCAGTGGCAATGACATCCCTCGCGCATGCTGCCATAGCCTTGTCAGCGTGCTGTATATGTAAGACTTTTTCAATATGTTTAAGCATAAAACATATAGTGAATTGAAATTGGTTAGTTACACCATACCAGTTTAATGAACCGAATTGATGCAAGTAGTCCAATTTCATGAAACCCACGAAGTATTGAACATGTTGAATGGTACTAGGGGCGAATTTAGGAACCCGAGACCAACATTAAATGTGTTACTCTATGATAGAACTGAAATACTTATCAAAGCGATTGTTTGATCGATTTTTACCGAACTCCTAAGAGAGTATTTCATTAGTATATATTTATAGTTCACGTTGAAGTATGTGACCAAACCGAGTATACATTTCTACGATAAATGTTTTATGTCGTCAGGTAAATGCTCAGTGAAATGGGTAATATTTTCTCATTATTATGACATATTACATATTCTCAGATAAAAATACCCCACAAAACCATCTCGTGAAGCAAGAATCAACTGAAATGGATCGGTTGGCCAGACTCTTTGACATGGCTGGAACGAAGCTGGTCGTTTTTGTCTGATGAAAGTAGCATGTCTTATGTTTCACTGCACACATATTTCTCTCAATGTACGGAATCAATACAAGGAAACGTCTTTAGAACTGTCTGTTTCATGAGATTGCTCTTATAGTTTCAGGTCTCAGCACTACACCAATCGATCTGTGCCTTTCCTTTAAGAAAGACAGTCAGCCATGTGATTGTTGCAGAACAGGATATAAGGGCGACAACTGTACTGTTCCCTGTCCCATATGTGAACGACGATTTGTAAATGGGAATTGCACCAGATCCTGCAGTAACAAAACGTTTTTGGGAGACGATTGTGACAGATCGTGTCCACCCAAGTGTATGCGTGGTGGAGTCTGCAATGACAAATGTGCTTCTAAAACATCTGGTGGGTAGCACTTACATACAAAGCAGAAAGGTGCCTGTATAAGACATACATAAAACACACAGAGAGTCATATAATAGCTAACCTGTCTGCATATTCCAAAAGGGATGAGTTGTAAATATTGTGCCGCCCTAAATACGATAAATCATTAAGATTGTAGAATATATCCTTGCTTCTGCGGAGGTAATTAGCAATGTAAAAACGGAAAAGAACGGATAGAACATTTCAGACTTTTAGATGATCGTGGCTTAAGTGAATCATCCTTATCTCAGTGCTTAGGGATAAAATTGTATGTTTCAGCGGATTCAAATTCTCAGGAATGGACTACCCGCCCTGAACAGACATTCCAAAATCGAGGTACGATAAATGAAAACAAGAAATTAGGAGTAAAATAGCTGAACTATATTTTATACTTTTATTTTAAAAAATATCTTTGATATCGTGTGAAAGCAAAAACTTCATCTATTCACCCTTTCCAAAAGTAGGGGATAATCGGAAATAACTTAAAATTTCAAAAATTGTGAGAGAGATTATTTTCTGGTTATGCTTGTATGATAATAATGAACGAATTGGAAACACATAACAACCGGTAGTGAAGTATGACAGTAGACGTTATGACCGCCAACGATCTTGAAGCACGATAGGCAATTGCAAAGTTGACGTCTTGGGATCAATGGTAAGTAATACCGCCACGTTTGTCAAACATTCATTCACACGACGAGGCTTACTGCGTACGAGTCTCCCAAAAGCGATGTGGGAGTCTGTCTAACTCCTCTTGCAGAGGCCAAGTTCATGAAACGTTGTCGGCGGCCTATGACGTTGACGCAAACGTCTCCCTATCACGTCTCAGGGGTGTTCAATATTGGTAAGGATCTAGGCTCATTGCTGGCCATGGCATTCTTTGGATGTAGTGCTGCTGGAGGTGCGCATTGACGATTCGCGCACGGTAAGCACGGGCGTTGTCGTCCTGAAAACGGGAAAAACGGGACAGCATAGAGTGTCAGCATGTTGTCCCAATAGGACTGTCCAGTGACCCTTCCTTGCACAATACAGGGGCGGTCGGGTAGCCTAGTGGTTAAAGCGTTCGCTCGTCATGCCCAAGACCTGGGTTCGATTCTCGACATGGGTTCAATGTGTGAACCCATTTCTGGTGTCTCCGCCGTGATATTGCTGGAATATTGCTTGATTGACAGAAATAATGAGCCAGAGAGATTAATCGACCTTCCTTGAAAGTGTCAAAATCACGAATGTCACCCTACGCACGTGTTTTGCGCTACTACGTGCGGCACGTGAAAACTATAGGATGTGTTTTGCTGTGAGGTTTTTCCAGACAAAAACGTTCTATCAACAGTTATATGTCATGATTCCCTACTTCCCTAAGAATGCGTGTATATATATAATGATACCAACGAGGATACAGTGACGATGTTCATAAGTGATACATTTTCTACAGCCAACATAATTAAAAGGCAACTATTTACATTGTCGTAAATTTTCTTAGGATTGCATGCAGACAGTTCCACAAGCTGGATCTTACAACTATACCAAGTAATCAAACTGACAGGCATTTTCGTCCTGATTGCTGTGGCAGTATCGAAATATTTACATTGTCCAAGGGAAATCGAGTTATGGTAAGGAAAATGAACTGATGCAATCATTTATTTAGCCATGTTAAACAAGGTTGTGAAACATATTAATGGAATGTATGCCATGTTTACATCCAACTACTAATGTCTATAATAGAGAAGGGTAGTGTAGGTAGTAGATATTAATATCTAATTCTGCCTTCATAATCTTTTATACAATTTGTGAATGCAATGTAGTATAAATGTAGATTCAGGGAATTCCACATAGTGTATATATTTTTTATTATTTCTTTCAGCTATAATTACTGTTGCCGTAAATGTTGTAAGTACAGAACATATAGCAACGGATGTAATAATATGCTTTCTACAAATGACTCCTAAAGTTTATTTCTTCCTTAAATGTTTCATTACTAAATACTTTATTGTGTGAAGGCATTTTTTTTCTGGCAGCTGTTGAAAAAGAGTTTATTGTCGGGTTAATTTGGTTCATGTGCATCATAATATGGCTTGATATATTCAGACATACACAGCAATTCGTCATACACAGCACAGCTATTATCGCATGATGTACATACATGCACACATAAATAAACACTCACAGGAAACTCGAAGATTGCTGATACGGTGTTAAGCAACTTTTACTCATTCACTCATAAAGAAATAGACTTATCTTTCATAACCATGACGCTGAAGAATGCCTGATTCTGATTGGTCAAAATAACATAAAAATCTGGTATCTAATTCCACAGTTGTAAAAGGACAGTCACCCAGCGTGCCACTCAGCCAGAGTACGTACGGACCAGCGACAGGTAACCTGCCAATTAACAACGATTCTAATGGAAGAGAGATAACTCCTCCCATCTAATATTGTGCACTATTTGATGCCTAAAGTTGAGAAGCCTTTTCACCCTAAAGCTTGCGTGTGAATACATCTTGAATACAAATCAAAGTATGCAACAAAGGATGCTGATAACCCATTGGAACTAATGCAGAGCGGAATATCTTCGGAATGGTCATCAATCCGAACTTGCCCACATAGATGGAATCCAGCTACATGAACAAACATATCATTGAAACGCCTTGGATGAGAAGAATTGATCTAAATCCCAATATGTATTCATAGACATTTGCCTACAAATGGGCTCAAAAATGCATTTCTGCAGAAAAAATGAAAGAATATTTTCCTGATGAAATAAATATCTGGCAGATTATTCTTGAATTCTGTAGAATTCAAGTTCTTAACAAATCCGTTTTATTTGTATTATTTTCTGACTGACGGACATAATACAAGTCTGAAGCAATGTGAGTTTATACATGATGTGTTGGCAATATTTGTGTCATACCTTCGTCTGTCTGTCGTCCGTTTGTACAATTGTTGGCCAATTGACAAATTGTTTCAATCGCCAATTATGAGGGGGAAAAGAGGGTCGCCCATTTCAGAAAATAATGATTAGCACCAAACCAACCAAATACCGCTTTCAACTACACTGGTTTTCTAAAATGTAGGCCCACTTGCTGTCATTTCCATTCAGAAAAATAAAGTGGGTTCACATTTCGGGAAATACCAATAGTCACGAGGTATTTTCATAGACAAGGACCATGTTAAACGTGCTGTGTGTTACAGATGGAAAGTTGAAAATAGAATATATTGAATAATAATTAAACTTATCCTATCTCATACAATGCATATTTTCTTTCTTCATCGATCCCATGTGGAAACGTGCTTGAACCCTTTAAGATATGCATAGTATGAGATAGATATGTATATAAACATACAATTTATGCTTAAAATTTCAAATTTGATTAAGAACACCATTTATATTGGGGATCAGAGTTGTCCAGCGCTCGTTCGTTACATTATCAAATGGTTTTGTCGCTCACTGGTACACTGCACAAGCTCTTGATCACAACAAACATTATGATTCAATGTCAGGATACATAAATTAAATGAAACATACACTAACCATTGTTAGAAAAGGGAGCAATCTCACATGTTGCTCAAGCTCAATAAAGGGGACATTCAGACATACTTAGGGTGATTCCGTAGGCAACGGCTGTGCAAGCAGGCTCATTTCCATCGGTACATCATCAGGTCAATATTGAACATAACTAAATATTGGGATTGTCCGCTAGGTTCAGGCAATTTGTGAATAGTACTGTCAATGTGAACAACCATATTGTAAGAGTAAAACAACGCAAGTAAATGAGGTTCAGCCAGGTCGAAGTTCCTTATGGAGAGATAGTCATTCTATTACTATTGGGGAAGTATTTCTGGCCAACCAGTCGTAAGCACAACTTCTGTACAGCCCAAATCCTGTTATTTAATCAGATTTGTTGAGAAATAAATTCGCTGAACATGTTATGTCACTATTTCTACAACATGAATGGGATGCGCTTCAGTTATCAGTGGAAGAGGTAAGTGAGACTGTTGTTACTCTTGAATGTACTTTTCGAATAAGTGCAATTACTGTAACTCGATGTGTTTGATATCATTAAGTAATCATTCTTATTATTTCCAAAGGTATCTGGAATAAATATATTTTGCCTAGCATCAGTTGACATGCAGTTACTGTGTTTTTGGTATGATGAAAGTCGATGTAAGTATGATCAGAAACATAGTTAGACGCCATTGAACTGCACCTGGAAAAGCAGAGAAGCAGGTTCACCACAACAAGAGCTCTCCAGAATGACCTTCAAAGTTTTGCAGGCACTAGGGTTTCAACACAAACACTTCTAAACAGACTCCATGCAGAAAGAATTGTGGTCTAGAAGACCGGTACCATCCATACCATTGCCTGAACACCATTGACAACAGGGGATGATTTTGTCAAATCAGCATCGCAATTGGAGGGTCGGCCTATGGCGAAATGTTCTTTTCAGAGATGAGTCCAGCTACTGCCAAGACTGAAGGGAACGTGTCTGGAGGAACAACTCTGGACAATACGCAACTGCACCATTGCGGAACAGGATCATGTTGAAGGAGGAAGCTTGATCATGTTCGGTGGCATCCAGATTGGCTGAAGAACCGATCTTGTGGTCATCATACGAAGTACTATAACTGGCGTACGTTACAGAGATGAGATTATCACGCCTATCATCATTCCTCTAGCACAACAAGCTGGGCCTTACTTCATCTGTATGGGTGATAAAGCCTATCCGCATGGAACATGAGCCGTCACTGATGTCTCTCAGGGCAACAATATCGCACGTTTGGACTGGACGGAGAGATCACCAGACCTAAATCCGATTCAACCTGCTTGGGACACCCTTGGGATGCGGGTAGAATGGCAGAATATTCCTCAGCAACAACTCATTTGGTCAATACTAAGACGTTAAGAAGCCCGTTTTTTTTGCCAACTGTGGGCAGTCACGTTATTGAATATTATTTGGCCATTCCCAAAATGACTGCACGAAGTGAAATAATTATGATCGATCGGACGATGTTTTCAAGGGTGTATGTGTTTGCACTTTTAAATCTGTTCAATGACTTTTTCTGTCACTTTTGGTTATTGTGCACATAATTTTAATTTTGCTGTTACATCATTCAAAAATTTGACACTTGTGTTAAATAAAATAATTTGTGTTGGTTGCTTAATTCTTTTTTAACGGATATAATTTGGCCAAAATTGATAACACACCTGAAGGAATTTCTACTAGTAGGTATCCTAGTAAGACAGCTAGAAGATGGATGTTTGATAGTAACTACTTACTTTTGTTTTCTATTTTCACAGGGTACCCATATGTGTGATGGGGAAAACAAATGGAAACTTTATCAGGAGGAAAGAATGGTACGTCCGTCCAAACAACCAAATACGTCCACCAGTGTTTAAGTTCTGCCTTGTTATAGGGCTGGAGTTGTGCCATATGAAACTCCTTAAAGATATGTCAAATACTCCATGATGACAATGTCTAGACTGCGGACATCAACACCTTATCATGATGGGAGCTGCCATGTATTAATGCCTCGGACCTGTGAGATCTGCACAAGTGTATTCATGACGGTAGCCAGTATTGCTGTAGAAATGTTTGATGTATCCAATCTGTCAAGGTTAATATTAGTTTTCCGAAATGGTGGAAAACTTTAAAATGTTGAAAAATGGTTTTATGATGATGTACATATAAAGATAGGAACATATTATAGTTATTTAGATGTTGTATTTTCAAACGGATTATCATTGTCAAAATGTTTGCAAACTTTAGTCCAGAAAGCTAATAAAGCCCTTATTCCCATTAAGCAATGGCATTCACAAGTTAATGATTATACACATTTAGAATTTTATTCGTCACTCAAAAAAGCATTTGTTATTGAACCGTATATTTTAAAAATCACTTGTAAAGAACTAAGAAGAATGTTATCACTATTAAGAATTGGAGAATTAAATATCATGGTGAATATTGGAAGAAAAAGTAATATTGATTTTAATTTTAGATTGTGTCCTTTTTGTAAGAACATCATTGAAACTGAATTACATTTTATACTATCATGTCCATTATATGATTATATCAGACAGAAACACATTCCAAATATATATTTTAAATCTCAGTTATTTAAGCTTATAAGCTCAGGCAAACTAACTGATCATGATTTACTTCAATGCTGTAAATATATTAAAGAGGCTATTACGTTCATCCCTTTTGTAATACTTGTTTAATGTTGCATCAATATGTATATTCTATATGTCAATATTTATTTGGGCCTGTGGCCTTTATACTGAATAGAGAAATTGAAGGCTAAGATATGTTTTCGTTTAAAGGTCAGTGCCTTGTCGTGTCTTATGTATTAAGGAATAGTTTGCATCCTGCAACCATTGACGCCAGAGACATGTCAGATTTGATTTCTATTAAGACAACAGTAACATCAGAGGGTCCTGTATTAATGAACCGCCTCCGTGGTCTAGTGGTAGAGCGTCCGCCCGGAGAGCGGAAGGTCCGGGGTTCGATCCCCGGCCGCGTCATACCAAAAGACGTTAAAAGATGGTGTTTGTTGTTACCCTGTCTGGCGCGCGGCATTAGGGGGCTAAAACAAGGATTGGTCGGCTCGGAGTCAGTACTGCACTATCACCGCATGCGTCTATATTAAGCTTAATGATGCTCGTCAGCTCGATACCCCTGCTGGTGGTCAACATGTTCAACCTGCGTCAGTTAATGCTTGACTCCCACAATAAGCTGACACTGGTGATTCATGAACACGTGCTTATGATATGGTTTGGAATCTCTGCAGCAGTGTCGTTTTCACGTTGTATTTTGTTTTATTTAAGAAGTCAATAAAAAGTTATACAAAAACATTTCTTGTTTGTGTCAAGCAGGTTTGTGGGCAACAGTATTATTCATGGTATTCACTTTGCCTGTCCTTTGTGTATGTAATAATTGTAGATTTTACACATAATGTCTGATGAATTGAAAGCAGACATGTAAGCTGAGGCTTTGAAATAAAGGTTTTTTTTACGTTACGAAATAACGAGAGAAAAAATAAGATCGTTTTGTACAGTCTGCACGCTGACGTCAAACGTCTTTATGACATCACAGCTCAAGTGTATGCTAGCACCCATGAGGACCCTTTTCTCCTGTTGGGTCACAAATATTAAAATGTTAATTACATTCTCATGTGGAGAATATATGTATTGTTTATAAATCCCTACTATTCAACAAGTTTCATTATGTAAATGAAATAACTGAAAGGGAAAATAATTGTCATTAAATGTATTTTATTTTTTTTATAAATGTGACAATGTGACAAGCGTACCTCTGTTATCTCCATTTCATCTTGCATCGAATCTGTGATACCACTGTGATATGATCTATACTGTGACGTTCATATAATTATAATATATGTTTAGAGGGTATAAATATTCTCCTTCTACGTCTCCTGAATAAAGCGGGTTCCAAACCCACGAAAAGTCGTGTTTTCTCGGCGTTATCAATTGTTACATAACTGTTTTGTCCCTTTTATCTATAATTGCCCCGCGTTAATCCCATCTGGCGCTTTTATGTGAGAATGTATATTACATTGTATGTTTTTACTTAAATGAATGAATCTGAGCTTATTTGTCATTCTTTCAAAACTGTGTCCATGTTAATGCCTCGAGTGAGTGAGTGAGTATGGTTTTACGCCGCTTTTAGCAATATTCCAGCAATATCACGGCGGGGGACACTAGAAATGGGCTTCACTAATTGTACCTTCGGCATGACGAGCGAACGATTTAACCACTAGGCTACCCGACCGCCCCTGTTAATGCCTCGAAACCAAATTTTACCAACTTCCCTGTCCATGAGACTTGTTAAAACCTATTTGGTCAAACATCATCATAATTTTATTATCTGGAATTGTCGACAGGAAGGTTGGATTCATGACCCTTTCTCATTGTCCTTCTATATTTTTTCAAGGAAATATTTTATCGGTTCCTTATAATCAATTATCCATCGAGATATCAAACGTCCCATGGGTAATCGGTATAGATGTGTCCACCATCACTTTATTGGGTGTCGTACGAGGCAACAACATGGATCGGGTGGCCAGGTGGTCAGGTGGTAAGGTGGTCGGTGACACGCTTGTCCTTGTACCTCAGCCATTAATATTGACCTTTGCTTTCTCTGACTACAATGATCTGGCTTGAATAACGCTGACCGTTGTAAAATGTCAAACATAAACACAAACAAAAGAGACAAATAGCCATTTCATTTACTAATGACAGAAGACACGACTGATTAACATACACAAGTACGAGGTTTTGCTTGAGGTCTTCGATTTAATTTTTTTTTCGATTTTTTAAAAGTTGTTGAATTCCCCACATGTATACGATGTACGGCGCCCATTTATTGTTTCCCCATGACGTCATATTGCTGGACCATTGTTAAAAAGACACTCATTTCATTGTGTAGAAATCCAGTTACGCCAGGCTCAAATCAATTTATGCCAGGACAATTCTTTATGAACTTATCACGGGCTTTATTATTTTGAAAAGTACTAATTATTATATGGTTTTGCGATCAGTTTTATTTGAAAATCAAATAATAGCAACCAGAATAGTTTCATTTCAGTATGAATCATCACACGGTAAATATTAACACTCATCTCCGTAGTGCAATTCACATCATACCTGAACAATGTGAATGTATCGAAACTGTTGAAACAGGAGCGAGCAACAGGAAGATGAATTCCTCGATGGCCACAGACATGTCATCCGGTTAAGCATATCAAAAGTAGCTAGCCAGTTTACGGATAATAAGCATTATAAAATGGTATTCAATTTTTAAGACTCTAACTTACCGGCTTAAAGTTTTATACGGTTCGCATCATATTAAGTTTCTTTCAATATGATGGCATTAGCTGAAGTCAATAATTTAATGTTGATTTAGTTCGTGTAGGTTGAACACAAAGCTAAATTTTTAATTTTTAATTCTCAAAGATACATAACTACTCCACATATAGGAGGATCAGCCCTACATCTACGACTGTATATGAATTGACGTTTAGAAACCTATAATCATCACAGGTAGGTTTGACACGCCTTTATACTATGAATGCCTTACTTTATAAGACCGCCATAATCGTGTGCGCCTTAAAATTCACACGACCCACGTGGGTTTAGCATTGTTCTCTTACACACTGGAGCACGTACTTTGAACAGTCTGTTACCAGCTTTATCCTTCTTTGTAGTTTCAGGATCCTCATTCGTTACAAAACAAGTGCCAGAATCCAAAGAGAGTTGCTTTGTTCCACATTTTCTAGTCCTGATATCTCTCCTTGAATGTCTTTGTGCCAGGTGCCTCCTACCAACTTCTCCAGTTGGGACAGTAAACGAGGTTTCACCTACCAGTTCCGGCTTATGACTCTGCCGAACGTCAAGGTATACACCATCATCAGTCCTAGAGGACGTGTATCTTGGCTGTTCTACGTCTTGCGTTTGTTGAGGCGTCAGATACCCGACAGACGAGTGTCCACTCGCACCGGTCTCTGGTAAGGAACAGGCATGGTCTACGGCACTGGTTACTGCTTCAAGGGGAATGGGTAATCTGGGCCTGTCGGGTAGAGGTCTCTGTCCTGCTGGTATGAGAGACATGTTCGTGTCCAGATCTTCATCGTGTATTTCGTGGTAAATGTCTCCACATTTCTGGAACACTTCTTCCTCTGACGTCTTTACTTCCAAACAACCATTGTCCATCGCTGAAAGTCTTTCCCTGCGGGTCTTCCTAAATAAAACAAGGATGTATTAGATATTCATCACACCAGACTCCATGCTTCTATTATTAATTTTATACACTTAATTGCGGTAATTGTCTGTGACTTGGCGGATTGCTATTGTATACGTACCCAATGGTGAGACGGGTGGCCCAGTCGTCTAAGGCTCCGCAATTCGCTGTGCAGGGTTGCGTCCCTTGGGCACGCCAGAAACCTGTTTGTGGGTTCGAATCCCGGTTCGCTCCGATTATGTTTCTAGGTTTGCCAGCACCATACCCGTGCTCGTGGGTTTCACCGAAGTGGTTAACGTCTGAGACCTGCATCACTTCGGGCTTTCCTCCCGCATTAAGCTGACACGCTGTGATATAACTGGAATACTGTTAAAAGCGGTGTTAAACCCAACTGACTCACTCACTCTTTACATTGGCTCACATAACCATACTTAGTTTAACCTACTTGCATCTCCACAAGATGAAGGCAGAGAGACCTATGCACAACACAAGAGCACTGGCCAAAAATGGAAGAAGATACTCTGAAAAACAAAATGATGATAGATATTGTTTACGTTTGGAAAGAGACATAATACAGTTTTTAGGCGTTTTTGTGTTAATTGTGTAATGTGTGTAGTTATACACATACCTCCATGGAGTTTGTGCGAATGTATTTTACTTGTATTAGTTAGGTGAAACGTAATATGTGTTTTATACATCTGTCCTTTCATGTGCGACGATGATGTTTATTAGTGTGTTGTGTCGTTGTATACTACTCAAAAGAAGACAAAGAACACCCATGTCATGCCATGAAAAATAGCAGTAGTAATATATAAGAATCGGGTGTGAAACTTATTTTGAGTAGTATAAGTCTTAAATTTAATAAATGTTGATTATTACCTCCACATGTAAATGACATAAAAAACATTAATTTCAGTGACTACACCATCGATGCCAAAACACATTACAAGCATACTAACACAAGGTATACCTTTTTCGTTTATCAGGTCTGAGATGGTACCGAAGAAATCCTCGTTGTCCTTAGAACTGGCCTTGTGAGTTGTAATGTCATTCATTTCTCCATCAATACCGTCCTTACACTTCACTGTACAGTTTATATACTGACGTACGGACGGACACGTGTGACATAACAGGGTGCAGTTGCTACCACGATGAGACACCATACAGTCGTCACAGTCCCTGGTCGTGTTACACTGAAGACAGTTCTCAGGGCACGTGATTTGACAGTGGCGTCCATAATACCCTTCCCTGCATCCTTGAGAGCATTCTCCATCCTCTCTTCCACATTTTAGGCAACCTACATCTGATTCGTTACAGTCTTTGCAATTCTGTGGACATGTTTGATTGCACGTCGGGCCATAGAAACCATGAATACAACCTATAGAACACATCCCATCCTTATCTGAGCAAGTCTTGCATGTTGTGTTTGAATTAAGACACTGCTTACAGTTCTGTAGACAAGACTGATTACATTCAATACCATAGAACCCGTCATTACACTGTGTGGAGCATCGGCCACCCCGACATACTTGACAATCTCTGTGTGTACTGTTACACCCCTCACAGTCATCTGGACACATGGCGTCACATGATTCCCCAAAGTATCCGCCCTTACAACCATAGATGCAATGTCCTGTATGGTGTTCACAGGGACTGTCCATTTCTTCATCCTTGCAGTGTTGAGAACACGGATTGCTGCAGCGTGTTCCCCAGAAGCCAGGCTTACACCCATCATGACATGTCCCATTGATGGAACAGTTGCCCTTATGACACTGTCCACAGAGATCCTCACATCTGATTCCATAACGACCAGATTCACACTTTGTACATTCACGTTTATTTCTGGAGGAACAAGCCATGCACCTGTCGAGACAGTGCTGCCGACAGCAGTCGCCGGACCATCCATCAATACACCCGAGCTCACACGTAGGTTTGCCGGTTGTATCAACATGATTTAACTTGATACAATTTGTGGGATCCCTACAGGCTGGAAGTGGGAACAGAAACACTGAATACACAGGATATAAATCTATTTCTTTATGTAATCTTCAAACACTTCAACCAAATAGCACTTACAATCCATCTACAGCTTTAATATCAAAATATAGAAACTTAAAAGGGTATTCCAGCATAACATTCCCAGCAGCGAAAACAAATACGAGGGCTGAAATATACATATTGTAAAACAAATATCGTAGCAAGCTAAGTTATCTGAAAACGCTGATTCGAACTGGTATCTTGCGGAACTGTTTTGTTTTCGACACATACGTGTCCATCTTTATCAATAATATATTCTTCGTAATAGTTGCCGGTAATTTTAATGTTATTTTTCTATTTTTGGCAGGTTTCTATTCCAAAAGAGGAATTTGAAAGTTATGATGTTCTGTGTAAAAAACAGGAAAACAGGAAGAAAATAGTTGTATCGACATCAAAAAGACTTAAACGACGCGATACATGCAATCTTTATGGCCCATTTATGGTAAATGTCATCTTTATAAGAGTGAGTGAGTGAGTATGGTTTTACGCCGCTTTTAGCAATATTCCAGCAATATCACGGCGGGGGACACCAGAAATGGGCTTCACACATTGTACCCATGTCTGGATTCGAACCCGGGTCTTTGGCGTGACAAGCGAACGCTTTAACCACTAGGCTACCCGACCGCCCCGTCTTTATAAGATTTAGTTCATGCTCAGTTATGGTACCAAGATCCCTCTATTCCTTACCAATTCTAAGTTTTGCCATTTTCCTCTACTTAGCATAATATGAAATATACTTGTAAATAGAAATTATGACAGAATGGAAAGTGTTTAAAGTAGTGACCTGTCTCTTAGTGACATATACTTGATCACGGGCCGATAAATATGCAAATGAAGCCACCAAGAACTACTCTTAATCTCCACACATCAATGCTATGAAAGCTATGATTGTGGGTTCGAATCCTGGTTCGCCACGATTATGTTTCTAGGTTTGTCAGCACCATACCCGTGCTCGTGGGTTCCCAATGTGTGTGGGTTTTGTTTGCAGGCAAACTATCTGCACTTTATCATTAATGGGGCGGTTCGCATTCTTTATTGATGCAGTTTCTTTAGTTACTCCTTGAGGTGAAATTACTTCAAGAATGACACAATTTGAAATTATATTCTTGTGTTTCCGTAACGTCGTCGTAATAATCATATATTAGAAATAAAAGGATCGCATTTATAAGACAATGTTTATCCCTAATATATATATGCCTAATGTCCGGCACACTCGGCAAATAATCTCTATATAGTCAGACATAAGGGCATCAAACAATTTGAAACTATATTATTGCTGCGTTCAAAGTAAGTAAAATTGTGAACGGAAGAGTGATACCTACCATGGGTAAGTACGATGATGTGAGCGGCGACAGCAATGACTGCAGATGGTGTGGCCATTGTTGTATCAGCAAACTATACCTGTGAAATATTATACACTACGTTAGACACTTCGATAATGTATAATACGATTGTCATGTGAAATCCCACGGGAAGTGAATTAATTTAAAACGTAAACGCCATAGAATAACAGATGCCATATGAAGTAAAATGCAATTTAGTGATGAAAATTATGTGAATAGAACACTGAAAATCAGTAAACACACAAGTTGTTCACGAAATGGGTATACATCCAAGCATGGTCATCACAGCTGGTGGGGCGTCGGGGTAGCCTAGTGGTTATAGTGTTCGCTCGTCGAACCGAAGACCCGGGTTCGATTCATTGGTACAACGTGTGAAGCCCATTTCTGGTGTCCCCAGCCGTGATATTGCTGGAATATTGCATAAAGCGGCGTAAAACAATACTCACTCACTTCACTACTGGTAGTACCCGCAACTCACAAAATGTTCAGTATGTGAGAACTGTGAAAGTTCCTCATAAAAGGTCAAATAGCATGATATGGCATCGTCAACTGTCATATTTGTCAGAATCTCGAATTACTTAACCAGGTACTTGAATGAAAAGCTCTGTTGTAAGCATCATGTGTCTTTCCATGAAATTTGAATAAAGTATATATGCTCTTAAGTAAGTACCTTAGCAACTGACAAATGTAGAATAAATACACTGGAGCTGATGACATATTGCTGGAAATGAAGGGTTAATTCACAGCTGAAAATCGAAACCATCCATCTTGGCATACAGCTTCTTACAGAGGACGTCACGGACACATCCAGATAAAACACTGGGTATGGTTCATAGCAATTTTTCAATTACAAGTTAAATCAGAAATGAGAAGTATAAATTTTGTTTCACACAATCAACAAGTGACTGTGAGTTACACAGAATGTAAGCTGCAGCCATCCCCAGTAACGTGTACACTACTGCCTTGTTTAGTCAATATTTACCGCAAGGCAGGCAATAGATGATCAAGCACTACTGCTTTGTTCAGTCAATGTTAACCACAAGGCAGGCAATAGATGATCAAACAATACTGCCTTGTTCAGTCAATGTTTACCGCAAGGCAGGCAATAGATGATCAAACACTACTGCTTTGTTCAGTCAATGTTTACCGCAAGGCAGGCAATAGATGATCAAACACTACTGCTTTGTTCAGTCAATGTTTACCCCAAGGCAGGCAATAGATGATCAAACACTACTGCTTTGTTCAGTCAATGTTTACCCCAAGGCAGGCAATAGATGATCAAACACTACTGCCTTGTTCAGTCAATGTTTACCCAAAGGCAGGCAATAGATGACCAAACACTACTGCCTTGTTCAGTCAATGTTTATCCCAAGGCAGGCAATAGATGATCAAACACTACTGCTTTGTTCAGTCAATGTTTACCGCAAGGCAGGCAATAGATGACCAAGCACTACTGCTTTGCTCAATCAATGTTTACCGCAAGGCAGGCAATAGATGATCAAACACTACTGCCTTGTTCAGTCAATGTTAACCACAAGGCAGGCAATAGATGATCAAACAATACTGCCTTGCTCAATCAATGTTTACCGCAAGGCAGGCAATAGATGATCAAACACTACTGCTTTGTTCAGTCAATGTTTACCCCAAGGCAGGCAATAGATGATCAAACACTACTGCCTTGTTCAGTCAATGTTTACCCAAAGGCAGGCAATAGATGACCAAACACTACTGCCTTGTTCAGTCAATGTTTATCCCAAGGCAGGCAATAGATGATCAAACACTACTGCTTTGTTCAGTCAATGTTTACCGCAAGGCAGGCAATAGATGACCAAGCACTACTGCTTTGCTCAATCAATGTTTACCGCAAGGCAGGCAATAGATGATCAAACACTACTGCCTTGTTCAGTCAATGTTAACCACAAGGCAGGCAATAGATGATCAAACAATACTGCCTTGCTCAATCAATGTTTACCGCAAGGCAGGCAATAGATGATCAAACACTACTGCTTTGTTCAGTCAATGTTTACCGCAAGGCAGGCAATAGATGATCAAACACTACTGCCTTGTTCAGTCAATGTTTACCCCAAGGCAGGCAATAGATGATCAAACACTACTGCTTTGTTCAGTCAATGTTTACCCCAAGGCAGGCAATAGATGACCAAACACTACTGCTTTGTTCAGTCAATGTTTACTGCAAGGCAGGCAATAGATGACCAAACACTACTGCTTTGTTCAATGTTTACCCCTAGGCAGGCAATAGATGATCGAAACACTACTGCCTTATTCGGTCAATGTTTACCCCTAGGCAGGCAATAGATGATCAAACACTACTGCTTTGTTCAGTCAATGTTTACCCCAAGGCAGGCAATAGATGACCAAACACTACTGCTTTGTTCAGTCAATGTTTACCGCAAGGCAGGCAATAGATGATCAAACACTACTGCTTTGTTCAATGTTTACCCCAAGGCAGGCAATAGATGATCAAACACTACTGCCTTGTTCAGTCAATGTTTACCCCTAGGCAGGCAATAGATGATCAAACACTACTGCTTTGTTCAATGTTTACCCCAAGGCAGGCAATAGATGATCAAACACTACTGCTTTGTTCAATGTTTACCGCTAGGCAGGCAATAGATGACCAAACACTACTGCTTTGTTCAGTCAATGTTTACCCCAAGGCAGGCAATAGATGATCAAACACTACTGCCTTGTTCAGTCAATGTTTACCCCAAGGCAGGCAATAGATGATCAAACACTACTGCCTTGTTCAGTCAATGTTTACCGCAAGACAGGCAATAGATGATCAAACACTACTGCTTTGTTCAGTCAATGTTTACCGCAAGGCAGGCAATAGATGATCAAACACTACTGCCTTGTTCAGTCAATGTTTACCGCAAGGCAGGCAACAGATGCTCAAACACTACTGCTTTGTTAAATCAATGTTTACCGCAAGGCAGGCAATAGATGATCAAACACTACTGCTTTGTTCAGTCAATGTTTACTGCAAGGCAGGCAATAGATGACCAAACACTACTGCTTTGTTCAATGTTTACCCCTAGGCAGGAAATAGATGATCGAAACACTACTGCTTTGTTAAATCAATGTTTACCGCAAGGCAGGCAATAGATGATCAAACACTACTGCTTTGTTCAATGTTTACCGCAAGGCAGGCCACAGATGATCAAACACTACTGCTTTGTTGAGTCAATGTTTACCGCAAGGCAGGCAATAGATGATCAAACACTACTGCTTTGTTCAATCAATGTTTACCCCAAGGCAGGCAATAGATGATCAAACACTACTGCCTTGTTCAGTCAATGTTTACCGCAAGACAGGCAATAGATGATCAAACACTCCTGCTTTGTTCAGTCAATGTTTACCGCTAGGCAGGCAATAGATGACCAAACACTACTGCTTTGTTCAGTCAATGTTTACCCCAAGGCAGGCAATAGATGATCAAACACTACTGCCTTGTTCAGTCAATGTTTACCCCAAGGCAGGCAATAGATGATCAAACACTACTGCCTTGTTCAGTCAATGTTTACCGCAAGACAGGCAATAGATGATCAAACACTACTGCTTTGTTCAGTCAATGTTTACCGCAAGGCAGGCAATAGATGATCAAACACTACTGCCTTGTTCAGTCAATGTTTACCGCAAGGCAGGCAACAGATGCTCAAACACTACTGCTTTGTTAAATCAATGTTTACCGCAAGGCAGGCAATAGATGATCAAACACTACTGCTTTGTTCAGTCAATGTTTACTGCAAGGCAGGCAATAGATGACCAAACACTACTGCTTTGTTCAATGTTTACCCCTAGGCAGGCAATAGATGATCGAAACACTACTGCTTTGTTAAATCAATGTTTACCGCAAGGCAGGCAATAGATGATCAAACACTACTGCTTTGTTCAGTCAATGTTTACCGCAAGGCAGGCAATAGATGATCAAACACTACTGCTTTGTTCAATGTTTACCGCAAGGCAGGCCACAGATGATCAAACACTACTGCTTTGTTGAGTCAATGTTTACCGCAAGGCAGGCAATAGATGATCAAACACTACTGCTTTGTTCAATCAATGTTTACCCCAAGGCAGGCAATAGATGATCAAACACTACTGCCTTGTTCAGTCAATGTTTACCGCAAGACAGGCAATAGATGATCAAACACTCCTGCTTTGTTCAGTCAATGTTTACCGCAAGGCAGGCAATAGATGATCAAACACTACTGCCTTGTTCAGTCAATGTTTACCGCAAGGCAGGCAACAGATGCTCAAACACCTACTGCTTTGTTAAATCAATGTTTACCGCAAGGCAGGCAATAGATGATCAAACACTACTGCTTTGTTCAGTCAATGTTTACCCCAAGGCAGGCAATAGATGATCAAAATGTGTCAACATACTTGAGGTGGCTTGTGATTGTAGAACGATAAAGTCAGCGTACCACTTCGTCAATGATGATACTGGCAAATAATCAAGATGTGCCAATAATATGAACACATGCATCTTTTGCTACAGGAAACTGGTCATAATCTACAAGAGATTACCCGACAATCTTACAATATTGCGAACTGGAGTCGATTAGAGAAAGGTTCCTATTGTCTTGATGTATCGTAAACAAACACGGAAGTTGTACATGTTGTGGAAAATACTGTCTTTGTAACCAAATTATGTCCTTGTCATGAAAACTGTCACATCACACATTGTTTCATGATCTTCTTTCGCATACAGGATTCGGACGAATCTAAAATTATGAATGAAAGCGACAGTTTCCTCTTCGTAATCATAAAGATTAAAGCAACAAAACCCTTTCCATATCCAATAGAATGTACGATTCCGAATACAAACAGCCTGTGGTGTTTACATTTCACAACTTTTGAGATACAATCGAGCAAGCTCTTTCTACCAAGATTTCAAAGCGTGTCATACGACTCTTGCTCAGAAGTTGTTTGATCAAGGTTACAACATTTGAGGTGGCCGTAAAACTTCAAAATGTGGAGGACATTTCCAAATTTGACGCATCATTGACCAAATTTATGTGAGATGCAATTCTCTATGTCGACTTATGCCATATGTTCTTGTGTTTGTTTAGGTGATCAATTGACTTGCCTTTGCATGTGTTTGTGATGGGTTCCACCGGTTTTTACCATTTCACAGATACCTGGTATCATTACAGGTTGATAGTGATTCATATACACATGCTATAGTCAAAGTCATACAACAGACTGTTTTAGCAGAGATTCCATATAATAATGGAAATAATTTTGTCGCTCTATTTAGTTTTACGCCATAATGATGATTAAAAGTCTGTGGCAATTGTAAGTAGCGATCTATAAGGACTTATCTGAGTTGAGATAATTTCAATTATAACTTTTGAGTTATTTTTCCTTATATCTAACAAATGATATTCATGAATATATTTGAGCAGTAAAATATCACACACTCTTCGATCAAACACTTTGTGTTACTTTCTAGTAATGAAATGACTATGACAACTTTGACAGCGTACACAGAAACTGCAAGGGACAATGATGCTGAAATATGTGTGCGATGCTGCTACTCAGCAGTTATAGTTGGTTGGTTGATTGGTTGGTTGTTTTACGCCGCACTCAGCAATATTCCAGCTATATGACGGCGGTCTGTAAATAATCGAGTCTGGACCAGACAATCCAGTGATTGATGTCATGAGCATCGATCCACCCAATTGGGATCGATGACATGCATCAACCAAGTCAGCGAGCCTGACCACCCGATCCCGTTAGTCGCCCTTTACGACAAGCATAGTCGCCTTTTACGGCAAGCATGGGTTGCTGAAGACCTATTCTACCCCGGATCTTCACGGGTCCTCAGCAGTTATAGACTAAGACCTTGATCAAGCTGACGCGATGTGATAAAACTGAAATACTACCAATTCCCTCGCTAACCATGATGGTTTGATACAAATCTCTATTCACTTAATACAAATAGGAAGAGGACCGTACATGATCCACATGTACTTCGACTGTGTATCAATTTACATTAAAGCGATTTTAGGTATTGTATAGTCCTATTTTGATGTTAGGGGGGCACGGGTGGCCCAGTCGTCTAAGGCGCCGCGATTCGCTGTGCAGAGTTGCGTCCCCTGGACACGCCAGAAACCTATGATTGTGGGTTCGAATCCTGGTTCGCCCTGATTATGTTTCTAGGTTTGTCAGCACCATACCCGTGCTCGTGGGTTTCACCGAAGTGGTAAACGTCTGAGACCTGCATCACTTCAGGCTTTCCTTCCACATTAAGCTGACACGCCGTGATATAACTGGAATGATGTTAAAAGCGGCGTTAAACCCAACTCACTCACTCACTAGTTTGATGTTATCATAATATATGAAACAAAGTTGTGTGCATATGGCACTTTTACGAACACATAAACAGAATTAAAGAATAAGAAATTAAAATTAGAAATCTCAGGAAGTATTCAATACTACGATAATATTTGCATTTTGTATCAAAATATTGCTACTGAAGTGAGTGAGAGAGTGAACTTTGCATAACCCCACCATCAGTAATATAGCACACAGACATAAACTCAGCCAGATCATACTTTAAGTATAAGCGACAAAACCCTTTCATTATCAAAAGAAACATCTGCCAAAACAGAGTCCTTTCCGACTAAATCATATCATAAATAGTGATGATACCAGGCGAAAAAGTTACGTACCCTGCCATACTGGTGCCATCAGTCACAAACACATACAAAATCGATTGTAAAACTGAATAAAACCCGGGAAATCACTCGATGCTCATTTGTCGGTTCTTGTTCTACCTCTTCTACCCGAGTATGACTCTGACGGGCTCCATACAAAGCACATGTGACTTACCAATGTGTAGCAGCAAATGTGGGAAACTAAAGTACGTTTGACACGGAAGTGACCGCATTGTGTTCTGCTGAACAGGTTTCACCTTCCCTCTTCCTTGCCATGCATTGTAACGAACACATGTAGTGAGGATACATGTACCTTGTGTCTCGCGCCTATCGGAGAAGGTGGAAATCATTCTTTGTGTATTTACAAAATTGTCAAAATGAACCTCAGCAATCATTGATGAGCAGATTGAATGACAGGTATGACAGGAGGCATCCTTGGCGTAATCCACACTCGACATCAAAACATGAAGCAGATCAATCCTCACACAACACTTGCCAACACTTCTCAATTATTATAGCAAAATACATCTAGACTTGATGTAAATGTCGCAATTGTACCAAGTTCATTCATGTTAAATGTTTACAAACATATGCATATGATCAAATTTGTAGATATACCACCCACCCCTGGGATTGGTTGATGCATGTCGTATCCGATTTACGTTGCTTGATGCTCATGATGTCAATCACTAAATTGTCTGATTCATACTCGATTATTTACAGACTGACGTTAGGGGGCACGGGTGGCACAGTCGTTTAAGGCGCCGCGATCCGCTGTGCAGAGTTGCGTCCCTTGGGCACGCCAGGAACTTATGATTGTGGGTTCGAATCCCGGTTCGCCCCGATTATGTTTCTAGGTTTGTTAGCACCATACCCGTGCTCGTCGGTTTCACCGAAGTAGTAAACGTCTGAGTCCTGCATCACTTCGGGCTTTCCTCCCACATAATGCTGACACGCCGTGCTATAACTGGAATACTGTTAAAAGCGGCGTGAAACCCAACTCACTCACTACAGACTACTGTCAAATGGCTAGACTATTGCTGAGTGCGGAGTTAAACAACAAACAATTGCACACATGTGTAAACGGTGCGTGTAAATCAGATATTATATTATATATGCCCTAGAAATTAGTGTCCTGACTATTATACACCAATCCTGTGCAAGAGAAGAAAAGGTTTGTTCAATTTATTGTTACATTTTGGGTAATGATATAACAGAACACTACGTCTAAGTTCAATACGTAGATTCATCTTCTGGTTTTGCTCGCCATCACAAACTCTTCTGTACAAAGGACGGTGTTTCCTCCGAATAGTTGTTGATACACCAGCAGTTCAGAGTGTCAAATCACGGGCATTTTCTGCTAAAAGTATGATTGCATCAGCTACACTAAAACATTGATTATCATTGTTAACGCCCAAATCATTGATGAACAGATTGAATAACAGGTATGACAGGAGGCATCCTTAGCGTAATCCACACTTGACATCAAACCATGAAGCAGATTAATCCTCACAAAACACTTGCCAACACTTCTCAATTATTATAGCATTATGCACGTTGCCTTTTATACAAGTCAGTTGTACGTTAGCCCAGAAGACCCGGGTTCGATTCCTCACATGGGCACAATGTGTGAAGCCCATTTCGGGTGTCCCCCGCCGTGATTTTGCTGGAATATTGCTAAAAGTAGCGTAAAACATTACTCACTCACTCACTCACTGCTACAAGCGTCTGTTTTCCGAGACGCTTCTACACGTCCAGTTTTGGAACGTTATTTTCGAAATCCATTTTGCTCAATTGATTGATTGATTGATTGATTGATTGATTGATTGATTGATTGATTGATTGATTGATTGATTGATTGATTGATTGATTGATTGATTGATTGATTGATTGATTGATTTATTTATTTATTTATTTATTTATGTTAGAGTGTGTGTGTGCGTGAGTATGTGTGCGTATATGTGTGTGTGTGTGTTATTGTTCTCTTAACTTCTGGCATACATATTGTAAATTGTTTAACTGATAACCTTACGTTGTAAACCAAATAATAAGGCTTTATTATATCTGCCATTTCTTATGTTTTCTTAATCTATCAAACCAACTTTAATTTCGTCACATTTACAGTTTAGCCCCGACATCTTACTGCATACAATAAGTGTATCTACATCAGCAATGAATTATTAAAAGTTATCAAAATGTATCATATGCATTTGGCAAAGTTAAATATCTAAGATATTTAACTAAAATATGTGGTAAGCTTCTTAGTCTGCTGTGAAGATACATATACGTTTTATTATGACTCAAAATTGTCATTTCAGCAGTTTTGCCCTATATACATTGATATGCTTCTTTAAGATTATAATATATACCTGAACCCCTGACTGCACATGCTAAGGTACCTCCTCCATATTGTATACCGGATGTCAACAAAACTAAACACTTTACCGTGATTCATTCACAATTTACAATGTAAACTTGTACCCGTTCACAATTGCGAAAAGACAACCACCCATCGTAACACACAGCCTGTGTTGGGACAGAACAGTCACTGGTAACCAGCATATGTCCACAGGTTCAAATGGAAGGGAGGCAACTCCTCCAACCTAATATTCTATACCTGTGAGATGTTAACATTATCAATACACTTAATTCATTCATGTTGTTATTGACAATATCCCTGTGATTACGAACCACACGTTTTACTATTTTGTTGATGCCTTCAACTATAGTTATTCCAAGAATTTTGACACAGTACCACATAATTTATAACTATTGACAGTGATTATTCCTACATGTAAAACCTATGCTTGTGTCTACATAATCTACAAACTACAGTTCTATTCCTGTATCGGTGACCTTAAGTGTAATGTATTCCTGCTGTGCCCATTAGGCGCTTGCAGCCTGGTTAGAGTTTCATTTGAATAATTCACTGAAAATGTTTGAGGGTATTTCCAACAAAGCATATCATTTATCCTTCTCATTTGTGAAATGAAATTTGTTTGAATATATATCTTTAAACTGGATGGTATGTCATGCCTATTCACTTCAAATGATTTTTTCTTCTGTAAGACAACGTGACATCAAGAATATTTATAGTATGCATTGAATATGTTCCCTCGAAAAGATTTTTTGGTCAATACTGGTTGCATTTTTTTACTTCGCTATACCTGTTGTAAGTTTAAACGTGCATTAGAATAGTTAGTTTCATTCATCTTGGTGCATAAGTTGGATTTAATTAAAGTATTTTTAGCTACAAAAGCTGATATAGTTTAATGATGCTTCAACTTCATGGTTTGGTTTCAAGTGTTGATTACGCCAAGGATGCCTCCTATCACCCCTATTGTTCAATCTGTTTATCAACGATTTGATTGTTAACGTAGATAATCATTATTATTGGTATTTTAGCTGATGACATTTTACCAGTGCTTTGAATTTACTGCTTGACTCTCTCTTAACTGCTGGTGTATCAACATTAAAATGTGTGTTATTGTATCCAAATCTAAAGGTTTGGATTTTCGAATGGATGTGGTGGACAATTACAGTCCACAATCCTAGTCTAAAAGACACCTGACAGAGCACCTTGCCGACTACCTCACAGTTCATAACAGAGCTATGCAATGTTATTGGATTTAGAACATATACCCAACGATCGGGATAGAGCCCATCCCCTTGGTCAGTGGAAAGTGTTGTTACAAACAATTATCCGTTTTACCACAACATAGACTCTCACATTTTATTTAATTTGGACAAACAAGTGTCCTGTTATTAACAAGAGAAACTGGAATCCAAGAGGGCACTCAAAGATACATATTACACACACACACACACACACACACACACACACACACACACACACACACACACACACACACACACACACACACACACACAGAGAGAGAGAGAGACACACACACACACACACACGCACACACACACACACGATAATGCACAGAAAGGGACTATAGTTTTCCCTATTTTCTTAATGATGGGGAGAATATGTGTTTTATCCTTTCCAGGCAAGACATCTTGTTCTTAACTGCCAAAACACCAATTTGGCTGCATTATTCTATTTATGAATGTTTTAATAATAATGTCGTATTTATTAACTGTATAGATGGTGTCTCATAACCCTAAACGTATCGCTTATACATTTTGTTATGTTCTTATGTCTAAAATATGTATGTATTATATGATAAAGCTGGATGTGTATGAGGGAAGGAGTTCCGTGACATAACAGGCCACATGATAAAGGCATCGTATGCGAGAAGCGGCTGAGCGTGTCACGCCATAGTATCTGTGACCTGTTTTAAACATAATCCCCTAACAACAACAACACATAACGACATATTTCTACGAATAGAAGTATACGTATTGGAATGTAGATTTTAGACATATTTTACAATGAAGGGGTGAGGGAGTATTGTAACTGCAGCTTGTTAAATGTTAATTTTGAAATATATCCTAATTGAAACGAATAGTTCTCAATGAATGTGGTGGATATTGTTTAAGGAAGTCAAACGTTTTTTTGTTGGTATTCATATATGCCTTACATATAATACTTTCTTGTCAAACACTTTTTTATAGAAACTTTTGTTCAGAAAAATCTCTATATGGTCAGAAACATTGCTGTTATATTATGTAAGGCCGATAGGGATATGGTATGTGTTGTGTTTCTTACAGCCAAGGTATCTAAACCGTTTCCACTTTGTCTAAACATACTCTAAAATGTGTATAAAGACAGCTGAATATCTAAGATATAAAAATAAAAATCTGCCGTAAACTTCTTCTGAATGCTGTGAAGATACATTTGTACTTTTTAGTGACTCAGGATTGTCATTTCAGCAGTAAGACGGTATAAATGTATATGCTTATAGATGACAATATATTCATCTCAACTGAATGTAATTTTTCAAGTACGTGGATACACTAAATCCACTTCATGGAAGTGTTTAAGTTGTAAAGATTACTGTCATGTTTTGTTATACCCCTAGACTATTAGAGAAATGTAGGTAACGGTGCAATACATATTTTAATGATGTGGAGAAAATGTGTTTTATTGTGTCCTGCCCAGAAATATTGTTCTCCAGTGCCAAAACCTGAAAATGTATTTTAGATAATGGCTAATGTATCGTGTCAAATAGATGTATTTTAATGCGTTTGGTGTATCATTCTCTTTATCAATGTTTTAATAATAATAATGTATTCATTTAATTATTTAAGCGGGTGGCTCATACAATTTGCTATCTTCTTGTGTGTAAAATATGTATGTTTTATTTAATGTGGTGAGTCTTTAATGCATCACCTATCTCTGTGTATGAGAGAAGGCGGTTCGTGACATCACATCCCATATAATAAAACACCAGGTGTAACAAGCAGGTAAGGTTGTCACGCTCTACTACATGTAACCTGTTTCAAACGTATTCCCCCAACATCAACAAGACATATCGAACTATGGAATGTTCCAGTACACGGAAGTATCAGCTAAAGAACGCGAGGCCCGCAGTCAAGAAGTTATATGTACTCTACTAAAACGTGATGATTATAATTTAAATCGAAAAGGTCACTAGTATTTCAGACATTAATGCAACGTTATTTTTTCTGTCACAACAATATATCCTTTTCAACGAACCCTGTAACAGAGGAGATTTTGCTCCGTGATGCGACTTCCGTTTCCGTCATTTTGAGGCAATGAAAGTTGATGTTCGTTCGAACATTGTTGAAAACGAAATTGTGACTATATATTTGATTTTAACTGGCAAGTGTTGACTGCTGCGTAAACGGGACTGAAGTCCAAGGTGAGTTTGACTTATATTCCTTTCAATTTACGTCCTCTCAATCCACTGTTAGCAATTAGCCGTGATCACTATATTTCATCATCTGTTCACCCATTAATATGAGTGTTTCTGTATTTCAAGGCTACGGACACTCCCATTAGATATGTGTGCTAATGTGCGCTGCAGGAAACACAGTAAACTTCTACATCTCCGATTGTCTACAAAATGTTTTTGAAATCTCTTCCTTAAACAATTACCTCCAAATACGTGTTTGTTCAATCGTCGATTTGAACTTTGAAAAGATTCCAAATCCAAAAACAAAACCGGCGGTGTCCATTTTGATTTTCCAAAACATCTCGAATGCCGATTCAAAATTCACTTTCTACGAATAGAAGTATACGTATGTGGAGGTGCGAATGAAGAAGAGATTGGTATGAACATTTCAGAAATATGTTATGATGAACCGATGAGGAGATATGGTAACTACAACTAGTTAGACGTGTATTATTGTATATCGTAATAGAGATATATATTTGTATGCTTTGCAGTACGGGCAATGTGTCAGAATGGTTTAAGGATGTCAACCATTTGAAGTTTGTGTTCATGTATCCCTAAAACACTGGTCTGCATTGTAAAACACTTTTATTTATAGAAACTTTGAAAAGTGATGGTCAGAAACATGGCTGTTATACATCTCACTGATGGGGATATGATCTGTGTTATGTTTCCTACACCAGACCAGATATCTAAAACGTTTCCAAAAGGTATTGCTACAAATTTTCTTTGTAACTGTGAGGATTCTACACACAAAACTCCTGAGAGAAATATATCTTAAACCATCTTTTAACATTTGATTTGCTGGAAAACACATCTACTAATGTTGATAAAACTGATGTTTTTTACTTTTCGTACCCTATTTCTCCTGAAGTTTCATACTAATAGATAGTTATAACCTCTGATCGTTATCCCTGTCTCGAAATTTAAACAAAATCATAACCCTTGGTTAGAAGTATTAAAAGTCATCTTTGTAGGGTTAGGGTTAAATACCCATCAGATATATTCTGATATGTTCAACTTGTCTACAGTGATTAGTCCCCTATATTGAGCATAATAAGATTTCACAGTGTCTTAGTTAGGGTATGATAGTAATTCTAAAGAGCTACCTGACATTAATCTATCAAACTTCTAAGATATTTAACTAAAATCTGCGAAAAGGCACTTATTCTACATGCTGTGAAGATACATTTAAGTTTTATTATGACTAAAAATTGTCATTTCAGCAGTTTTGCCCTATACATTGACATGCCTCTTTAAGCTCAACCCCTGACTGCACAAGCTAAGGTACCTCCTCCAATCTTATATTGTATACCGGATGTTAACAAAACTAAACACTTTACCGTGATTCATTCACAGTTTACAATGTAAATTTGTACCCGTTGACAGTTGTGAAAAGACAAGGACCCATCTTAACACACAGCCTGTGTAAGGACGGAAGGGAGGAAACTCCTCCAATTTAATATTGTATACCTATGAGATGTTAACATTGTCAATACACTTAATTGATTCATGGAGGCTATCACGCGAGTGTGTTTGGGGATGGTAAATATCCTGCATTAGGAATAAACATTGTATTGCAGGCGAGCTAAATACATAATGTTTATTTCTAATACAGGATATTTACCATCCCCAAACACACAATCGTGATAACCTCTTTATCATATAATGTCATTCTTTAATTCTGTGCTTTAAAATCGCTTCCCCTCTCTAGCTCACAAACATTACCGAAACATTGCGAGTTTTCCTGGAATGCGCGCATTAATATTTATTACGTCACAGGGTAAGTGATTTGTCAGTCGGACAGTGACAGTAGCCAATATAGTTCCAACTGAAATCTGTTTCTTATACAGTGGCGAAGCAACACATACGCAAAACAACAGTTGTTTTTAATTGCCTTTCGCGGCAATCCATCCGGTTGTCCGCTAGAGTAACTGCCCTTTTTCAAAAGGAAGCTACTCTAACCCTAGTCTATGAGACGTCATGGCCACGTTCAGACGTTGTTGACAGTCGGTCTGTCCTGTCATAACGTTAAAAAGTGTAGTCAGATGTACACGAAGTGACAAAACGAAACAAGGTAACAATTCAAACATATTTCGGCCAAATCCAAACTATTTTAATTTGTGGAGAAGGTTTCAAGCCGCAGAGGTCTACAAGCACAGATATTGCTACTGATCCCGCTTGGCTAGGCCTCGTGCCCTCGCAAAATTGTTTCGAAATTTATATCTCCAAAGTTGCCAAAAAATGCCTTAGCTACGACACAGTTAAACACTGATTTTCAGTATGTAAGACTGTTCTTTTGATATTGATAGCAATTATCCCTGTAGTTTATCGAGATTCCCGATGGTTAATTCTGACTCGATTGCCGAATGACGAGGGCGACGCCATATAAACAGTGAAAGTAGTCCTACTTGACCTTTGATATTTGCATCTCTATCCGCATATGACCCCAACGGATGTCGTTTTTATCCGTTGGCATTTTCCTGCTGAGAAACTTAACTATCATATGATAAATAGTGTTATTACAATATCCTTGTGATTATGAACCACACGTTTTATTATTTTGTTGATGACTTCAACTGTAGTTATTCCAAGAATTATGGCACAGTATAATAACATAATTTATAACCATTGGAAGTGATTATTCATACATGTAAAACCTATGCTTGTGTCTATATAATCCACAAACTATGCATTCGTCTTGGTGCATAAGTTGGATTTAATAAAAGCTACTAAAGCTGATATAGTTTAATGATGCATCAACTTCATGGTTTGGTGTCAAGTGTTGATTACGCCAAGGATGCCTCATGTCACCTTGTTGTTCAATCTGTTCATCAACGATTGGAAATTCCAGTCTTCCAAGACTAAAAGACATCTGGCAGAGCACCATGCCTACTACCACACAGTTCATGATCGGGATAGACTCCCCCCCAAACACAAACACACACACCCTCAGTTGAAAGTGTTGTTAGATGTTACAAACAATTATCTGTTTTACCACAACATAGACTCTCACATTCATTTGGACACATAAGTGTGCTTTGTACGAGACATGCAGAACAATGGCCGACAACCTTACAACAGGAGAGGTTTACAATAGGAAAACTAAGTTGTATTAGGAAACTTTCAACAATAGTAATGTTTTATTATCCTGACAGGAGGAGAGAGAGCACACACACTACGATTATACAATCACTGAAAAGTTAGTTAGTTAGTGTGGAGAATTACCCGAATTATCTTTTGCGTAGAAGCATGGGAGCATGGGAGTGCACTGGACAGTATAAAATCCGGCGTCGCGCCAATTAGAGCAGAAACTAGGAGATTTACTAACATTCCACTTCATGAGAGAGTTTATTTTATTTCTAAAGATGTTGTTAGAGATGAATTTCATGTTTTGCTGCACCGTCCTGTGCATATTGCCCCCAGAAACAGTCATTCAGATAATGTATAGAAAGGGGCAATAGTATTACCTATTTTAATGATGTAGAGAATATGTATTTTATCCTGTCCAGCCATGACATTTTTTTAACTGCCAAAACCTTCGAATGAATTTTAGAAAATTTCTTATGATTCATGTCAGTCATATGTATTTTAAAGCTTTTGCTGAATTATTCTATGAATGAATGTTTTAATAATAGTGTCGTATTTCTTTACTGTAAAGATGATGTCTCATAACCCTAAACGTGTGGCTCATGAATTTTGTTATGTTCTAATGTGTAAAATATGTATGTTATATATAACAAGCATCAAATACTCATATCCCCCGTCAATATGACATGTCCGGTTGTGTGCAAGGCATTTGCTCATGTGAACTATATTCACTGAACGTTTTTGTAAATGGCCTAATTGCAAGCAGTAAAAAAAGTTATTACAGGTGTTGTTTTGCCTTCTGCAGTAAGCGAATACGACAACCGTGTCCATAACACTTTTGTAGGAACAGACACACAAGCAATGCAGAAACATACACAGCAATACCATGTGTAGTGTTTCCTGGATAGGCTTGATATCCTTGCAGGTCTCTTTCACTGTAATGATTGATGTGTGTTTCTGTGAAATGAACCTGAACCACTTCAACAAACTTATCTTTCTTCACATCTTCGAAATGAGCATTGAGGGATCGAACATTCAAGTAAGCCACCTTGAGTCCATCACCATCAATGTTCTCTACAGGGTGTGCCCAGGTGAACAGTCTTTCATTCCGCAATCTAGTCATCTCATCTAATGCTTTTTTGTTTACTACAATTTATGTGCCAAGTTTGTTGAAGAAATATTGTACGGTTTTCAAGATCTGCTCCGGAAACGAGCACTACGCCCATTTTAAGTCCAATCAAAGTCGTTGCCATGGAAACTCGAAAATATAATTATTTTTAAATCACATACTATCACCACTAGACCTATCTATGCGCCAGGTTTGGTTAGGATATCTCTCATGGTTTTTGTGTTCTGCTCCGGAAACAAATGTGACGGAAAGAAGGACGGAAAGAGGGACTGAAAGTATACATTCCTATATCCCCCTTCAGCTTCGTGGCGGGGGATAATAAGGCTGGCTGTATATGAGGGAAGGTGTTTCGTGACACAACAGGCCGCATGATAAAGGCATCGTATGCGAGAAGCGGGTGAGCGTGTCAAACTATAGCACCTGTGACCCGTTTCAAACATAATCCCCTAACATCAACAACGCATAACGACATATGGGAGTGTCGTCTGCTAAATGACACAAGGCCCGCAGTTACGAATTGATATGTACTTTTCTAAAACGTGAGGATGAATATTATTTAAATACGCTTTACGCCCGTTTTTACCTTAAATTTTGAAAAAAGGGGGTTCCACCCCCATTTACCCCCCTTTTTCACCTAAAACATTCAACAGCGTTCGGTGGGGTACAAAAAATGGCGGCCTATTTTCCTATCGCTTCGACCGTAAATAACGAAGTGCGCATGCGTGGAACGTTTTTCATTCGACAACTTCCGTAAACACGTAAAAACGTTCGTTCCGAAGTGGGGACCCAAATACTGCAGTCTACCCTGAAATGATTCTTTCCGACATTAATGCAACGCTATTTTTTTTCTGTCACAACAATATATTCTTTTCAATATTTTCCCAGTAACAGAGGTGATTTTGATTTTGAACGGCCATGCCACTTCCGCTATTACGAAGCAGTTTCCTGTTCATTTGCTTGTCAGTTTCAAGTGTTGACTGCTGTCTGAAGGTTCACGTGAGTTACATCTATTTCTCTTCCCATGTATGTCCTCCCAAGCGAGTGTTAAAAATTTGCAGCATTTACTACATATTCTCATTCACTGATTAATATGAGTTGTCCTATATCTCAATTGGGGGCTACGGGCCGGCAGAAGTCAATTTCTAAGAATAGAAGTATACGTATTTGGAGGTATTGGAATGTACATTTTAGAAATATTTCACAATGAACAGATGAGAGAGAATAGTAACTGCAGCTAGTTAAATGTTAATTTTGAAACAGAATAGAAACGAATAGTTGTACGGTGAATGTGGTAGATATTGTTTAAGGAAGTCAAAATATTTTGTAAGTATTCACATATGCCTTATATATAACACTTTCTTGTCAAACACAATTTTAATGAAATCTTTTGTCAGAAAATTTATGGTCAGAAACATTGCTGTTATAATATGTGAGACTGGTCGGGATATGGTGTTGGCAAGGTATCTAAACCGTTTCCAAATGGGATTGTCTGCATCTTTGAATAAAGCAGTAATTTCTCAAGATGTAACTTTGGCTATAGTATGTATGTAATATGAGTACCATACTATTCGAAATATATTTATCAAACCCCATTTTCACATTTGTATTTGCTTGAAAACACATACACAACTGTGATAAAACTAATGTTCATATTGTCTTGAAACTCAAAACTATTACTTCATGTTTTCCTATAGCTTGATGCTATTAATTATATATATTCTGATATGTGCAACTTGTTATATTGTTTGTCTCCCAAAGGTAGTTTAAGATTCCAGATATGTACCTCAAAGATTTCAGAGTTGCCTCCCTTCCATTTGAACTTGTGGACATATGCTGGCTACTATTGTGTTCCGTCCCTACACAGGCTGTGTGTTAAGATGGGTGCTTGTCTTTTCACAACTGTCAACGGGTACAAGTTTACACTGAAAACTGTGAATGAATCACGGTAAAGTGTTTAGTTTTGTTAACATCCGGTATACAATATACGATTGAAGCAGGTGCCTCAGCTTGTGCAGTCAGGGATTGAGCCAGGGATTCAGGTATATATCATAATCTTAAAGAGGCATGTCAATGTAGAGGGCAAAACTGCTGAAATGACAATGAGTCATAATAAAACTTAAATGTATCTTGACAGCATTCAGAATAAGAAGCTTACCACAGATTTAAGTTTAATATATTTTATATTCAACTGTGCTAAATGCATATTAAAGAATTATTTCGGTAAAGTGGCCTTTTAAAATTGTTTACTAAGTCATTGCTGATGTAGATACACTTATTGTTTGCTGATAGATGTCGGGGCTAAACTGTAAATTGGACGATATTAAAGCTGGTTTGATAGATTAAGATAAATAAATAAATAGTTGTTGTAGTTGTGTGATATTAATCACACCTTAACTTACATCAAATTTTGCTCACTATCCGGGGAGTTCCCGTCTCAGAATATATCTAATTGAAAGATTTCCGCCAGTAACCCCTGCTTCACACGTGCCTTTGTTGGGGTGTTTATTCTCCTTTAATAGCATGATTGCATGAACTTCACACATTTCACATGTCTGATTCAAGGTATAATTAATTTTACACAGCTTCCAGGCATTTTTCTTCCTAGATAGCTTTTATTTTGTTAAATTTATCGCCCGGACATCTGAAACCAAACAAACATGTATCGACATCATAAATGATTGACTAAAAGTTATTAAAATGTCACCTTACCTAAACGACAGTGTATTAGGACAGTTGAATATCTAAGATATATAAATTATAATCTGCTGTAAACGTCTTCTGAATGTTGTGAAGATACAGTTGTACTTTTTAGTAACTCAAAATTGTCCTTTCAGCAGTAAGGCGGTATAACTTTATATGCTTTTAGATGACAAAATATTCCATTTAAACGGTATGTAGTTTCCCAAGTACGGGATAAAGTAATATTCATGTGAACTTCCATCACCTTGCATAAAGACTTGGTGCAACATTCCAACTTGATAGAAGGGTGAAACACTTTAACTTGTATACTGTACACAGCGAAATATGCGATGTTAACATAACAATACACTTTACCTTAACTCATTCCCAATTTAAAATGTAACTGGTAACTTGACAGTTGGTAATGATGGTCACCCAGCTTAACACAATCTTTGTGGGAACGGAACTGTGTCAGAGAACCATGTTTTACAATTGAAATGAGGCAGTTCCACCCATCTAATATTGTACACCGCCCTTTATCTTGTCTTGGCAAGTAATTTGGGCGAAGGGTAACGCTGGTCGTCATATGCTAATAATATGTCCACTTATGTCACAATTCGCAGTCGTAAAAGATGAATTTATAATAAGGCGCAGCATACAATTTCTTATATTTGCTTGCTTATGTAAGCTGTAGTTCAGCTGAAGTTAATCTGATATAGTTTATGTGGGAAGAAGACCATGGTAAAGAATAACAGTTTTACAATTTTATGTTGATTCTCATTAATGGTAATTCACTTTAATTCACAATGATACACAACTATTCACATAGATAACACAGGCATACAGTGAGCAGGCCAAGTGTTGTATTGGATCCGCCCTGCATCAACAACTATACATCAATTGACATTACAGAATCCTTAAAAAGCAAACCATATGATCATCATAGGTAGGTTCGACAAACAAGGCAACTTTATACTTAAAATCCACACGATCCATTTGGGTTGAACACTGTCTTCTCACATACTGGAACACGTACATTGAACAGGTTTTTATCAGCTTTATCCTCATTCGTAGTTTGAGGAGCATCATTCGATACAAAACAATAGCCAAGGTGCGTTCTGGAACCGCAGGAGAGGTGCTTTTTTCCACATTTTCTAGTCCTGATATCTCGCATCAAAGCTTCTGCATTGGCTGACATCGTGACATGGCTGATTGTTCGCCCGGCAGATGAATGTCCTTGAAGCAGGTGCCTCTTACCAGCTTCCTCAGGTGTGACAGTAAACGAGGTTTCACCAACACATTCAGTGTTATTACTCTGCCGAGCATCAAGGTATACACCATCATCAGTCCTAGAGGACGTGTATCTTGGCTGTTCTACGTCTTGCGTTTGTTGAGGCGTCAGATACCCGACAGACGAGTGTCCACTCGCACCGGTCTCTGTTAAGGAACAGGCATGGTCTACGGCACTGGTTACTGCTTCAAGGGGAATGGGTAATCTGGGCCTGTCGGGTAGCGGTCTCTGTCCTGCTGGTATGAAAGACATGTTCGTATCCAGATCTTCATCGTGTATTTCGTGGTAAATGTCTCCACATTTCTGGAACACTTCTTCCTCTGATGCCAAACAGCCATTGTTCGCCGCTGAAAGTCTTTCCCTGCGGGTCTTCCTGGGAGAAATAAGGATGTATCAGATATGCATCACACCAGACACCAATGCTTCTATCATTCATTTTGTGGACATAATAAGACATAAATATTTGTTTTAAGGTAAAAAGAAAACATCTGTAATGTCGTGGGTACCACGACACAGAGTGAAGTAAGTCACCGAGCCTGACCACCTGATGCATTTCGTTGCTTCTTAACTTTAATAAGTGGTGGTTGGCGGTGGAAGGCATGAGGCAGGTTGAGTGGATTATTACGATTTCATGGATTAATACGATTAGTTTTAACCAGCGTCTGTCCCCTATCCGATAACGTACTTTATAAGAGAGATTTATTAGAGACAATAAGATCAACATCACTGAAAATTCGGGGGCACGGGTGGCCCAGTCGTCTAAGGCACCGCGATGCGCTCTGCAGAGCTACGTCCCTTGGTCACGCCAGAAACTTATGATTGTGGGTTCAAATCCTGGTTCGCCCCTATTATGTTTCTAGGTTTGTGAGCACCATGCCCGTGCTCGTGGGTTTCACCGAAGTGGTAAACGTCTGAGACCTGCATCACTTTGGGCTGTCCTCCTACATGAAGCTGACACGCCGCAATATAACTAGATTACTGTTAAACGCGGATGTTAAACCCTCAGGGTTCTAGGGCGGACTAAATGAAGCTGAGGTATTGCTGACTGCTCATAAAAATATTTTTCAACTATAATCGATACCGAATGTCAAGGTAGAATTCACTTTAAACCGGTTTCTTAATACATTTGCCTCATATAACATGAACCTGTTTCACCTACTTGTATTTCCACAAAATGAAGGCCAAGAGACCTATGCACAAAACAAGAGCACTGGCCAAAAATGGAAGAAGATACTCTGAAAAAAAATAAGATGATGAGAACAGATAACGTAGTAAACATGCATGTACGTGTACCTGCTGTTCGTTTGTGTTCATTGTGGCTTTTTAAATGTGTGGCTTTAGCTATATGCATGTCAGGAGAGGCATAATTGCAGGTCTTTTATTTCGTATGCGCGTTTCATATGTCTGGAGGACCGCCTCCGTGGTCTAGTGGTAGAGCGTCCGCCCGGAGAGCGGAAGGTCCGGGGTTCGATCCCCGGCCGCGTCATACCAAAAGACGTTAAAAGATGGTAATTGTTTGTTACCCTGTCTGGCGCTCGGCATTTTCGGGCTGAAGCAAGGACTGGTCGGCTTGGAGTCAGTATACTGTGTCTGAGTGGGATATTGATGTTAAACTGCGGCATGGTATCTCCGTGGGCTAGCACTATAAATCGGCAGCAGTCCGGACTAGTACAAGCAGCCACACACACACATACACGTGCATGCACGTCGCTATATAATTGCAATAATCTTGGACGCGACGTTAAACCCCATTTCACCTCACCTCACCTCACCTCACCTCACCTCACCTCACCTCACCTCATATGTCTGGATTGTCAAGTTGGGGTCTTCAATAAACTATAAAGGATATGATAAACATAGCCTTCAGTGACAACACAATCGATGCAAGACCTTATTACAAACTAACAAAAAAATACACCTTTTTCTTTTATCAGCTCTGATAATTTGCCAAAGAAGTCTTCGTTGTCCTTAGTCCTTGTCAGTTGAGTTGTAATGTCACGCCTTGCTCCATCAATACCGTCTTTACACTCCACTGTACAGTTAATATACGGACGTACGGACGGACACGTTTGGCAGATCAGGGCGCAGTTACTACTACGCAGAAATATCATACAGTCATCACAGTTCCCGGTCATGTTACACTGAAGACAGTTCTCAGGACAAGGTTGTTGACAACCTGATTCGTTACAGTCTTTGCAATTCTGTGGACATGTTTGATTGCACGTCGGGCCATAGAAACCATAAGTGCAACCTCTAGAACACATCCCATCCTCATCCGAGCAAGTCTTGCATGTTGTGTTTGAATCAAGACACTGCTTACAGTTCTGTGGACATGTTTGATTGCACGTCGGGCCATAGAAACCATGAGTGCAACCTCTAGAACACATCCCATCCTCATCCGAGCAAGTCTTGCATGTTGTGTTTGAATCAAGACACTGCTTACAGTTCTGTGGACATGTTTGATTGCACGTCGGGCCATAGAAACCATGAGTGCAACCTCTAGAACACATCCCATCCTCATCCGAGCAAGTCTTGCATGTTGTGTTTGAATCAAGACACTGCTTACAGTTCTGTGGACATGTTTGATTGCACGTCGGGCCATAGAAACCATGAGTGCAACCTCTAGAACACATCCCATCCTCATCCGAGCAAGTCTTGCATGTTGTGTTTGAATCAAGACACTGCTTACAGTTCTGTGGACAAGGATGATAACATTCAATACCATAGAACCCGTCATTACATATTTTGCAATCTCTGCTTGTACTGTTACACCCCTCACAGTCATCTGGACACATGGCGTCACAGGATTCCCCAAAGTATCCGTCCTTACAACCGTTGATGCATTCTCCTGTATGATGTTCACAGGGACTGGCCATTCCTTCATCCGTACAGTGTTGAGAACACCGCTGGTTACAGTGTGTTCCCCAGAAGCCAAGGATGCAACCATCTTGACAAGTTCCATTGATGGAACAGTTGCCGCCTGTACAATTTCCACAGAAATCCTCACATCTGTTTCCATAACGACCACTTGTACATTTGGTACATTCACGAGGAGCGTTTCTTTTACACGCCACACACCAGTTGATACACTCTTCTTTACAGTATCGACCTGACCTGCCATCTTTGCACCCATGTGAACACACTGGGTGACGATCTATGTACTCGCATTCCATGTCCACACAGTGTCGAGTGTCTTCACAAGCTGAAACCCGTCAAGGACAGAATACATAAACTGTTCATCCGAATTCTGGTTTTTTTCACTGCTGCATACAACCTTTCAAGCTATTCATGGCCTGGGGATATTTTCCTTATACATATTTCAATATAAATACAAACGTATACATTGTGATCATGATACTGCCAAATATGTTTGATGCTAACAAACATTTAAACATTGAGAAACGGAAACAGATGTACAAAACCATCGTCCTCCTAAATGTTACACGCACGCTTTATAAATGTACGGGACACGGAAATAAAACCCATAGAACTGACAATGGATATTTCAAATAGCTGTGCACAAACTTAACATGTGAAGTGAAGCATGGCTGGGTATAATAAATGTGTACTCAGTATTGCGACAATGATTTTCATTTAGAGCGTAACGTTTCAAAACGAAAACAGCCTTTTCTGGGATAATCATTCACATTTCTCTGGAACATGTGTTTTGAATAAACTCATAGATAGAAACAGCGGATTTTTATAGTTCGTGTGGTAGGTATTTAATTACGTGGGCATTCCGGATAAGAATTGGTCTATATAGTCAAAAGGGAATTTAACTTTCCCTTTCAGAAGAATGTATTTTGCATTTGGTTTAACAAAAGGGTACAATGCTGCATAAACTGAGGGTTATTATTCATTGAGCAAAGACTAGCAATCGAAACGATGGATTTGGATGCTATAGTCCGCCAGTGTTTACGCTCATTGTGGAGGCGGTGATCAATCGTTTAAGCAAACACAGTAAACACAAGTTTGTTTGTATGAATGTGTTAGATAACAATACAAGTGAACGAGAATGGATGAATACGTTATATGAATCTTATTTTCGACTACCCGCTTCGACTCTTATTGAAATTATAGAATTCAGTGAAACTTGAAACTCACCGTAAGTTGATGCGATGAAACAGATGGTTGTCATGATTACTGCAGTTTTCCCCATTTTGAGACCAGCAGATTTGGTTCTAAGGAATTGACTGACACTTGTGACTAGGCATCAGCCACTCTTCATATTGAAAGTAGCCACTTCATAGAACAATTTTACGCGAGTTTTAGCTTCCCCCTTCCTTATTACAACAGTCATGCTAAGTATTCGTCATCAAGAACTTACTCACCCTGAACACACTAGCGTTCAGTGCGCCGTGCAGTGCATACACTAAGTCAGAAGAAAAAGTAACCTTTAAGGTTGTATCTTGATGTAACACGTGACAAACCAAAAAGTGATGAAGAGAGTGTAAATATAACTAAACATCATTTTGGCTACTTAAGCACATACTGATATGAATGGCAGCCTGACTGTTAAACATCTAATGTCAGTCGTATGCTAACTCAGCCCATGGTTTGAAAACCTTACCATGTCGGCACAAATGTGTTTTTTGTTTGCGTGTTGTTTAACGCCGCACACAGCAATATTCCAGCTATATGACGTTAAATAATCAACTCTGGACCAGCCAATCCAGTTGCCGACACCATGAGGATCGATCAACGAAATTAGTTGAGATGCGATGACATGCATCAACCAGAGGAACGAGTCAGTATCGCTTCTTAAAACAAGCATAGGTTGCGGGAAGTCCTCTCAGGGTTGTAACCCGGGCAGATTAGGGGTGTATAGGTCCCCAGCAACAAACATAGGTTGCGCGAACTCCTCTCAGGGTTTTAACCCGGGCAGATTAGAGGTGTATAGGTCCCCAGCAACAGGTATAGGTTGCGCGAACTCCTCTCAGGGTTGTAACCCGGGCAGATTAGAGGTGTATAGGTCCCCAGCAACACGCATAGGTTGCGCGAACTCCTCTCAGGGTTGTAACCCGGGCAGATTAGAGGTGTATAGGTCCCCAGCAACAGGCATAGGTTGCGGGAAGTTCTCTCAGGGTTGTAACCCGGGCAGATTAGAGGTGTATAGGTCCCCAGCAACACGCATAGGTTGCGGGAAGTCCTCTCAGGGTTGTAACCCGGGCAGATTAGAGGTGTATAGGTCCCCAGCAACACGCATAGGTTGCGCGAACTCCTCTCAGGGTTGTAACCCGGGCAGATTAGAGGTGTATAGGTCCCCAGCAACAGGCATAGGTTGCGGGAAGTCCTCTCATGTGTACATGTGACACATTCAATGTATTTGTGGTCAAAGTGCATTGCGTTGTTTATTTTTACGGCAGACCAGCAGCAGAACATCGGTTTCGGTTAATGTAACAGTGACAATACTTAAATACGAAATTGACGACACGATTCTTTCAGTTCAATCCGAAAATTAGAGATATTTGTTTTAGTTGTGGTCATTTGCATTCAACAGTTAGATATGTGCCACACAATAATCAGATCATATTTATAAAACTTAAATTATTACACAGATTTTTCAACTATTGTTAGGGAAGGGGCGTAATTTGAAGCGCCAGAAGTTGCGCCAATATTTCTCAGCTTAACTACAATAGATGAATGTGTCACGTGTATCAACATAACAATGCACATAAGCAACTGCTAAATAAGTAACGAAATATACTTGATGTTTTGACCTACATAAGGCGTATCCAGATAATATTATACTTACGATAAACGAAAAGTCTAATACACATATTCCAAGACAACTTTAATTATGAATTTCCTTTTCCTTCACAGAATTTTCACACACAAAATTGAATTTGACCATTAGATCCACACTTGTCACATGTATTTTTGTTCGGGGTATTTGAATACACTTCGTGCACAAGTTTTAAAATACTATCTGGGATCCTTTTCCTGTTTTGTCTACACCAATCCTTCATCTGCTACAACGTTTAATATCCGTTTCTTCAAGTCCAAGTATCTGCGATCTCTCCAAACACTTCGTTTATTTAGCTCAGTCCAGAAGCAATGTGTTCGAATCGACGAATGTCTGCAACATGGTGGCCGCACCATTCCCTAACTGCGATTGCCTGTGCCGTGTCACGCATGGTTGACAAAAGAAATGTGAACATACATATTCGGCTTCATCTGGTTCCACAATGAAATCTCGCCGTGTCACTGATTCCCTGAATTTGTCTGAACGTCCCTGAAGTTTCTGTTACACTTGCAAGAGCGGGGAGAGAGGCGCCATCTTGTCGATTCGATTTGTGATTCGGAATGATGTCATCTCGAATTGAAACTTTCTCCACAAAAAAGTCACCAATGTCATAATGGAAATAGCCAAAGGCTCCCTGATTATCTCGAACAACTCTTCATCAAATTAGGCTTCACATGGAAATGTTTTGTTGCTCATATTGAAGACAAACGAAATTGCAAAGTTCTTGACAGTTGTAAGCAGCAACTCGATGCGCTCATGGGGCGTGGTTGCTAGGAGATCACGTGGTCAGAAAGGGGAAAACAAACAGTTTTAGAAATTAATAAAAGAAATCCGCAGTGCAATCCAAAAGTACCATGTACTGGATATTTTTTAATAATAATATTCACGAAAGAAAATCGTTTCTAAAAGTGCAAATTAATTTATTAATTCATCCCAAGGTCGTAACACTGATCACGTGGTGGGTATTTGGAAGGAATCTTGTGATGACGCCGTGAATGTGGCCGTATGTATTACATTGTTGAATTCTACTAACCAGGAAGATTGTTGAGGCACATTATGACAGATGCTCGTCATATGGATGGAGAAAAAAATGTATCTTAGAGAAACATTGTGATGATCTGTGCAGCCAGCGACCTGAATAAGCTTGATGAAAATAATGTTGAAATCCATTTTCTCGCGCATGACAGAATTAATGTGAACAAATATTAATTGAACATCGTTTCGAGGTCTGTGAGGCTGTCCGTATTTTAATATTTTTATTTTCCATTCCGACGTGAAATAATATAATGTTTTCGTGTCTTAATTTTGCTGCGGCTGTGGAAAATTGCGCACCGATCTAATAACAGAAATACAACTAGATCTACCATTGCACCGTCATAAAAGAACCAGGTCAACTTTATCTTTGTTCCGTTGTTTATTAAAAATTCGCTTCCGAAGCAAAGCGAATCGATCTACATCATAAATTAATTCATAGACTAGATTCTAGTACCCAGTCTTCAAACCGTTTTTTAAAATGTCATAAAATAACTTACACAATTATTGAAAGACATTTTTTATAAGTAATATATTTTATTACGTCCGCCCTCTCTCTGGTTAGTTAAGACTTGAGGGGAGAAACACATACAAAAAATATGGATGGCCTTATGCTAATGACACTTGGCATGCCAATCAACAGGGATCTGGGTCACATGGACCCGCCAAGTTTCACGGCTCGAGTTACTTCGGCATGAAGAGCTTTCGGACAAGTGTGTCTTTGCCAAAATTCATTCACAGCAAAAAAAATGCAGTTTCCGGTATCCGTATACCTTCGGACACTTACCCAAAACGCGTCCGGGTATCCGGTGGCAGATACCTTGCCGGATACCAGATCCGTGGTATCCGGCATGGACACCTCACCGGAAAGTATGCCACCTGGAATCCGGGTATCCGGGTATCCGGCACCGGATACCTCACCGGATACCTCAATCTGGGTGTCCAGGGATCCGGCACCGGATACCTCATTCTGAGTTTCCAAAAACATGTCACAATTTTGGGGGGGGGGTGCATTTTGTTCAATTAAGTGTGAAACACCTAAAAATATATTGGAAACTAACCATGAAAATTGAACATTGCTGAAAGATGCAATTTTTCGAGATGTCTTTCTCCTAGTAAATAATGTTAGCCTGGGCATAGCAGATAGCTCTAGTAATATTCTGTGTTATTTTAGTTGTAAATATCCCCTTAAAGTTGAGATCTATGGGCATGTACTTTTGGTGAAAACATTTTTCAAAAATTCATATATATTTCATTTTAGATGTTCAGCGTATTAAATGAAAAGCATTCAGTCCTGGTATGATGGTATCCTTACATTTCATCTTCATATTCCCAGTTCGTTCTAGCCTAGTGGTTGAAGCGTTCGATTCACCACATCGGTACATTGCTTGGTGTCACCCATCATGATATTGTTGGAATTTTGCTCATAAAGTGGCATAACACCATACTCACTCTGACAAAAAAATGAAAGTCATTGGCTATGTGCTCACTTGGGCCTTTGTTCCTGGTGAGATTAAAAGATTATTTTGGAACTGTATCAGTACTTGTTACATCTTGACAGACGAGTTTCATTGAAGTTTGAAACAGAATACCATTAACCCAAATGGGTGCATAAGACTAATGGCATCCACAGAAAACAACTAATAAAGTACCGGTACATAAAAATATCAATGTAATTTTTCTACTGACATGGAACTAAAAACTTCGTTCAGTGAGCTGTATTAATTGTAGGAAAACATTCAGGGCATTAGTATATTTGATATATGTTCAGCACCTATGTTATGAATGATCAATATCATATTTCTTAAAGAAGCAAAACAAAAAAGTTGTTAAGATAAAAAATCATATTTATTGATTTTATGACATTTCATTGGTTCAGTAACCAGAGGTGTTTGCATGAACTTTCAAAAACAGAAACAGATGCTTCAATGCCATTTTCTAAATAAACAAATTAGTCAAATCTCAGAAGAATTTCAAGGTAGAAGAATATCTAAAGTCAATTATGTTTGTGCAGTAAACCACAAAAGTCATTCAGATTTGTATAGTCAGCGTCAGTGTACACCACATAAACATAGTCTCACCGCTATGGTATTAATTCCTTTAGACTTGATTAATGTCGTAATAAAACAACCTACAGAATCACACTGATGTGGCATTATTCATTCAGAATCATCACTTTCTGAGGTGAACCTGTTAGTTGTTCTGGGGAGGATTATTCATCATCCGGAGAGTCCTTTGTATCACTTGTCTGATCTGGTGTCATTGTGAAATCCAGGTACCTGAAACAATTTATAACATCTTTAAAAGCTTGTTACTAAAAATATAAGAAACACACATATATTGACAAAGGGTAAAAAGTTGGTTTCTCAATGAGTAAGGAAATGACAATTTATCAAACAACTGTTAACTAAACCATGTTAACCAATGTAAAAAAGCCATAGCAAACAGTAAATTTTACAGAAAATACAAAATTGTAATTGATCTTCTGAAAACAATTCCTGTTGTGCCATAAGGCTCACCTGAATTGTTCTCAAATGTTTGCATTACATCAAAATATAAGGAAGGGTAAACAAGGCAATGCAAAATTGCATAAAGTAGGTTCTTATACATAAAAGCAGAACTACCGTATTTGACGTAATAAGCGCCCACGGGAATATTTGCTAATATATTGGCTAGTGAACAATCCCAATTAGCACCCTTTCCAATTGATCAATGTATACAAGACTTATTTATTTGCGTATAATACACACTCGTGTGTGCTATGCACCCTTAATTACGGGGAATTTAATTCGGGAAAAATGGGTTTTTCAGATTAAAAACGATGTTTAATTGGTCTGTTTTCAGTCGTACAAATGGGTATCTCTCATACCCTCACGTCTAGTCGCACGTTTAAGAGGAAGCCAGAAGCTGGAATGTAAACATTAAACTTGTTTCCGTCCGGTTGCGCACGCACCTCCCTATGACATGTCAGAAATCTCGAAGAATGAGCCATCAAGCAGGACTGGACTGGATTACTTCCCTGTGGGGATGGCTGGGTGGGAACGTACGACTGAAAACAGACCAATAAAACATCGTTTTTAATCTGAAAAACCCATGTTTTAGTCTGTTTTCAGTCGTACAAATGGGTAGAATTCGACGGAACACTGGAAGGAGGGTCGGGAAAGTAATCAGGCAGTGACCTCTTCCACGTCGAATGTACCAAGTTCCTCACCCCGGTAGTGACAATAGAACATTCGACCAGATGCACGGACGAGACAAGTTGTTTATCACGAACGCACAGCATGGTTAATGCTCTTCGACACACAACTAATTATCGATGCGACAGGACAACTGCATGCGTCAGTTGAACTGCGATCGAAGTGTGGTCGACGCATAGTTTAGTTACAGAGCAACTCGCAGTATACAAGGTAACTAAAACAGCATGTTTAATGCTCTTCGACTCACAACTAATTAACGAAGCGACAGGACAACTGCACACGTCAGTTGAATTGCGATCGAAGTGTGGTCGGCGTACAATTTAGTTACAGAACAACTCGCCTTAGTCAAGGTAACTAAAAATTGCATTGTTAATGCTCTTCGACACACAACTAATTATCGATGCGACAGAACAACTGCACACGTCAGTTGAACCGCGATCGAAGTGAGGTCGGCGCATAATTTAGTTACAGAGCAACTCGCAGTGTACAAGGTAACTAAAAATTTCGAGCAGTACTATAAAGTGTGGGAAGACGATGCATACACCGAAGAACCATAATAAAAAAGCAGAAGTACTGCACGCAACAAAAAACCATAAGAATGCGTACATTCACCAACAGTTTTTATTGTAACCTGTTATCTGGCACGAAGTGTCGAGCAAAAAGTCCAAGTCTTTTCTGGGAGATCGGTTGTGCCACAACGAGTGGACCAAACTGTGTGCTCATGTTGAAGCTATGGCTCGAACTTCGTGCAGATGAGAGGAGGTGGGAGGTGCGAGTCCTTGCGCCTCGTAAGCTCTGAAAATGACCGCTCTCAACCAAAAGGAGAGTATACTCGGACCCCATGGTACCGCGGCATTCATCGTATCGCGGCATTTGTGATTTCCTGTAGTTCACGCGGGACACGCCTCTTGGCAGCTGTCTATTAATGCTTATCAGTAACCAGGAAGTGCACACTTCGTAAACAATTTCAATTTCCTCGGAATGTTCCGTCTGCAGTAAGTTAGGAGTTATTAATGCGTTGATACATATTTCTGGCATCTTTTGTAATATTGCCTTACCCCCTTCTATTAATGTCCAACGATATAACCCGCAGTTCCCCAAGTAAACTTTCTCTGTCGACCTGAACTAGATCATCTGCATATTCATGGCGATTAATAAGGTAACGGAAGTTACGTAGTCCGCACATTTTATTCCGCACTGTGTCCAGAATCTACTGGGGGATCATAAGGGCCATAATGCCAAACTTAGAAATACGTTCTTCACTCGTAGCCAAAAGATGAATACATACTTTGGGCATACTAGGAGTGTTTTTATATATTTATTGTTAACGTTTAACATTTTTCCATTATGTGACAAATTATTGTCATCCAATTTTGTTTTATAAACGATCTTAGAATATCATTTCTGATATTTTGTTTTTGATTTTAAAAATATTTTTCTCTTACTTTTCTGTAAACATGCATTGAATACCTATTACAGATAACACATTTAGAATTTTACTTGTGCTCTCTTTGCACTTGTCTGGACAAATCACACTGATATCTGGCATGATCATACTAAGTGGTTGGTAGAATTATGTCCTCTTTTTGTCCAATTCGGACCTCCATACGCAACTTTTCTCTGTACCGCGATACGATGGAGTTCTCTCCCTTGTAAAACAGATCGCGAAGCCCGGCTTTTACTCGGAGCTACTAATGTAAATAATTAACTTTTATCAGTAAAATATGCATTGTTAGATCAAATAAATGACATCTGATATAGAGAACACGAATAATCATAAAGGTTAGTGAGTGCATTTTGTTCCGTTCAGCATACATGACAATTACCGCGATACCCCGAGGTTGCAGGCTATTACGTGTAATCTGGCCCGATACATATCGGGACTAGGCGAGTCACAATCCATCGTCGACGTCGATTGTGGAGGCGTAGATGAAGGAGCTGGTGTACTGGTTGACGGTCCATGGACCCCCGACGCAGTCAAATCCTTCTTGGTCGACGCCGTCGAGGCGAGGACCGCCGCCGTGATCTGGGCTATCAAAGCCGGGTCGATATGAAAGTGAGACGAGGTCGTCGTTCTGTAACTATCTTCACTACGACGCTGAACTCCCCGAAACTCCCTTCGAGAACGTCGCACGTCCCCGTGGGGACGAGGGCTACGATCCCCATCGTAGTTATCGTCCGAATCGTACATTCGACGACCACGAAGGCGATGAACGCCCTCGTGTCGTGTACTGTCTCTCGACGAGGCACTCGACCTGTCGTCCCGACTTGAACGGGAACGACTTCTGTGTCCACTGTCGTCCCGCACGACGTCCCTATCGTCGTTTGTAGAACAAGATACGGACCGACTGGGGACCGTAGTCCCCTCATGGTCCTCGTCACCACCCGGTCCCGTCGTATCAGGGGAGGCTGAGTGACGCTCTCGGTCAACCGATTGACGAAGATCAATCGTGCGGGTAGTATCATCAGCAGGCGAACGGTCACGTGTCTTGTCGAAAACAGAAGTTGACTGAGGCGGGTCTTTATCAACTGATTTCTTAGGTGTGGCCGACTCGCCACCCCCAGGGCCTGATGTGGAGGGTGCAGAGTGCAGAGTCCAAGGATCCACGAACACGTTGAAAACCCGTCCTTAATGATGCAGGAAGGACAATACTTGTGAGGGTCTACTTTAGACAGTTTTCTTTGACACGAGGCACAAATGCCCGACATGTTGCCACGTGTATAATCACTGTCAAACAGCGAAACACACGTTGAACACAAACAATGGATTACCAAGGATTACATTCCAGGAGTCTACAGGTAAGACATATTATTATTACTTTATTAGAACAACTGTAGACAAGCGATAAGTATACTCGGACCCCATGGTACCGCGGCATTCATCGTATCGCGGCATTTGTGATTTCCGATAGTTCACGCGGGACACGCCTCTTGGCAGCTGTCTATTAATGCTAATCAGTTACCAGGAAGTGCACACTTCGTAAACAATTTCAATTTCCTCGGAATGTTCCGTCTGCTGTAAGTTAGGAGTTATTAATGCGTTGATACATATTTCTGGCATCTTTTGTAATATTGCCTTACCCCCATCTATCAATGGCCAACGATATACCCCGTACTTCCCAAAGTAAACTTTCTCTGTCGACCTGAACTAGATCATCTGCATATTCATGGCGATTAATAAGGTAACGGAAGTTACGTAGTCCGCACATTTTATTCCGCACTGTGTCCAGAATCTACTGGGGGATCATAAGGGCCATAATGCCAAACTTAGAAATACGTTCTTCACTCGTAGCCAAAAGATGAATACATACTTTGGGCATACTAGGAGTGTTTTTATATATTTATTGTTAACGTTTAACATTTTTCCATTATGTGACAAATTATTGTCATCCAATTTTGTTTTATAAACGATCTTAGAATATCATTTCTGATATTTTGTTTTTGATTTTAAAAATATTTTTCTCTTACTTTTCTGTAAACATGCATTGAATACCTATTACGGATAACACATTTAGAATTTTACTTGTGCTGTCTTTGCACTTGTCTGGACAAATCACACTGATATCTGGCATGATCATACTAAGTGGTTGGTAGAATTATGTCCTCTTTTTGTCCAATTCGGACCTCCATACACAACTTTTCTCTGTACCGCGATACGATGGAGTTCTCTACCTTGTCAAACAGATCGCGAAGCCCGGCTTTTACTCGGAGCTACTAATGTAAATAATTAACTTTTATCAGTAAAATATGCATTGTTAGATCAAATAAATGACATCTGATATAGAGAACACGAATAATCATAAAGGTTAGTGAGTGCATTTTGTTCCGTTCAGCATACATGACAATTACCGCGATACCCCGAGGTTGCAGGCTATTACGTGTAATCTGGCCCGATACATATCGGGACTAGGCGAGTCACAATCCATCGTCGACGTCGATTGTGGAGGCGTAGATGAAGGTACTGGTTGACGGTCCATGGACCCCCGACGCAGTCAAATCCTTCTTGGTCGACGCCGTCGAGGCGAGGACCGCCGCCGTGATCTGGGCTATCAAAGCCGGGTCGATATGAAAGTGAGACGAGGTCGTCGTTCTGTAACTATCTTCACTACGACGCTGAACTCCCCGAAACTCCCTTCGAGAACGTCGCACGTCCCCGTGGGGACGAGGGCTACGATCCCCATCGTAGTTATCGTCCGAATCGTACATTCGACGACCACGAAGGCGATGAACGCCCTCGTGTCGTGTACTGTCTCTCGACGAGGCACTCGACCTGTCGTCCCGACTTGAACGGGAACGACTTCTGTGTCCACTGTCGTCCCGCACGACGTCCCTATCGTCGTTTGTAGAACAAGATACGGACCGACTGGGGACCGTAGTCCCCTCATGGTCCTCGTCACCACCCGGTCCCGTCGTAACAGGGGAGGCTGAGTGACGCTCTCGGTCAACCGATTGACGAAGATCAATCGTGCGGGTAGTATCATCAGCAGGCGAACGGTCACGTGTCTTGTCGAAAACAGAAGTTGACTGAGGCGGGTCTTTATCAACTGATTTCTTAGGTGTGGCCGACTCGCCACCCCCAGGGCCTGATGTGGAGGGTGCAGAGTGCAGAGTCCAAGGATCCACGAACACGTTGAAAACCCGTCCTTAATGATGCAGGAAGGACAATACTTGTGAGGGTCTACTTTAGACAGTTTTCTTTGACACGAGGCACAAATGCCCGACATGTTGCCACGTGTATAATCACTGTCAAACAGCGAAACACACGTTGAACACAAACAATGGATTACCAAGGATTACATTCCAGGAGTCTACAGGTAAGACATATTATTATTATTACTTTATTAGAACAACTGTAGACAAGCGATAAGTATACTCGGACCCCATGGTACCGCGGCATTCATCGTATCGCGGCATTTGTGATTTCCGATAGTTCACGCGGGACACGCCTCTTGGCAGCTGTCTATTAATGCTAATCAGTTACCAGGAAGTGCACACTTCGTAAACAATTTCAATTTCCTCGGAATGTTCCGTCTGCTGTAAGTTAGGAGTTATTAATGCGTTGATACATATTTCTGGCATCTTTTGTAATATTGCCTTACCCCCATCTATCAGTGGCCAACGATATAACCCGTACTTCCCAAAGTAAACTTTCTCTATCGACCTGAACTAGATCTGTGCCCAGAATTTATTGGGAGATCATAAGGGCCATAATGCCAAACTTAGAAATACGTTCTTTACTAGTAACCAAAAGATAAATACATACTTTGGGCATACTAGGAGTGGTTTTTATATATTTATTGTTGACTTTTAAACATTTTTCCATTTTGTGACACATTATTGCCATCCATAACATGTTTCTGTGGACCAAGGAAATGTATCATCATGCCGGGATACTTAAAAAGTTCTACTCATCAGCCGAAATACTACTCAAAATAATGACAGTTTTGATATGCAATTCAATGCAGGAAGTTATGTGTAGGATCCTCAAAATGGTATCCACAAGAGCAGGTTGTAGAATCATGTTGGTGTTTGTTGTTTAACTCTGCACTCAGCCATATTCCAGCTATATGCATATGACGGCGGTCTGTAAATAATCAAGTCTGGACCAGACTATCCAGTGATTGACATCATGAGCATCGATCCACACAATTTGGATACAATGACATGGATCAACCAAATCAGCAAGCCATATCACCCGATCCATAAAGTTATCTCTTACAACTAGCATAGGTTGATCATGTTGATGGGGACCAACTTCAAGCTGGAATCCCCACGTGAGTAAGTATGCGGCTGTTAGCTTTGTTTGATGTTTAACGCCGCACTCAGCAATATCGCAGCTATGTGGCAGGAATCAAACCTGGGTCTTCAGCATGAAGAGTGAACGCTTCAACCACTAGGCTACCCCACCACCAAAAATTTCCCCATGATAAAGTTGTCATCATGGTTATTGTTCAACTAGTTCAAGTGAAAATGTTCATACCCTTAAAATGTCTTATCTTCCACTTCACGATGATCTCTGATGCAAAACTTCCCTGTCATTAAAGCTGTTCTTGATTCTTCACATCTGGAAAAATATGTTGAGGCTATTAATCATTCTCACAGATTAAAGGGAGTATATGAAATAAGACAGTGAGTCACATTAGCATACAAATTATCCAGTTAAAGTAGACATATTTCTACATTATATACATAAGCAAATACTAACATATGATAGACAGGCTACTTGTCCTATAAAAATATAATTATACATTTACTTACATGTTGGCTATAAAAGTTAATGTGTCACATGTGAGTGGCTTACATGTGGTAAATGACTTTAATACGTGATCATTGTAATATTCACATATTCCTTACCTAAATGTGTCACTTCAGCTGCAAGCATGACCTCAGCTGCAATCTAAATTTTTGGCCAATTTTGACGAAATGACCGATCGTGTTCAGTGTATAAGCTTGGCCTCGTTTCTAATATAAATTGGCACAAGTTGACGACGCGCATAGGGAGCCGGGAACCAGCTTATGTCGTGTTAACCAAAGCTGGTTCCCGGCTCCCTATGCGCGTCGTCAACTTGCGCCAAACAATATTGTGATATTAGAGACAGGGGGCCCAGCTTAGTGTTAACCCGTAACAAGCCATTTTACCCATAATTCCCCTACGGTCCAGGGCGCCATTTTAGAACATGGATGTAAACAAACCTCGTGTATCGATATACACTGTGATGCTTGATTACGATAAGCTTACCTCGTGTATCGATACATTGTTCTCATTCACCTCCACCACGGAAATGCCGGCTGAAGTTCCTCTGAGCCATCCACAACGCGGAAGTCAACAGTATTTGGAAAGGCGATTGGCAGCAAATGCGGATGCCAGGTACGTAGCAGGGCTTCGTGACCTTATGATTTCTGTGCAGAGATCTTATGGAACGGATTGATTTAGATATTTTCCTGCTCTTCATACTTTACCGCAAACGCCAAGGGTCCTTTTTTTAGTAATATGGTCAACTGTTTGTTATGACGACAAGGATTTGCATAAGGGGCGTAATGGATTTTTGGTCAAAACAAGATGATCCAAATTAGATCCGCTTTTTAAAGATAATGAAGAAAAGTACAAAGATCTAGGAACGATTATTAACTCTAAACTTTCGTGGGATGCTAATACAGACTATAATTTACAATAATGGCCACCAAAGACTTTATTCTTTTTACACTTAAGATATTTTAATAATTACACTGTTATGTCCTTGTTTTGTATTAGCTTCATAACTTAATAATTCAATATTTCATGGAATGACTCTGACCTTGGCGAGGATCTTTTTTGCAACAAGTGATTCCCTATGTAAAGTGTATGTTCAATGGCCCTGGCTTTGTTGTCAAATAATTGTTTGACAGTTGTTAAATATGGGGTTATGTTTTATCTCTGAATGTTTGGGATGAAATATTTTAATAAGGACAGTTCTAAGTTGGAATCTCAACTGGGGTCTTTGCAATTGAATTCAATGTACAGTTTGGACATTTCTGTAATGTGAATGCTACTTATGTTTGCAGAATGTCTGGATGAATGAATGAGTCAGTCATCTGCACAGCATCAATGGAAAAAGAGAAGCAATGAGGAACAAGAGAAGAGTAGCAGTGAGTGGTAAATATTTGAAATTATTCTGTTTGGTTCATCATGTTCATGTAGCTTTTCTGCAAATATTTCTTCAGTTTGCTTGTTCTTTATCACCTGTTGGCATGGATGGCCTAATTATCAAAGCACCACAACTTGCTGTGCATAGTTGCATCTCTTGGGCTTGACAGAAACCGATGGTCGTGGGTTTGAATCGAGGGTAGCATCATACACTTGCTTGTGGGTTTCATCAAAGTGGTAAACATGTAAGACCTGCATCACTTCGGGCTTTCTTCCCACATCAAGCTTACATGCCGTGATATAACTGGAATACTGTTCAAAGAGGCGTTAAACCCAATTCACTCATTTAACACCACATCAAGCAATAGTTCGGCTAAATGACAAGGATTATAAATAATCAAATCTCAACTAGACAAACCAGTGATTAATGTTATGAGCTCGATCCAGACACACCGATGGTGACTGTTATGGACAACATCCCACGTTATTGGGGTACGATTACACATAGGTTGCTAGGAACATTTTTAAGAGATGTCAGTTAATGATTGTTTCAACTCATCAGCATGGAACAATATATGTCTCAAATGTTTTGTATATAACAAGACTCAAAGATGATAAATTAAGTGAATTTGTTGCCTTTTATCTGTAAGTACATGTTGCAACAATTCTTTTCTATTGCTACAATCTTTATGCATAATTCTGCAGAAACTGAAGTCCAGCTTGAGATACCTGGATGACAGGTTGACAGTCTGGAAGGACCCTTCCAGATTTCCGAAGTGATTGGCAGAAAGCGATGAGGAGAGTCCTGTTATTTCAATGGGGGCCTTCCGAGAAGTTATATGCCAACTGACACTGGGACACACTCACAAAGGCTGGTCTGGCTAATGTGAGAAGACCAACCAATGCCAAGTCGGAGTGGGACCCTTCAAGGACGTTGAAGAAATTATTGTCTTTGGCCATGTGGTAATCACTTGAAAGGAATGATGTTTGCGACTACTTGTCTATAAATGTGGACCCAAACACCAAATAGAATGTTCACAATTCTACTAACACAATGCAACAGGGATAGAGCCTATCTGGCCTCCCCTCATCCTGGTTCCTGTTTTTCCATGGCAATATAGAAAGAAAGGGATGTTTGAGGGCAAGTAACTCTGAACTGGTGAGCATGGTCTGCTGATGCTTTCAAGTGAACAGTTATCCCGCTCTGTTATGAGTATTGAAGAATAGGAGGAAATTGCATACTGCATCAGGAACCATCATGTGAACACTGTTCAATGTGTGATATAGGCATATAAATAAAAGAAATTGATAAATTGTTTGTTGTTTGTTTCATTAGCCAGCTGTGTAAATGGGGATTTTCCAATATTTTGCCTCAGTTTGATAGCCACAGTTATCATATGAAACCATGCTTTGCTTGGACATCTTTGGAATAACACATTGATCTGCTATGTCAAAGGTCAATGTCATAGCCAGACAAAAAAATTGTTAATGGCAAAACTCTTCCTTAGGGCAGGGATAGAAGTTGGCAAAAGGTCATACACTTACCTTTTATCCCCCCGGCATATAATGCGGGGGGATATAGCGATCAGCCTGTCTGTCCGTCCGTTTGTCCGTCCATAATCATTTCCTTTTCCGGGGAAGAATTCCCAAACCATTCAGTGTATTTGATCGAAACTTGGCAAAGCTATCAGGCACATACTGAAGTGGTGCCTTTTGATATTTGGGGATTTTTCTAATTTTTATTTTTTTAAATTTTTATGGAATGAAGTTGGACATAGACTCAATTGAGGATGGGGTTCGTTTCCGGGGCAGAATTCGAAAACCATTCAGTGTATTTGATCGAAACTTGGCAAAGCTATCAGGCACATACTGAAGTGGTGCCTTTTGATATTTTGGGATTTTTCTTATTTTTATTTTTTTAAATTTTTATGGAATGAAGTTCGACATAGACTCAATTGGGGATGAGGTTCGTTTCTGGGGCAGAATTCGAAAACCATTCAATGTATTTGATCGCAACTTGGCATTCATATGGATGCGACCATGGTGGATCTTTTGTGGGTAAACAATGTATGCTTCTTACAGAACTTTTTTAAACTGTTGACTCATTACATACAGAATTGCACATTTACTAGTGGTTACTTTACAGACAGTTGCCGGGGGGATATGTCATCTTTCTGATGACTCTTGTTCTCTAATGTGCCTTTTCCTGCAGAAGTCTAAATAACTCTTATACATATAGTTGTATATCATTGTCATATGTTTGTCAATATTACACTGAATGAAGCACTTTACAATTGTTTTTGAAATAGTCGCAACTGATATTGAAGGTCAAATTAGCTTTCAATGTCTTTCAGTAAAAATGTTCACAGTAACTGAGGAACAGCTCTCTGTAGTGTGATGTAATCTGGTACATGTCACCCTCAGAGTGAGGCATATTGTGTTTCAAACTTAAATGAAGCTCATATGCTCGTAACAAGTACTTGTACCTTTACAAATAATCATATTATCATCTCACTAGGACCAAAGGCCCAAGTGAGCACACAGTCGATGAGTTTATACTTTCACTCAGAATAATCTGGAAGTCTGAACATGAAATTTAAGGATATCATCATACATGTATTAGAACTGATGTTTGTTCATTAAACAGCTTAACATCAAAAAAGAATTATAGATGAAATTGAAAAAATTGTCTTCTCCAAAAGTACATGCCCGTAGATCTCAACTTTAAGGGGATATTTACAACTAAAATGACACAGAATATTACTACAGCTATCTGATATGCCCAGGCTAACATTATTTACCAGAAATGAGACATCTCGAAAAATTGCATCCGGATACCTGCCGGATTCCTTCTGGATACCTTCAGCAATGTTCAATTTTCTTGGTTAGTTTCCAATATATATTTAGGTGTTTCACACTTAATTGAACAAAATGCACCCCCCAAATTGTGACATGTTTTTGGAAACTCAGAATGAGGTATCCGGTGCCGGAACCTTGGACACCCAGATTGAGGTATCCGGTGAGGTATCCCGTGCCGGATACCCGGATTCCAGGTGGCATACTTTCAGATGAGGTGTCCATGCCGGATACCACGGATCTGGTATCCGGCAAGGTATCTGCCACCGGATACCCGGACGCGTTTTGGGTAAGTGTCCGGAGGTATCCGGATACCGGAAACTGCATTTTTTTTTGCTGTGATATTGCTATTGGGCAATGAAAAAATGTCACGGAAACGACTAAAAACTACTTTGAAAATATTTTTGAAAATTACCAGGGTTTTTTACACGATCGTTGTCATCCAGATTTCAGATGAGGCAAGACGAACACAACAAAGAAAAACACTGTTGAAATCACCGATTGCCGCACAAGTTGTGAGAAATGCTATTTATAAACTGCAGATATACCGTACACCACAGGATAACGATTGGTGCCGTGACACATATTACATTTTTTGTTCAATTACACTGCTCATATTCATCACGAAAAACGTATTTCGTTCTCGTCCAGAGACCTAGAACATAGCTCAGAACGAGAACATCTATAATTTCTGTGTTGGACTGCGTTGGATAAATCATGGACATTCCGCGGTATCATTTTATGAAGATGTGAAGACGACATGGCAGGTAGGTTTTGAAACCAAAGAACTACGCGGTTGTTGAAAAGTCTTGGAATCGTTTGAGAGATATTTATTACCATTAAAACTTACGTCCTTGTTGTCAAACGGTCCATGCGGTTGGGTATGACGTCACCCGTTTACGCATTAACCAATGAAATGTGTGTGTCATCATGACGTCATATTGACCTGTCAGATCACTCGTAAAAGCTCCGCCAACTAGAGTGCGCTAGTTCCTACCGCAGATGCCCCTTTAAGATGTTGATCACTGAACCTTCTGGTTGAGAATCGATTATTTACAGCCGTCATTGATGGAATATTGATGAATGTGGCGTTAAACAACAAACAATCAATCAATCAATCAATCACAGAGTTGCATGATGTATATTATCTGATGTGAAGATTCATCAAGACATATCTAACATAAAGAGTAATATCTGGAAACAAACCCTAAACTCGTCTGACCCTCGGCAACTTGTTGCTTTGGAAACTTAACACTTAAAAAAACATACCTGAATAGCAAAACACTTCATTTCAGCAGGTGCCTTATACAAAGTTTCATCATTAATAATGAACGGTTTGAGCGTATTGCTCCTAAAACAAAACGTGACGGTCGTGATGGAGCTTTCGAACAACCATGTTGATCGTGATTTATCGCTCTGTAATGAGAGGTGTGATGTCATCAAATCTTGACAGTACACACATCCGACCGGTTACCATTGGGTTGATGCGGAAGTACTGAACATCTATCAGCTTAAAAATATGAGAACGTTTCTGTAATAAAAATAAAATACGTTATGAGTTGACAAACGTTCATAGTTTGTGAGAAGGTTTCAAACAATCAATTTCTTTTGGACTTTTATATATTAATGTAGACATGCAAGAATAATGTTGAGAACTGTGCACCATACTCAACTGTTCTTTCATGGAAACCCTGCTAAAGTGCCAACTAATCATGTGCTCCAAAACAGGTGACGTCCATCGAGTGCAGCGGAAGTTTACAGACCAGGCAATAGAAGTCACGTCTTTTATCGAGGACCTTTTACGTATCGGGAGATATGTATTGAAGAGGAAATCACCTGCCGGTACGAACACGAGTTTAAGTTTTGATTCACACATACCTCGATTCACCAGAGGGGGCACGGGGGGGCCCAGTCGTCTAAGGCCCGTGACTCACTGTGCAGAGTTGCGTTCCTTGGGTACACCAGAAGCCTATGATTGTGGATTCGAATCCCGGTTCGCCCCGATTATGTTTCTAGGTTTGTCAGCACCATTCCCGTGCTCGTAGGTTTCACCGAAGTGGTAAACGTCTGAGACCTGCATCACTTCGGGCTTTCCTCCCACATTAAGCGACACGCCGTGATTTTACTGGAATACTGTTAAAAGCGGCGTTAAACCCAACTCACTCACTCACTCACTCGATACACCAGCAATGTAACTGTTCGAAAATATGGAATGCAAGGATATGTTATCTAATACACCTTTATAAATTCCCACAGAAAATGGAATTTCATAACACGATTTGGGTCTTGGAGAAAAATAATACAGTACAGTGAGTCAATCTCACGATCGTGAGAATATCCAGTGTTAATTGCGTACAAATAAATAAAACAGAAACAACACCCAAATTAGTACAGGTAACAAGAGATATATCTAATGAGCCATATAGCCTTTTTTAATCATCAAAGCGGATCTTATGGTAATTAATACCAATTACAGTAAAGTATGTTAAAGTAATCATTACATGTTACAACATTTCAGATAATAATAAAAACAATTTTATCATGCCTATCCAACCAAATGTATCCGACATATCAAGTTCTTATTCAAGAAACAGTTCTAAGATCACAGTGCCATTTGCAAGAACATCATCATTTCCCAAACACATTGAACAAACTCCACATCAATATTAAAAGAAGGCCTACTTTAACTGCATTTCAATCTAAAAATCTAAAACAGTTAAGAGATTTAGCTCCCTCTGTGATTTCAGAGAAATATATCTTAATATTATTCATAAATATAACGCACAGATGTAGTAATAAATAAATATGTAGGAGTATATTTTCAACATTCTACAATGTTTATTAATTATAAATTTTCCCACTGAGTGTTATACCAAATATTCTCTTGTTTCACACGGGGCGGTCGGGTAGCCTAGTGGTTAAAGTGTTTGCTCGTCACGCCGAAGACCCTGGTTCGATTCCCGACATGGGTACAATGTGTGAAGCCCATTTCTGGTGTCCCCTGGCCTTGATATTGCTGCAATATTGCTAAAAGAGGCGTAAAACCATACTCACTCACTCATGTTTCACACAGTGTCACTATAATATTCTGAGGGATTGTGCAATACTTGCTGATATGCAATACCACTTCCCACTTGGAATTCTGGTCTTCTTGGAGGTAGAGTAAGGAAATAACACGTGGTGCGGAGTTAGAGCTCAAGTGTGAAAGTAAATGTAATTACAAATGTATTTAGTAATGTTAAAGACAATTTGGTTCATAATAAAAAATTGAATTTTGTAAAAAATCTATCTTGTCCGAGTGTAAAATGTGTGTATTCTTTTGTTTATTTAAATGGCTTTTTCAAATCCGCAAGTCCGCGAATCTGACCACCCGATCCTGTTGATTGCCTATTTCGATAAGCATAGTCTACTTTTACATATATATCATTTCATTTCAGGCTAACATGAGGATGAAAATCATTGCTTGTGTGCTGATGCTTGCACGTAAGTCTTTTTGACATGTTCTTTAAACGGACGTACACATAAAACATGATAAAAAATGATCCCGCATAAACAGTTGACTACTGGAGCAGCTGCAATGAGATTGTGTGTAATAAAATTAAATTTTCCCTTGTACAAAATGTTTAATTTTGATCATTCAGATACCACAATGGTTGATGCACTTCCTCAAGGTAAGTGTCTTTCACACTTTATCCCATAAAATGATTTAAGAAATTGCACCTTAATTCTCAACTACAGTTGTTTTCTGTTAATATCCACTCTTATAATTTTACAAGGTGTACAAGATTGTAATGTTCATGTATATGTTAATTGTGTAGTACAACATTAATAACATGGATAAAAAATGTTCAAATTCATTCATACCGACATGTATGATGACAACGTTACTTTACATCATGTGCCCCGTGAAGATCCGGGATAAAATAGGTCTTCAGTGCCGTGAAGGGAGATTATGCTTGTCCTAAGAGGCGACCAACAGGATCGGGTGGTCAGACTTAGTTGATGGATGTCATCAATCCAAACTGCGTGGATCGATGCTCATTATGTCAATCACTGGATAGTCTGGTCCAGACTCGATTATTTACAGACCGCCGTCATATAGCTGGAATATTGCTGAGTGCTGCGTTAAACAACAAACAAACAAACAACATCACGTTGTCAATAAACAGTTCTCATCAAAGAGTCGGTGACTGAAAAATGCGGCGTTAAACAACAAACAAACAAACAACATCATGTTGTCAATAAACAGTTCTCATCAAAGAGTCGGTTACTGAAAATGTGAGTTTATTCAAAGAAGTAGTTATAAAGCATTAATAACAATTAATATTTCACATAATAAGTACCTTCAAGGAACTTGGTAAAGAGTGTGTTTTGTCTTTTGCAAATTTTCAGGTACGTCAACATGTACCTGTACTAATCCAGATCACTGTGTCATGGACAATAGACGGTGTCGATGTTGTAAAACGGGATGGATAGGAAGTGATTGTGGTGAAGAATGCCAATCATGTAAATGGAATTATAACACCTGCAAACTTTCCTGTTCCCCTGGAAAATGGAGTGACAAATGCCAAATTGACTGTCCTCAAAACTGTATTCAGTCTTCTAATAAGAGCATGTGTAACATTAGCACAGGTGATTGCATTGAATGTCTCGAAGGGTATCATGGAAAAACGTGTGATAAACCCTGCAGGCATACCTGTCTTAAAAACCTATGTTATCAAGGTAATGGAACATGTAAATTTTGCGCCGACGACGCATATGGCGATTTTTGTGAAAATAAATGTTCACGTGGGTGCTACAATGACACGTGTTTAAAAAATGGTACGTGTCGTTGTAAACCTGGATGGACAGGAAGGACATGCCATGCAGATTGTGCAACGCACTGCAAGGATCGAGAATGCATCATCATCGATGGACACAGTACATGTAAAGGGGGCTGTACGGATGGATTTTATAAAGATTGTTTCTCAAAGTGTCCAGGCGGCTGCCACAAATGTGACAAGAATACTGGACAATGCAGTGGTAAAGTACATGTCCGTGAGTAATAAAACTAATCAATACTATTTGAATAATCTAAGTCATCTTTTTTTATGTTAAAATTCACGTATTCGACACTTTGCAATGAACACTCAACTTTTAAACTCCCATACACTCAGCTAATCATGCTAATGGGTCAAAACACAAGTTCATGTAAGGAATAAATATGTGTGCTCACATATCAACAGAGAAGACAAATGAATCAGAAATTAAGACCTAAATGTGACACATTCAACAAGTAACTGAAATATGCGCACACGTTCTGAAACTTGGTTTACAAATACAATATACAATTGGTCTACCCTTTGTCTCATTGCAGACTCATACGGTCCCCAGTTTCAACTGGTAACTTGTGTGGTACTTTTAACTCTTGTGATGGTTGGATTCCTCTGCAGCAAGAAATTGAGAATAAGATCATTCATTAAGAAAACGTACGTCTATAATATTAATTTTGAATAAATTCATTTAAAAACTAACGTGTTTATGTATTACCATAAATGAACCGATGTTGATTGAATTGTCCTGTTCTAGTTCAGATACATTTATTTTGTAGATGTCACAGATTTTCCAGAAAGAAAACAGGTCAGTAGATCGCCATGCTAAGCCATGACAAGAAATTTACAGAACATTAATGTTAATCCTTTCAACATTGTTTAAGCTAAAAAATATCTTGTATCTAAAATGAGAATATTATATTTTGCAAAGTCAGCTATTAGCTATTTACAGAGGTTAAAATTTGTTTATTCATATGACAGGTTACTTGACTACAGAAAACAATAACTATTCAAATGGTATCATTTGTTTGATTAATATCAGGTAAGTGCACGATGTGATTGAAGTAAAACTCTTATGTAGTCATGAACTACGATTTCTATTGCCATTAGTCATTAATTCAGCCTCGAAATATGCTTTAATAATATAATTTGTTTTCATCTCCAGATTCAGCGAGCCACAGTCCCGATGAAAACACCCCTACGTCCAAAATAGGTAAGTACGCAATCCCGGGGTAGCCTAGTAGTTTAAGTATTCGCTCGTCACGTAGAACACCCGGGGTTCGATTCCCCACATGAGTTCAATGTGTGAAGCCCATTTCTGGTGTCCCCCGCCGGGATATTGTTTGGATATGGCTAAAATCGGCGTAAAACCAAACTCACACACTCACTCACTATGAGGATGGTTACTGAATACACGTGCCTACAGCAAGAAAACCAACTTAACGGATCCCAATTGCAATCTTTCTTCTTTAAGAAAACATTTCTAGCAACGATATCAATACTTTTATTTGTAAGCTTACTTAAAACTGTGTCATGCTGGAATATTTCTAAAGTCGGCGTAAAACCATACTCACTGTTTAGACTTGTTGAATTAAACCCTTCTTAAAGTAAAGGTGATGGCTGTAACCCTGTGCAGGTAGGTCTGTTGAGAAGAAATAGCCCCGAAAGTATTTAAGTCATAATGAATGTGTCGATGGTGTTCTGCAATGCATACAAGCTCGTAGTTAACATTTGTCCTTTTCATCATTACATGGAGCAGTTTTGTATTCTTGGACTCCTTTGAACACTGATCCTGACAAAATACTCCTGGTTTATATATTAGGAATATACGTTTCAGAAGTCCAAGAGACTTATGCTGTTCAGCCTACTCCAGATTATCATCAGGATGATTACAATTCCCTTCATGGCGACCATGGCGACAGTGTCAATTGAAATATTTTTCAACGAAATTGATGAAAGGTAGGTAATGATATTAATATAAGTTGGTTTCATTTTCCAGAAAATTGACTCGTAGTTCTTCGGGGGTCTTTCTTGTATATGTCCATAAGGCAATGTGTCTTCGGAAGACTTGTTGTGTATCACTTGGTATTACTGATCCGCTAACCTAAAAAAAAATCAGGAATGCAGAAAGAAAACACAATTCCAGTAAAAGCTTTTTTTTATGAACACAGATATAATTTCTCAGGTTTACAGAGAAAAATGTGCATTTTGAGAGAAGGAATGTGAACATGGTCAAAAATAAATTTATTACATAAAACTTAACACATAATAGCATGTACAACGTATGTTGAGCCCCACTACAAACTACATCCCCTGTAAAGATCCCGGTTAGAACTTATCTTCAGCAACCCATGCTTGTCGTAAGAGGTGACTAACGGGATCGGGTCATACTCGCTGACTTGGTTGATGTATGTAAACGAATCCCATTTGCATAGATCGAAACTCATGATTTGAATCACTGGATTGTCTGGTTCCTACAGATATGATATTGCTGAGTGCACATCAAACTTCATAACGTTTCCTACAAAATGGGAGAGTAATAGCTATAAATAAATTTCAATATTGGAAAATGGGATTCGAGCCCCCTGAACTCGAAGAGCATAAAACAAAAATTGCTGAGAAATGGCCATAAAACCTTTCAGCTTTCACTGCGGTCAAAGTGCAAAAGTTAACCAAGATATCGCTAAAGACGAAATATATATGTTGAGCTAATTTTACGACCTACATATGGACTAAATGTTATTACATTTTGAACAAAATGGTAATAAATTTGCTCTTTTCAGTATTTGTCTGTATTTATAATTGGATTCGAACCTCGATAAAAAAATACGTAGCACTATCGTGAACCTTTATTTTATTAAATATGTCGAAATTGGCATTTCCCACATTTACAGTTTTTAGAAGCACAAATAAGCATTTCACATAGTGGTGAGCAATTCTCCTGGATATACGCGTATACCTAGTATCATTTCTCACAAAATCATCTAGCATTGCTGCCAAATTGAACCAATTGTTCAACTGATTCTCTACTTGCCTTTTTATTCAATTGTAAACGGTAATCTTTATTAACAAATAAAGCAACATGAGCAGACATGAGTGAAAACATGGCAGCGCTTCCCGGTAACATCAAAAGGTGCTAAACAAAGTCGGATTAATGGAATCAAAGACGCGTTACCCTACTGACAATATCCAAGCAGTGAATTAACAAGATGAAGACGAGAGTGATCCTTTGTTGTTTTTGTCAAGTGGACAGACTAAATAAACATGAACTTCGGACATAACATTATCACACTTTTACAGAGATGCATATGCTTGTCTGCAGTAACGAGGAAGAAGATAACACAGCCTGCTCCCATACTCCATCCTGTATGGATGTAAAAGATCTTGTATTTCAGAAGGCTCTTTGCCTGTGACTGGGGATAAAAAAATTAATGCACTTGCAATGTTTACTAACCTAGCTTCAGCCAGGATCATTGGGTACAACAGACATCGATAGCAGACATTTTTCGTACAAAATACAATTTAAGTATTTGTAAATACCAAGACCACGTGCCACTCACTGAGCTGTTGTTACTGAACGCTAATGATTGCTGTAAGGTACATGTACGTGTTGTTTTGTCAATCCAACATGTAATACATGAGCACGTAATTTCTCGTGTTTACATCTTAAGCTGTCTGGCTGTCCATGGTTCACTTTCTCGAATGTCTGGATATCTCGAGGTTACATCACGGTCCTGACTGGGTCCGACTGTATTTTAAAGTTTGACCTTAATTTGACGTTGTGCACTGACGACACTGACAGCTAAAACTTTTGCAAATGGAATACACGCGACAAAACCCTTTGCATATTCATAAGAAGT